CTTAGGAAGGACTCAGGATATATAAGGACACTCATTTATATATCTAGTTTAGTTCTTCGTGTTCAATCATATATTGTTACTTATATCTACTATTCAGAACCTTTGGTGACTCGTACAACTTGATTATAACTTAATAACACTACGACCAGGCCAATACTCCGGTATAGACCTATTCGGCGCTCTATCTAGCATCGCTCCTCGATACCCTCAAAAGGACTTAGCCCGTATAAGGCCTACTAGGCAACGGTACGGTTAAGAGATAGATCGTTAACGTTAGAAGCACAGAAGCACTAGGCAAGTATATCCCAGGAATCTTCTAACATAGCGACGACCTGTTAGTCGTGCGTAACACATAGCGTATCTAAGAGAAAATTCACTTAACCCCCTATACAATTGGGGGCTGTTTCCTACTATCGATACGGGAAACCGGGTTATTATGCTAGTAGCTGCGATTAACTAGACCCGCGAGCTATATAGGATAAGACCCGACTGTCAAAAAACTAACTCCCCTAGTGTTTAGAGCTACTAAAGCACTAGTAGGGGTTCCTAGAAGGTAGAGCGACCGAGCCTTCGTATACGAAGTCTCAATCCTTATCTAGGAGGGTAGTAAGGACGTATAGGCGCTAGTCGATAGCGGAGTAGAGCAAAGCTTTATTAACTAGCGCTAGGCGAAGGAGCACCTTCTAGGTAAGGAAGTGACACCTTCGTAGGGGTCTATTATATTTAACGGACACCCTATCACTTCCTACGGGAACCGCGAGGTCGACTACGAAGTTAGGGATAGCGATAGGATCCTAAACTCCCTTATTATCCCTTACGAATCTGTTAAGATCGTAGGATACGACATTATCCTTAGATATAATTGGCTCGTGCGAGCTAATCCGGATATTAACTAGGCCGAGGATAAGTAGAAATAGCGGCCACTAACTAGCTGAAGGGGAGATAAGATAACTATAGTAGCTTGCTATCGAGAAATCCTCGTAGGGGCCACGATGCTAGTGGTGTATCCCTACCCTTCAGCGTAGTTAGGGTCTCCTCCGCTACTTACTATAGTATTCGGTAAAGGAGACGGCCACCCTACGCTGCTCGCTACGGCGGCCGGTACGGGGGATGCCTTCCCGGAAACCTACTAGGAGTATAAGGACGTCTTCGATACGTCCTAGGCGGCTAGGTTACCTAAGAACTCTACGTATAATTATCTAATCGATCTTTAGCCGGATTCGTAGCTACCTTACCGCCCAATTTATTTATTATCGGCAAAGGAATTGGAGACCCTTAGGGAATATATCGATGATACGACCTAAAAGGGCTAGATTAGACCCTTATAGAGTCTAGCGGGCGTACCTATTATATTTATCCCTAAGAAAGACGGTTCCTTGCGCCTTTGTATCAATTATTAGGGTCTTAATAAGATCACGATTAAGAATCGATACCCCTTACCATTAATTAGTAAGACTATAGACCGGTTATTAGGTGCGGTGATCTATATCTAGCTTAATATCTAGGACGCCTATTATAGGATTCGTATTCGTAAGGGGGATAAGTGGAAAACCGCGTTTCGCACCTAATACGGTCACTTTGAATATATAGTTATACTATTTAGGCTGGCTAATACGCCTACGACGTTCTAGTCGTATATCAACCGCGTATTAAGCGATCTACTCGATATCTATTACGTTATTTATTTAGACGACATTTTGATTTACTCCTAGAGTGAGGAGGAGTATATCCTTTATATAAAGAAGGTTCTAGATAGGCTACGCACGTATCGACTATACGCGAAGCGTAGTAAGTGCCGATTTTATGTATAAGAAGTCCAGTTTTTAGGATTTATAATATCCCTAAATAGTATTTTAATAGAGAAGGATCGCATTAAGACGATCCTATAGTGGCTATTACCCTAATACGTCCACGATATACTCTAATTTCTCGGATTCGCGGGATTTTACCGCCGATTTATCGAAGGGTTTTCCCGTATTACGGCACCCTTAACGGCCACCACGAAGGGCTAAGGTAGCACTAAGAAGCGTGCGAATCGTAATAAGGCTACTTTCACTCTTACCCCGGAAGCACAGAAAGCTTTCGAAGAGCTTAAACGCCGCTTTACGGAACTACCGGTGCTAGCCTATTTCGATCCTACGAAGCTAATTCGCGTTAAACCTAATACCTTAGGTTACGTAGTCGTAGGGATCGCTAGCTAGTAAGACTAGGAGGGTCGCTAGCACCTAATTGCTTTTTAGTTAAGGAAAATAATTGATACGGAGACCCGCTATAAGACGTATAATATAGAATTGCTTACGATTGTCGAATCCTTTAAGTATTAGAGATATTACCTTGAAGGGAGTATCTACCTAGTAGTGGTGCTTTCTAACCACGCTAACCTACGCTACTTTATATCGACTAAGGACCTTAGTAGGCGTTAGGCTAGGTAGGCTAAAAAGTTAGCTACGTTCGATTTTGTAATCGAGCATCGCCTAGGTATGAAGAACCCCGCCAATACGCCTAGTAGGAGACCTAATTACGCACCTAAAGATAGGGAATTTAGGAAGAATTCGCTTTTACCTACACTTTAAGATAAGCTACGAATCACAATAGGTATAATAGAGTTAGATAGCGGCTAGTTAGTAGAGGCTATACGTACTTAAGGGCAAGAGGCCCTCGTAGGATAGTCCTATAAGCGATCTAGTGTAGATTAGATAGAGTTAGGCAGCATAGTTACACGTACTCTAGGGCAAGAGGCCCTCGCAGGATAGTCCTATAAGCGATCTAGTTTAGATTAGATAGAGTTAGGCAGCGGCTAGTTAGCAATAGTTACACGTACTCAAGGGCAAGAGGCCCTTATAGGGTAGTCCTATAAGCGATCTATAATAGATCGGATAGGAAATGCTATTCGGCAGCCTCTCTCCCTTAAGAAAGTAGGAGGATCCTATAAAAGGTCTAATTTAGACCAATACGATATAAGTGTCGCGCTAGCGCCGGGGTTAGGTAGTATCCTAACGAAGTCTAGTGCTACTAGACCGGTAGCTAAGAATATATAGGATTCCGAGGAACCTATAGTAAGAGCGTAGGGATAGCGAGATAGTTCTAAAGGACCGCGAACTCTCTCCCCTACGCTAGAGACCGGTACTATTACGTGCTAGGGCCTCGTAGGCTTAAATAGTGATTAGCTAAGTCCTATAATCGGTGGGAGTGCCGATAGTGCCTACGAAGATATCAAAGATATAGTAGATAAGTACTATGCCGATAGCGATATAGGGATTCTAGACCCCCTAGTGCCACGCCTCCTTACGCGGGTAGCAATAGATAGTGAGATAGTATACTCCTATATATTACTAACTTCTATAGCGGAGATTGTTAAGTATACGTAGGGAAGGGATCCTAAAGCGCTAGATATCTCTCGCTAACTAATAGAGGGGAATAATAGTGCGAGGCTAAATAGTACGCCCTAGAGTAAGATATTAGATAGTCTATTTAGGTTTAATAATCGCGTATACGTCCCTTTAGCGACTAAGCTAAAAGAGGAGATACTATAAACGCACCACGATAATCCTTAGGGAGGATATTACTAGGTAAAGCGTACCCTAGATACGGTGCGTAGACGATTCTATTAGCCTAGACTCACCCAATATATTAAGGAATACGTCGAAGACTATAAGAATTGCCAAAGGAATTTAGTTCGTAGGTATAAGCCGTACGGGCTATTATAACCTTTACCTATGCCGGAACGGCTAGCGTAGTAGGTTAGTTTGGACTTTATTACTAGCCTACTACCCTCTTCGTGGAGAGGAAGGGTCTATAATACGATCCTAGTGATAGTGGAGATATTCACTAAGTATTCCTTTTACCTACCGTGCACTAAGGATATTAACGCACCCGATTTAGCGGAATTGCTCTACGAGCGTATTATCCCTATTATAGGGATGCCCGAGAACCTCGTTAGCGATTAAGGCAGCCTTTTCACTAGCTAATTCTAGTCTACGTTTTGCTACTACCTCGTAGTGAGAAGACGTCTCTCTATAGCCTACCACCCCTAGACGGACGGTTAGACTAAGCGGTAGAATTAGACGCTAGAGTATTTCCTCCGTTCCTATATTAACTAGGAATAGGATAACTAGGTGCGATAGCTTCTAATAGCCTAGTTCGCATATAATTAGACTCCTTATAGTGCGTCCGGTGTCTCTCCTTTCTAGGCGCTACTCGGGTTTAAGCTAGACCTCCGAGCTAGTGTAGAAGAGCTTCTATAGGAGCACCACCGGGACGTAGTGAGCCGGATATAGGAGATCTAGGAAATACGACACTTTCTCTATAAGAAGCTAGCTAAGGCAAAAGACGTAATAAAACGCTATTACGATAAGAATCACCTTAAGAAGGTATTTAGGGTTAGAGATCTAGTCTATATACGAGCTAAGTATATTGAGATAGGTCGCCCTAGCAAGAAATTAGATATAAAGATAATTAGCCCCTTCGCTATTATCGATAAATTCGGCTCGTAGTTATATAAATTGAGACTACCGCCGCTCCTCCGTTAGATTCACCCGATATTCTATATCTCTATATTAGAGGAGCACTATAGAAACGCTTTATAGGAGGGTCCTACACCTATTATTGTGGATAGTTAACCCGAATATAAGGTTAAGCGTATCCTTTCCTATAAGGGGACTAAGCCTCGTATATACTAAGTTAAATAGGAAGGCTACGGTGATATAGAAGCAATATAGGAGCCTTAAGAGAACCTAGAGCAATTATAGGCGCTATAAGAATACGAAGAAAAGCTATAGTGCGAACCTAAAAGGACTTTAAAGCGCCGGAGGCGCGCGGGAAATAAATCTTAATAGTATTATAGGGGCTATTCCCCTAGAATTATATATAGGAAAATAGTCCGGTCTCTAACCGCAAATTATCCTCCTTCCTACTAAGCTCTTAGGCGCCCGTTACGGCTAACCTAAACTATCGCGCACGGTCTCCTATACGCCGGAAGCTAGGCGTAACGGGGAGAAAACTTAGCTACTACGACGTAATAGACGGCGGAGTGGAGACTCCTCTAGAGCCGGAGTTCCCTTAGGAGTTATAAACTTCTCGGGAGAAGACGTAACTAACGATAGGGGCGAGGGAACCTCCTCACTAGCGGCGACCTTAGGGGTCGTAGCGGGCTTTATAGCGGTAGTAATAAGCCGGGTCTTTTAAAGAAGACCTTTTAGAAGCACCACCCGCTACTCGCTAGTGATAGTAGGAGAGAGCGCGTGCTCCACCTTAGGTATAAGCTCGGGGTATACCTACGAAGACCTAGTTAGTAATTATATGCCTAGTTGCGAGGGGAATTAAAATTGTACTTACCGGCTTACACCTGTGGCGGCCGCTAGCATAATAGAGGCACTTAGTGCGATCTATTAGTAACACGCACTAATAATCTAGGTGCTACACTAACCGGAAGGTACAGCGCTAGCATAGAAGCCCCCTATCTAGCCTAGGTTCACTAGCGCGCACCGCGACCTCCTCTTCCGATAAAGAGCTACTAAAACCGTCCCACGGGGGGAAATCTCCTTCTTCTTAGACCGCCGCGGCGGCCTAGATAAAGCGTAGGATATAAGGCTCCGCCACTATCGACACGTATAAGAGGTTAGCAGTTTTCAAAATAGGGCTGTTTTACACTAGGAGGGGGCGAATCTATGCTACTACGAGGCCTTAGGCAATGTCAATAGGAGTATAGAGCTTATTGTGGAAGCTCTAGCGAGGCCTTAGGCAACGTCAACAAGGATATAGAGCTTATTGTGGAAGCTCTAGCGAAGCCTTAGACAGGGTCAATAAGAACCTAGGATACGTATAGGCATCCCTAGGAGGCTAGGAAAGCTTTATTTCGAAGCTTATACGCGTCTAGGATTATCTCTATAAAGCTCACGGAGCACTAGGAAGGATGCTTTAGGATATAGGGGAAGTAGGGGAGGAAGAAATCACGTACTTTCAAAGAGGTTAGGAAGCGTAGAAAGGAAGAAAAACAACAATAACAAACGACCATAATATCCATATTATTCTCTATGCTCCTTCCTTGACCACCACCACCGCTATCTACTCCTATTAAGAGTGCAAACCATACAAACACTTCTCACTAAGATAGTTTTTTAGCCGAAATAATAGAGCACGTGACCTTACAACCCTACGCTAGCACCACTAGGGCTAGTTACCTTTCCTACCTACGAGCTTTTCCTCTATAAGGTTTTTTCTCTAGGCTAGGTTTTAACGGACCACGCTTACTAGGCTGCCATACTTACACGTGACTATAAATAGAGGATTCACACTACGAATCTTAGGTACCTCAGGCCACGGGCCGTGGCCTCTAAAGGAGGGGGATATTGTTAGGACGACCTAACAGGTGCCTAAGGGTGCCTAAAAAGTATACTGCGAGCCTTTGGACTGCGTAGTGCGCTGATAGATAGGCATATACATAGACCATAAAGGTCGTGCATTTCGCTTAGTCCCTTAGCTAAGCGCACCTTGTATTTATTGCACTCGCTGGCCTTCGCATGAAGGACCAGCAATTAGTCTCTTGTGACACCTGCACATACACTTCGACGATAGTCTCTACTTCCCGTACTCATACTGCTACACTAGGACCTCGCAGGGTCCTAACAGTAAAAAAACGTGAGATAATAGCTAGGTAGCGTCTTAACCCCTAAATTAATTGCTACCCCTCCCGATTATTATACACTAGCATTATCGAAGTAATTAGATTCGTCTACGGACCTATAGTGGCGTCTTTGGTAGTAAACGTACGCCGTAAAGGTATAAAATCCCGTACCCTAATAAAACATCTCTAATTTTTAATCGCTATTTTCTCGAAAGCTAGGAGGCTGCGTATGCTCCGAAGTGAATCGGAGATAAATTAGATAGTCTATTATAACTAACCAAAATTTGAGAGCGATCGGAGGTTATTAGGCCTCTCTAGTCTAACGAGGAAATTAATTCCCAGTCTAACGGGACCCACTTTTTATGTCCCATAGTGAAGCGGCAACCCTAATTCCCAGTCTAATAGACTGGGCCACCCCCCGTGGGATAGGGGCTCTTTTTTATAACCTTGTTTACAGTTCTCTGACATTCCATTATGTTGAGGATTTGGCCAGGCTCTACCGAGAGATCCATTCTTCTCTTCAACAACGCGGAAAACTTGTGTTTTCGGTGGAGCACCCTATATGTTCGGCGCCTATACGCCCAGGACCAAGCCGAAAACTCTCCAAGAAGGTGATCAGGGACGGAACATATGGCCATTGAATTGCTACAGTGACGAAGGGTGGCGGATGACTAGCTGGCTCGGAGTTGATGGTATTAGGAAATACCATCGAACTGTGGAAACATACGTGAATCTTCTCTTGGAGAGCGGCTTCACCTTGACTGGTTTTAAAGATTGGGCTCTCTCCGTAGAGGAGGTGGCTAAGCACTCCGAGTGGACGGATGAGAGACATCACCCTTATTTCTTGATTGTTTCGGCTGAGAAAAACTGAAAATCTGTATACTGCATGAGCAGAATCATCTTCGGCATGCACATCCCGCTCTAAGTGCTTGCGCACATTCTTGACCTACATTCGCTACTTTCAGGTTGCGTCGGTCTTCTGCGGCGTGCTATGTGACTGGCTTGGTATCATTTTAGGAGTAAGTCATGGGCTGAGGGCAGTAATCTCAGTAGTCAATCTTTACGGGTTTAATCTTTACCCTCTTAGATTATCCTTTAGTCTTCTAATATATATAGGTAGTTTGATCTAAAATTTCTTATTTAGGAAATTATAGCTAAGGCCCTAGTATTTATAGTATCATATTAGGTGCGGTTCCAGGGGTAGAGCCCGAACCTACGTTAGGTTAGGTTGGGCTTTGATTCTGGAACGTATTCATAGGTTTTAGCGCAGTCTACTCACAATCGATATAGGAAGTTAGTATCGTCACCACGTGGCCCGCTCAGTCCAATATGTGAAGGTTCGCTATCAAGGCTATGTACAGTCTTCGCTATGTGTATAGCACGTTTCGAAACTCTCATGTTTTACAGTAGTTCCGATAATTGGTCACCACCTACCCTCTTAATTATTTTTCTCATAAAAGCTCCTAGGACTATTAAACTGTACTTGGAAAATATGCCGGAACATACATCAATATTTCCATATGTTACAAACACGGAGAGATACAGGATAGGTTAAATATCTCATGTTTCAGAAGTATATGGATAACCTATGCTAGCTAAAATCTCACTATAGGCCGTTACTACAATAGAAATGCAGACCCTTCAAACAGTAAAGCAGTCACTTATCACGTCACCATAGAGTTACGCTCCAATTTCACTTCACTTCACAGAGTCCATTGTAATGGTTCCTGATTTAGGAGCCTACCCCATCCCATTTTTAGGCACGTATCCAAGACCCCTTTTGTTCTCGAAACCCCTTCTTTCAATAATAGTCCACCACGTCCACAGAAAAGAGCTAGAAAGAAAACGATATAAAGTCACAAAGAACGATAATGCCGAAGAACTGCAAGCTAGCACATATTCTGAGTGTCAGCTAGCGATAATTCATCAAAATATTCGAGTCGTCCGATCGGCTGCTGTAGGGAAAACATTTCCCTCCTCGTCTTGCGCTTTCCCAGTTCCACTGTCATAAACCGGAATCAATCCATCAGGAACAGAGGGGCAGAGCTCATACCGATTCTCAGGATGCCGCCCATCGATCATACCAATGAATCCCCAAGGTTGACTAGGCTTCTTAGTCCTTCTTCCCTTGACCCAGGGCTGGGGATCGGGACTGGCAACGATTGACTTCAGCGATCGCTCATCAATAAGGAGGCAGCCTTCGAATCGACCGGTCCCTCGGCCTTTGCTTGCGCGAAGGTACTCAGAAAAATGTTGGCGAACTTGCTCGGTACTTGCTCCATCCCAGAACTGTTTGTCTGAGAAAATGACGTCCTTATGCGTTTCCTTCACCAATCGCTCTGCGTCTGCATCTGGCTCTGGATCCTCGGGTTCCTTGTATTGAATTTCGGCGAGAAGATCAGAGTCGATAGAGTAATTTATGACTTTAGCCAGTTTATCCATAGCGATAGGCCAGAGCTCATCTGATTCGGCGGTGTAGATTGTTCGGTATATGATGTAGCCCCAGGGGAATTTAGAGTCCACCGAGGGGTACAGAAATCTTGTTGTGCGCCGCTTAGTCTGTTTAATCCAGGGAGCTTTAAGCCAATTATTCGAGTAGTGGCCTATGAACTCAGGGTGTGACCATCGCTCCGACCATAAAGGGTGATGGTAGAAAGAGTTGTCATCTTGTTCCGTCACCAATTTGTTGATTTCAGCTGGATCGCGAGTTGGCAGGGAAGAAGCAGGGGTGTCGGAAGTCATATTTGGATAGTGAAAGACCACAAAGTATCCGAAGAGCAACAACAACAAGAGGTAAAAGAGTATGTACAGATCCATCCGGAGTCTGAGGGGCAATAAAGGACCTTTCTACCCTGGTGGAGAGACCCTGAGAACTCAGGTGGGAATGTCTCGATATTTATCTGGCTCGGGATCGATTAGCGTGACGCCAATCTTGGCAATCCAAGTTAGCCAAAGTTTGTGCTCCAACTTTGGTATTGATGAAACCACGGAAAAGACCGACCATGAAATTCTGTGCCCGATGTAACTTGGTGACCTGCTAAAGGAGTAAAGAATCACGAATGGAAGGGCCCGCTGCACATTGACATGTCATGAAACACTCTGAAGGAGTGACTTTCTTCCCGCAAGGTTCCCTTAAAATATCCACTCGCTTAGTCTGGCTAGTGCCGGAATGTCTTAGTTCCTTGGTAATTCGGTGAACAGGAGCTTTTGGGAGAATTGACTTGATTACACGCATAGCGAGATTTCCTCCATTTCTCTCCCCTATTGTCCTGTGAATAGCACATATATCTATCCCTTGACTATCAACTCACTGGCCTTACATAACGTATTTCACATGCGAGCTGGACACCCAAGCGAGCTGGACACCCCACCTAACCTATCAATTTTAAATGCAATTATCTCAACCAGAACGCCATTAAATTCAATAAGCTAAAAACGAGTTCTATTAGGACATGTAGTCATTCTATAACCCTGAATTCCACATACACTACACTTCGTTTTTGCCCTCGTACGCGGCTAAGAAGGTGCCGGAGCTGGCCCTACCTCACGGGATCCTTCTGCTAAGACTGCTTACTCTAGCTGCGCTATTAAGGCAGAGGCCTCTAAAACTAAGAGGCCTTCTTCGGAAGCTATTTGCCTTATAGACTGAGTCCTTTTTCGCTTCTTCGTCTCGTTTGTAGCGCGTAATTCGCTTACTTCTTTCTCGAGTAAAGCTGCCGATTGCATCGTGATTTGGTAGGCCTTTAAAACCTGATTTATCGCGGAGTTAAGCGGGCTCGGTGGGCTTTGTAAGCGCTATTTTAGCAAAGCTTTAATTGAGGAAGCTTACTTCTATAATTGTACGTAGTTCGAAGGCGTTTTTAGATCCTACTCGCTCCCCTAGCTTAAGGGGGGTGTCGGGGTTTAAAGGCGAATATCGAGCTTTAAGATCACTCGATCGGGCTTATAAGGTATTAAACTAGCGGCGGCGAAGCTAGTCTTAATAGTCTCCGATTTAAATGCCTTAATTCGGGCGGACGGATAGGCTTCGAGGAAGTCTAGCTTATTAATATAGTTGATTCTAGCACGCGTTTTCGATTTGATAAGCCGAGCGTAAGCACGTTTTAACACCGCAAAATAGCCGATATCGAGAGGCTATAAAAGGTGAGACGAATGCGGAGGCATATAAATTGGAATAATATCGTTTTTTTCGTAAATTTCGTCGAATTTCGGGGTTAAATAACTTCCGTGGCTGTCGAGTATCAAAAGTCTATACTTCCCCTTCGTACGCGAAGAAGTAGACGGAATAAAGAGCTTTTTGAGCCACCGAACGCTAATTTTATCGGACGTCCACCCGTTCGGACTAACCTCGAGTCTCTAATCATTCGGAAGGCCGTTAAACCAAGATTCAATAAAGACTTTGCCTTTAAAAATCACGCACGAGGAAGCGCCTACCCTAAAGTATTTATACACTCAATTGTAGTTACCCACGCGCGATTTCCGGGCTATAAAAGCGGTCGCCGACCGTAGTATTCCCTTCTCGTGATAACCTTCGCGGTCGTAATTAAGCCTATTGCGAATCCGGTCTCGTCAAAGTTATAGATATCATCGGGATCGATACCGTAAGAAAGGATCGTTTTTTAGACGAGAGAAAACCATTCTTTAATGATTTTCGGGTCTTCACACTTCGCGCGCTCGTAATTGTATCCTTTTGAGAATCGGGAGGAAAGGTTTAGATACCTTTTTACGAAGTTTGTAACCCAATTCTCACCGACCGAAATAACCGGGGTAGATCTACGCGCCGCGAGCAATAAATCTGCCATTTCTCGTACAGAAGAGGGCCGAGGGGGTGCTCCGCGAGAATCCATAGAGAGAATCCATTTTTGAAGCGATTCCTCTTCAATTTCTGTCAATTTATGGTTATTGGCGCGTGTTTCAGAGCGATTTGTGGTTCCGTGAAGACGCGTGTGGAGAGTGGACTTCGGGACGTTGTAATAGAGCGCTGCTTGGCGTATAGAGGCGATTTCTTGTTTTTTAATAGCCTGAATAGCTAATAAGATCCTACCCTCTTTTTCAATTGAATTTCGAGAGGATTGAGTACGAATTGGTGGCATGGTGGGTGGTTGAAGAAGAGAGGTCTAATTAATTGACGCGTTTTAGGTGGGGTGTCCAGCTCGCTTGGGTGTCCAGCTCGCATGTGAAATACGTTAAGATAATCGAGGTAATCTAATTCGTCCGAAACCCTAGAGTTCAGCCTAAGGCCCCGGTCGCAACCCTAACTAGCCTAGTTCCCGCACCCTATCAAAATATCTCCAATTTTCAATCGCCAGTTTCTCGATAACTAGAAGGCTGTGCATACTCCGAAGCAAATCGGAGATCAATTAGCTAGTCCATTATAACTGACCAAAATTTGAAGCCGTTCGGAGAACTCTACACCTTCCAAGTCTGGGCACAACGTAAACTCCCAGTCAGGCGTACGACCCACTTTTGCTCCCATAGTTAAGAGAAAACCATAACCCCCAGTCTGCCAGACTGGGCCACCCCCCGTGGGATAGGGTGTTCCCGAGATGCCTTGAGTGGCTTGTAGGACAGAGAAAAGCCGGAGATAACGTAGAAAACTGAGATTGCCCATGTCCCTGTGAAGGGTAGTCGTAAAATGGGCAGTTGGATGATCCAGTTCGTTTTGGCATGGGAATCCTCAGGTCGCGCACATGAACTTGCTAATGCTTCTTGGGGTAGGCCATAGCCGTAGAAAACGATATTCTGGTAGGCGTAGAGTATGCGGTAGTTCATGACAGCAAAAGCGGCATATCCTCTCAGATCGTCAAGGGAAGAAGTGAGGGGTCGACTATCGTAGGCCTCGGAGCCGTGAAAGAAACTTGGTATCAAGAATGAGACGACGCGACCTGCCCGTGCCGCTGTTTCTGTGGTTAGAATCCATTGGTGGATCTGTAGGACTTTGATGAGACGGACTTTGAGGCTGCGTTTGACGCTCTCGAGCATGTGCTCCTCGTTGAGGCCCATGTCGTCGTTGGAATCCTCATATTGAGAAATACAGGATGATGACCGGTAGAATGTATTCTCCATTGCGAGTAAGGTATGTTGCCTGATAAACAAAGCAGTCTCAGGTGATGACCAAGGCTCGTCTCAGATTCACTCTGACCAATTCTACGTCAGATCAATCTAATGCGGTACGAATACCATTGCTCCGAAAATGACGCTAAAGCTTGGATGATAAAACGATGCTACTAGTGTTACATACACAATACGCCCTTCCGCAATACAAACTATATGTATCACTTCATGTCAATGCAGGGGTTGGATTCGGGGGCTGGAAAAGGAGTGGAAAAGGGCTAGTAGCACAACCCATCCTGTGATATCTATATGAGGCCAAGGCCAACTTGAACTACTGCGACGTGCGGCGGATATCATCATGCTATTCGTGGCTCTGCTAACTAAGTGGATTTGGGTGCAGTGCATCCAGACTTCCAAAAAGTGGAAATGCATGGAACGCTTGGTAATGAGGAGGCCTGCATCGAGTAGTCGAGGTACCTAATTTAGTCGGTACAAGATTGATACACTGTTATCGGATATAGATCTCAAACGAGTTAGTTGATTATGTACCAACTTTTGTTTCTTCTTCCTATCTTTATGCGTCCCCGAACAGGAAAGTCATTATGCTCCAGAGATAAGCTATGGTATCCGTCGTAGACATCTGGTGTCTCCGTCCGTCGGTTTTCCGTGCAGGGGGGCCCAGCACCCCGCTCCAGAACTCAGATTAACCGTCCCTTCGCCACAACATGCTACTTATAACCAGAGCAAGGTATTCCCAACGTGTTGAAAAGAAAATTCAATCTCATTTCTCGTGCCTGGAACTTGATCAATTGCTGTGTCCTTCTTTACCCGTTATTAGGGTATAATTCACCTAAATTCGCCGCACCTGTTGTCCACGCAGTTGCACATGCTAGAATGTGGGAGCTAGATCTGAGCCACTTTCTCAAGCCTCTCCGATACCAGAAAGTTGCCTCCATCGGCGACGATGCCTTCGATGATATGACCTCGAATTCCTCACCACCGGGATTACCGTTGGTCAATGGCCAAAAGTCTGTCAAGCGCAAAAGCGCAATGTATGCACTATGTCACCTTTTTCTATCATGCCTGTGCCTTATTTTCTCTATCTCCTTCTTATTCTTTAAGTATTACCACGATTTATCGGATGATACGTGCTTGCGGCAGTTGTCAGCTCCAAGTATGTCTCTCCACTTGCAGTCATGCTCCTCACAGCTAACAACAACGTTAATAGGTCCAGCGCTGGAGGCTGTCGAGCTTGAATTGGTGACATTCAATGATACCTTCCAGCCTGATGAGTATAGCGGCTACCCCTCTGCTACCTCAGAGAAAGCATGGGCAGCATTATGGGACTGTGACCTCCAAACCATCTACCAAGTAGATGAAGCAATGCTCATTCAAAAAGTCGGCGCCTTCAGTGTACCCCTAGAATCTCTCGCGGGGTTGAACAAGTCTTCAATGACGGGTGATTTCAGGTTAGTGGGCTCGGGGACGGGTGCGGGCGTCGGTGGTCTTTTAGAGGGGGCGCACCAGATTCATTGCTTGGTGAGTGAGAGCGAGGTGGATGTTGAGACTGCTTAGCTAATAGATATTCTGGCAGAATCTTGTAAGGCAGTTCATCTATCGAGATCATTGGGACTATAGCAAACTGCCCTCTTTCAGTGGTGGAGAGAAGACACGCAGGCACCATGTAAACCACTGTATTGAGACGCTGAGAATGGTCATTGCGTCTCAGAGTAATGTGACTCCATATTACTTAGTAACCAGCCAAGGTGGGAGGGTGGAGAGCAGAGGACTTCCGCATAAGTGTCGAAAATATTCGAAGCTGGTCGACTGGGTGAAGTCGCATTCTGTATTCGATACTGTTGAAAAGTAGCTTTAGTTGTTACAAGGACGGGGAGCTAAATGAAAGTTCAACACAATGCACAGTAATGGATGGGCGATCGCTTTTTGTAAACTTTAAGGCTGGAATCGCGAATTAGTAATGCGTTATCCTAACTACTCTTGGGCCATGAGAATGGATACTAGGAGACCAGGCAGCAAGATCCAGTTTTTGAGTGATTTATCAGACACACGTGCTCGCGCTGCGCTAAAATTAATTTCACCCACAGAGGCACTTAACTTCAAATTTCTCCCATAGCTCCTCGCCCATATCCCAAGCTTCAGAGCAGAAATGACCGTCAACGTCCTTACGACCAATGCGGTTGACCTACAGCAGCTACTTGAAGAGAAAAAGACCACGAGTGCTTATACTGTGGAAGATTACTTGGCGCAAATCCATCGCTATGAGTCTGCACTCCATGCGCTGATTTCACCTGCCCCTAAGAACCAGGTCCTCGAAATCGCTAAGGCTCGGGATGAGGAGCGCCAGAAAGGGCAAATCCGGGGCCCATTTCATGGAATTCCCATAATTTTGAAAGACAGCTTTGTCACAGCGTCGGAGCTTGGTATGAGCACCACAGCTGGATCATATGCGTTCATTGGAGCTAAAGCGTCAAAGAACGGAGCTATCACTCAGCGGCTGATTGACGCTGGCATGGTTATCTTGGGAAAGGCTAATATGACTGTCAGTGGACGTTCGGTTTTCTAGGGAACTTTATTAGATTGACTGTTGTTCTAGGAATTCGCTGGTATGAAAATGACCATGATGATGCCCGGTTGGTCTGCTCACGGCGGTCAAACTCTGTCGCCGTATGTTGGGAAGATAAAGGATAACGAGAAGATACTTGGCCACTCGGTGAGTGCATAAAATTACAGATGTTCATTTGTACTGATACTGAGCCGGCTCCTGGGGGCTCATCCACTGGTTCTGCGGTCGCTGTAGCCGCTGGATTCAGCCCTCTTGCCATGGCCACTGAGACCATAGGTTCTATCGTGACCCCATCAACACGGGCCGGTCTTTATGCACTGAAGCCTACTACCGGGGTCCAGGATATTACTGGGTTATACACCATGACCGAGTTTTTCGACAGTCCGGGGCCTATGGCAAAGTCAGCAGCTGACGTTCGCGTTCTTTCTGAAATTCTACTTGGTCGCCTGTTTACCTCCCCCCAATTGGGTTCCTGGGAAGGTCTTTCGGTGGGCTTCCTGGACCCAAGTATTTGGAGCTTATCACTAGACCTTTGTACGCAATTTGAAGGTACAGCTGAGCAAATGGTACGTCACTCTTATTTCATCAAAACTTTCACAGCTCTAACAGTTGATTTTAGGTAGACGAGTACGAAGAGACGGTTTCCGCTCTACGAAGCGGAGGCTGTCCTCTGAAATACCCCATCCATTGCAAGGATCCCTCAGTCTTACCGACTACTATATTGCCAATCGCATGTAGGTCGCTGCAGTCCGGGTACCAGATGAGATTATGATGACTAACTACTTCTAGATTGGGATTTTAGGAATCTCTGCATCCCGAGATTTATTCGCTCTTTTGACGAGTGCTCTGTAACAAGCGTTGCAGATATCATCGAGTTCAATGAAAAGAACAGCGACAAAGCCCTTCCAGCTCGTAGGTTGACAGAGAGGACACGCCCTTACGATTTTACACTGAAGAGCTACTAACACAATGCAGCATTCGTCGAGCAGAATGATCTGGAAGGGGCAATGATCGCCACTGAAGAAAAGGAACAAATAGACGAACTGAAACAGGACCTTCGCACGGCTGCGAGAGCTATTCTGGATGAACTGTTTAACAAAGAAGAAATCAATATCCTGGTAGCTCCGGGAGACTCCCCGTTATGTGTTCATGCTTCTGCTGCAGGTAACACTCATTAATTGTACTTTTGAGACGCCGTTGCTAATGGAATCAGGGTATCCTATCGCCACAGTTCCAATAGGACAACTTCGCTACAATGGCCGGCCGTTCGGTTTATGTCTGTTGGCCAGAGCGAATGAGGAAGAGACACTATTGCGGTTCATGGCAGTGTACGAAAAAGTTGCTAAGCCTCGTCCGATTCCTAAATTTTGAATCACCGTGGTATAAATTACAAGTAACGATAATTGGCAAGATGAATGCGAGATATTTATTTACGGCAATGACCGGTAGTAGACCTCAGATAGATATCGTTATGTTGATAGTTGATCAGCCAAGATTGCAGAAACACGGGAAGCCATGTAGCAAATTAAACTATATATTGAAATGGGGATGGCACGAGGGTAGTCTGGCGTAGCAGACGGGTCGATATCAATAGATTTTAAGGCTAGTTATAGCTCAAAATGGCACTTGGCCTCGGCAGCTCCTATGAAACCTGTCAGAATAATTTCTAATAGGACCAAATAGACAGGAGATTGCAATTTACTTACTCTTGATGAGGCTCGCAATGCGAGCTTCTAATTGATCACCTTTGAATTTAGCAATGTAAAATCGACAGAAACATGGGCAATTGCACCACAACAAACGATACAACCCTGAATCCTTGCGGGACCCACTTCGTATGTCCCATTTTGTCCCACAGTGAAGGGACCGCCAAGCCCTGAACTCTAGTAGAGTTCACCACCCCTCGTGGGATATAGATACCAGCAGGAAAATCACATCTTCTCCCATCTCTGATTACCGCTCGCGACCAAGCGATTGAATAACTCATCTCGCTCTGGCATCGCTGTCAATCTCCAAGTTTTCTCGTCCTTATCCTCAATCTCTAGGCTTGCCAGCAACTTCTGGTCCGACGAAAACGCGGTTACTGCCTCAATTGTCGAATTCACAAAGGCTGTGGCCCTTTTCAGTCGCTTCATATCACTCACGGCAATTTCAAATACTGGATCCGACTTTTTAAAGCTCATCAGCCTTGGGTCATCGCGCGTGAATAGCAGGCTTGGTCTGGCAGACTCTGTAATAACTGCCCAGCCATCTTTTCCGTCAAATCGACACTGGTATTCGCTCGGCCCAGCATAGATGATGTTTTTTGCCTTAGGCAATACGCCTAAGTGACCTTTCGCCTTCTGCGAACCAGTTGCGGCCCGGACATGATCAATGGCAAGTTTCGTCTCGACGACAGATTTGGCATCGCCTTTGAAAAAACGAACTATCTTGGAAAGATGTTTGTGATTCGGCTTTTCTTTATTGTCATTGCCGTGGGCTTTCTCAACGACTGAAGGCATGGTCGCCTTAAGGACATCGGAACGGGTGGCACCGAGAGGTATGTTCTCGGCGTCAATGGGATTTTGATGATCCGGGTCATCGGGCTTGGAGGTGGGTACAGGTGGAAGAGGCGTTCTGTGTGCTTCGCCGATGCGGAGAAGAGTTATCGCGATCTGGGTGTTTGTAGGAACACCGCGAAGGACATTGCTACTTGATATCAGCATTGGAGAGGAAAAGAGCTCGTAAGACTGACTTCTTCGGCTGTGCAAGCTCCATGTAATTAGGCACGTTTCGTTTCAGCCACGCTATTGCAGGTGTCAGTATTGGACCACCGAAAATGATGAATCCAATGATACACCCAGTCCCCTTGTAAACCATATAATAGTCGACGAAAAGGGATACGAGGAATAAAGGGGCAAGAACGGCCACTATTCTGAAGAATGCAAAACGAGAAAATGGCGGAGTTGGTGAAAGTGCGCTGAAGTTGTGTCAGTCAAACCATGTGCAGCAAAATAAAGGCGACTTACTTCGCACATCTTTCCCAATTATCAGCTAACTCCCCGATCACATGTGGTGCAATGTCAAGAACTTTAGCAACACTTTCTGGGTTGACTCCAGCCCATATAATTTCTTCCATCGGCTGTTGAGTTTGATCGGTACTCTTAGTAACATGCCCTGGTGCAGAACCTGCAGATTGGACGGCTTTAACTGCTTTGCTGATAGGTTTGGGTACCTTCCCTTCCAGTGGATCTCCATCTCCATCTTGCTGTTGGCTGTTGTGCATACCAACAGCCCTTTGAAAATTGTGTCGAACATTGTCGACGAAATTGGCTGCTTCTTCTTCAATAGCTTCACGCGGTTGCTTTTCCGGAGCACCAGTGAGTGTATCATTAGTACCTAGCAGACCAGCTTGCGGCTTCTGAATCCCGCCTGTCCTGATGTTCACCAGAGCACGGGGTGCTGGCGGGAAGATTGCGTTGCGGGCTTGCACTGAAGACACCACCAGAGTCAAAAGTCCCAGAGCAAGCGGCATTAACATATCAAACAGCCATGCAGTGAAATATATCTTATCTTAGGTCAGTACACCTCTTGCTTCGAAGTTATAAGTCGGTGGTGGACTTGTTTCCAACGTACCCCACAGAATATTGATGTACGGCAAGTCTCCTTCCAGGAACGGAGTCGTGAGATTTGTTTTCCAAGGCTTGCCATGCCGAGAACCACGGACAAATAAACTCGTTGTAAGTGCAAAGCCACTTTATCCCCGGTGTGATCTGGAGACCATGCATCGTTGAGGTCTAGACCACTTGCAGCTTCTATAGGCATCGCTTTGACATCGAAGACATCCTAATCAGTCGGAAATTAGTCCTGTGAATAGTTAGGTCGGCACCAAGAAAGCCGCACCTTGTTGAAGCGTCTGATGAATGCAAAAAGCTCTCCGTTCGTGTAACCACCAATCAACGGATCGGGTATCTCTACGTCAGCTTTATGCCAACCAATGTCTCTCGGGACTTCGGCATTGCTGCCACTATGATACCCTGTCTGAATAGCACCTCGGACTCCTGGTGCCTTGGAAGCTAGTTCGTGGCTGTCTGCATTGAAGTCCTTCCTCAAGGCCTCTACCGCGCCTTCAACCAGTGCATAGGGCTGGTCGTGCAAGGTAGCCACCAAAGTAGGGTTGTTGTTGTCATGGACGTGGATGCCTGGGAGGTTATTTTGGTGATTGAGGTTCTGGTGAACTTGTGGTTCGGTCAGTCTACTTGATGCGCCCACCAAGGCATATGCTTGATCTTGTAATGTAGCCAGCATCGTCGGAGAAGCATTACTATGATGGTTAACGCATGGTGGGGTTTCGATATGGTCGTGCCTTTCATTAGCCTGGGACGCTGGCTGGCCACTAGAACCGCCAACAAGCTCACATGTCTTGTCATGTAGTGCCTGCATCATAGTTGGAGCAGCATTGTCATGGACCTGGTCGCCTGATATGGTTTCAGAGAGATTGTGCCTCCCATCGATCACAAGTAGATTATTCTGGCCATTTGCAACACCCCCCGGAGCATAGGAGCTCTCTTTTAGGGTTTGCATCATCGTTTGAAGGGTGGTGTCATCAATGTGATCCCCTGGCATTACGTGGTCGTGATTGTGAGTTGCCTTTTGGGTCGAGGATGTATTGTCGTGGGCAATGATACCATCGAACTGACTCTTTGTCCCATCAGGATGTGATGACCCATACTCATTCCCGCTCGGGTCTGCCTGGCATTGAGGATTTGGGCTTTGTTTCACCTGGGGACGTGTCTGCTGGTCCGCTTCCTGATTCTGCTCTTTAAGGGCTCGTATAGCGTGCTCATCGCTCACTGGAGGAGTGTTTTCCAAAATTTTGACGACATAGCCGGTGTTGTTTGACATCATGAATGTAACTTTGCGGTCGCCACTTTGTCGTTAAACAAGGGTGCGACTAAGCAGCTTAACGTAAGAATCCACTCAAACTTAGCCTCCTGGTCGAGCTACCGTGAGCGGTACGGGCTTATAAAAGTACAGACAAATTATAACGGGCATAATTTATTCCCTGATGGCGACAGTTCTCATTTGTCCCGCTTTTCTGCCTGGCACATAAAGGTCTCGTGATGCTGATGGCGCCTCAGTGGCGGTGGCGTCATTCGGCCCAAATAACCGCACGTTTAATGCAAGATTTCCATGCAAAATATCACAGCTACCTTCTACGCTCTGTCTTCTAGTAATACTTGTTTTCTCTCGATCCTTCCCGGCTGGCGATATATATGATCATATGCGTCGCCGCTTATCATTTTCTTTCTGCACCGGATGACTTTACGAAATCTAAGTTATAACAGTCCATCTTTATCAAGTCCGAATCTCGTCTTTGAAAAATGGCTTCTTCTCTTGAGCAGCTAAAGGCCACTGGCTCTATCGTATTTTGCGGCCCTGGTAGGTGGATGACCTCAGGATTCAAATTTTGAGGATTAGTTCAATGATTGACAAAATATACCAGGTGACTTTGCTAGTATGTGTCCTTGCCAATAGTCCCGTCTTTCTGTTGCTCCTTTTTGTTGTCTTTTTCATCCTAGCTAACTCATACTTTATATTAGCTATCGACAAATATAAGCTACAGGGTGCCACAACAAACCCCTCTCTGATCCTTGCTGCGTCCAAAAAGGCCGAATATGCAAGTCTTATTGACGCCCCTTGAGTTTGTACTAAGGATGGTTCGACCTTTTACCATTAATTTTTAGCAAATGCAAGTACATTCAAACCGAACTAGCAGACTATAATTGCTTGGCACACCAGGAGTTAGAATCGCGTCCAATACGCTGAAAGCCAACCGACCCATCGCGCCCATTTTACAAACCCACCAAAGAGAAGCCACTCGTAGTGAATTAAGTTACCTCCTTTCCTCGATCTGCCTAAAAGGGATCCGTCGCCCCTTCCTCAGCTACAAACATCCGCCTAAATCTGCATTAACCTGCATACGAAGTAGGCTTAGGTCGTGCTCAAGTTTGCTCGTCATACACTTTTATCGCTAACATCAGAGGCCGGATTTAAAATGCTATCCAATGAAGATTGGCTTTTTATCTCTGGTCTCCATCATAACTGTTATCGTGCTGGCAGCTGCGGATTTTCTGTATCTGTAAGTGTGGGCGGAAGAGAGTAAAATCTTGCCGAGGCCTAATCTTGCTCGTCATGATGATGCTCACGAGCCATCACCTTTCTATTGATTGGTGTATCTAACCCTGTCGAAAGGTAAGGCACGTCTAGACTCGTATAAAGTTTGGTTTTGCTTGCAAGGTTTCAGCCAACATTGTCTACTTCTATGATAAAAATTTCTTTTCTTAATTGATATTCTATATATTTAGATTGGACTAGTCAATCCGGTCTACTAAATTATTAGAGCTAGTGAGGCTCTCTATATAGTAAGTAGTAGCGATAATCATTTATTATATTATAGATATAATAAACTTTGTTCCCCTATCTAGGCTAGGCCTAATAGGGCGCCTACTTCACCGCCGATCTATACACTTAGTATATAGTCCCCTTTAATACCTATCTAAGATCTTTATTTCAAAATCTAAACCCTTTTAAATTCTGTCCTTAAATATAGTTTAGTACAAACTTTTGGTATACCTCCTTATACCCTCCCTAATAATAATTAACTAGCGTGCCTCCTATAGCCGTAGAGTTTCTATCAAGATCCCTAAATCCGTTAACCAAAATACGATCATCCGAGCTCTACACGACCAGCCTAGTTTATCAAACTAAATCCGGTGGTTATAGACGTAAACGAGGTCCCGACCGATCCCGCGACATACAAGGTCGAATTGTTTCAAACCTCTAAGACTTAAGATCCGATTGAGACATATATACTAAGCAGCATGATTACGATCATACCATAGATTGGTCCATAGGGCCAGAAACACATTCAGTTCGGGACCCGGTTGAGAAATACCGAGTCCGGCATCAAGACCTACGCTGATGCAATCAAATGAATCTACAAACATTCATGTCCCTTTCTCACCGTATTGTCTAATATCACTTCCAGACTCATATTTTGTACACCTATCTCCACTTTCTTCACTTCGTTTCAGGGCATCGGCGTGCGGAGCTTGCGGAGCGCGCGTCACGAGTGTCTTTACGTGGTGGTGCCCATACGTCACAAATGAGCGATGCTGATTGGTCAGTCGGCGGTAGGGTCTTGACTACCCAATTGGTCCACTCAATGGCGGCGATGTTTCTATCATGTGACCTTCTCCGCGCGAGAGTGGATCAAATTCCATAAAATCGGCAGTAAGTGGGGATAAGTGAGGTTGCGAAGAAAATTTCGCTAAAAGTGCCGAATATTATAAATTTGGTGTAAACCGACGAGTACGCTGTGTGTGTGGACGTCAAGAGCACAGGTACTGCGGTGCAAATACTTATGAAAGGACGGTATTCATACAGAAAGTTTGACGGCTATTGATTTCGAACCGAGAACATTTGAAGCCTGGTTGCCGCAAGCGATAACGGATCGGCTATCTATGATAAGCGGACATATTATAATTATACATGCTATTTTACAAACTACTACTGATGTGCCGCGCGATAAGATAAATATTAATGATATATATACAGTTTCTTTCTCGGTCAGAGAAGTTGCCTCAATTATCCACCAGTATCTTTTTCTTTGGATTATTACAGAGAGAGATATATATATCTATAAATAATTACAAGTCACAATGAGCGGCCTGGGCGGACTGAACAAAACCTCTGGTGGTATTGTCATTGCCGCCGTGCAATCCCAGCTCTTCCACGTCGTAACACCCTTGGACCTCTCCACCGCAACCGAACATGTCTGCTCGCTTGTGCGCCAAACAAAGCGCGCATATCCTTCCACAGATTTAATTCTGTTTCCCGAATACTGCATCCACGGTCTCTCAATGTCCACGTCTCCAGTCATTATGTGCACACTCTCCGGCCCCGAGGTTGCTGCCTTCCAAGCGGTGTGCAAGGAAGAGAAAGTCTGGGGCATCTTCAGCATCATGGAAGCCAACTGCATTTCCCCGGGTGCAAATCCGTGGAATACAGGTATCACAATCAATGCCGATGGAGAGATTGTAAATTGCTATCGAAAAATGCACCCGTGGGTTCCAGTCGAGCCCTGGTATCCTGGCAACCAGGGAGTTTCCGTTTTCGAGGGCCCCGGAGGCGTGAAGATGAGCCTCATTATTTGCCACGATGGTATGTTCCCCGAGATGGCCAGGGAGGCGGCTTATCGTGGCGCCGAGGTCTTGCTCAGGACTGCTGGATACACAAGTCCGATTCGGCAGAGTTGGGAAATGACAAATCGGTCGAATGCCTTTACGAATCTTATGTATACCGTCAGTGTTGCCCTGGCTGGTACTGACGGCACATTTCGGAGTATGGGTGAGGCGATGTTTGTGAGTCCCGAGGGAGAAATTCTGGAGAGGGGTGATGGTACGCCTGACAATATTATTGCGTGTGAACTGAGGGTGGAAGAGGTCAGGAGAAGGAGGCGAGAATGGGGCGTGGAGAACAACTTGTTCCAGTTTGGTCATCGAGGCTACGTTGCTGTTACTGGGGGAGCTGGAGATTGCCCTTACAAATACATGAGGGATTTAATGCACGGTAACTATAGGCAAGCGGAAGATGAAGAAGTGGTGGTCCGAGATGGGACCTCCTGCGGGTTTGAGAAGCCTACAGCAGAGTACGTCCACGACAAGTAGGTCGATCACTATGTCATCTCATTTTGTCTTGAAGCATTTTGTCTTGAAGCATTATGATGCTTATCTTCAGCCGCGAACGATCGTGCTCAAGTGTAGCCCTTGTTGTGTTGTAGTACTTGCGGGTAAAGAAAGGAATATTGTCTTAACCCAAAAGGTCATATAATAGACCCTTTGTAAATCTCCCATGATACTCATTGCCGGATAATTTCTTCGAGGACAGTCGCTGCAGCGAGGGTTTCTTCGTCGCAAAACAGGTTGCCCACCTGGAATATATGTTAGCTGAGATACCTGGAAGAGAAAGCCGGTAAACCTACCAACTGGAGACCGATGGGTCCATCAACAAACTTCTCCGGCGAATATGCTTTATACTCAGCCTCGTCCTCAGGGCTCCGTGGCTGGTATCCCCTCTCTACAATGTCTAGCTCGGGATCTACTTTTAGGCCAGTCGGGAATACAACGCCAGGCATATCTAGAACGTTCCAAATGGCCGTGTAGCCAAAGTACCGTGCCTCGTTGGGCTCGGCAGCAACGCCGACATATGTTGGACAGAGAATGAAATCGATCCCGTGCTCCTTCATCAGCAGCCGGTGCTCACTTCGATAGGCCTCCCGCTCCAGATTGACTGTCCATGTCTCCGGCACGGTCATCTTGCGGGCTCGAATAAACGCTTCCTTTGTGAGAGGAAGCCACGGCTCTCCCGAAGCTTCGAGAGCGTTAAGCTGGACAGCTGCACCATCAGGATAAAACAGGTCGTTGATGATACGCATGCCATGCTCGTGCTTGTATGGTTGCCAATCTTTCGTCTTGATTCCGGCAGCCTTCATCTTGGCCACGGCGACTTTCATGGCTCGCTGAATGGGCGGGTGTGGATGTACCATCATGTCATCCCAGAGCACGCCGACGGTAAAATCCCTTGTCGGGATAAGTTCTTTCCAAGGCAGCGGCACTAGGGAGGTTTCCTCTTCCCATGGCTTGCCGTCTGTAACGGCTTTCATAAACAGATCCAAGTCGCGCATTGAGTTGGCAATTGGACCCAACGTGCAGCGAATTCCCTCTTGTCCTTCGCCTGCAAGCCCGACACCATTCCAGGGAGTTCGGAGGGTTGTTGGCCGGATGCCGCAGCTGCCACAGAAAGCAGCAGGGAGACGGATTGAACCACCCATGTCGCTTGCAATTCCAATGGCTGCGCAACGGAAGCCTATGGATGCGGATTCTCCGCCAGAGGAGCCACCAGGGGAGAGGTGGATGTTATGAGGATTGTGCGTACGGCCGGTGATGTTGTTGTTGCAGTCCAAGTGCTAAATAAAGCATGAGAGACGGCCAAGTAGGAAGCGACTAACGAGAAAACAAAACGTACCATGCACGTTTGTGGCAGGTTTGTCCGCACGTGAAATACTGCTCCTGCCTTGCGTAATGTCCTCACCATCAAGGCATCCTGCGAGGCCACATCAGATATCCACGAGACGTAACCCGTGTGGGTGATGCGGCCCTTGAACGACACCATTTCTTTGGTGGAGATGGGAACGCCGTGCAAGGGACCGACGGTCTTGCCGGTGCTGCGGAAGTGGGCGTCAAGAGCGCGGGACTGGGCAAGAGCTTCTTCGGCCATGAACTCGGTCGCGTAGTTCAGCTAGCACAATGAGAATCTTGCCTGAACTGAACTGGGAGCGGCCCGGGAGACCTACTAGTTGATGTCCGATAGTCGCCCTTTTCAAAAATGCGATTGTAACCTCCTCTGCTGTCCAGATGCCCTTGGCCATGGTTTCGACCAAGCCAGTCGCATCGGTTTCTGTGATTTGCAGCTCTCTCTCAGTGAGAATGCCGCACTCCCTGGGGATATCGAGCACGTTTGTCCGCTCTGGGGATGGCAGCTGGTCGGCCGGGAGCAGCCATTGCTTCGGGATTGAGCTGTCAAGGATGTCTCGACAGATCTGTGCCTGAGCTTCCCAGTTGTGAGCGGCCATGTTAAAAGTAAGGTAAGAATAGAAAGATGTAGTGTTCTTCGTCACATTTGCCCCCTCATCGCTTGGTGCTCTATTTAACAAGTCAACATTCGAGAAAGAGGATGGCTTCCTTGTTGGTGGGATGCAGCCAATCACAGCGCCCATGCTTGTCATTGCGCCGACTGCGGGCCGAACGGCAGGATGAACCGCTGACTTCTTGGCATGCAGGAAATGCCTTAAACAGACCTTAGGGTTACAAGAGTACTCCGTAGACAGACTACATACTTTAGATGCTGCTGATACAAGCTCCCTTAGGTTTATCCGCGATATTAAACCCCTACAGTGCACATAGGAACGACTATCTACCTAATATGTACAGTGCACAGTGAACGTCTTAACGCTCCCCACTTACGAGCCTAGGTTAGGAATCCACCGCCTTCCAAAGACGCGTAGTCAAAACCACGCCAAGATACACCTAACACGGTATTATTTCTGCCCCTCGGAGACCCACACTGCTTGCCGTTGTGGGTGCTCCACGCTTCTTAGCGATAACGCTTCTTTAGCGATTAACGCTTCTTAGCGATAACGCTTCTTTAGCGATTAACGCTTCTTAGCGATAACGCTTCTTTAGCGATTAACGCTTCTTAGCGATAACGCTTCTTTAGCGATAACGCTTCTTAGCGATAACGGAAATCATGTCTCACATATAGAATGAACCCCGGGCCATACATAACCGGCACATTTCCAGGATGCACTCTATACCCATCCAGGCGGTTTTTTGGGTTACTTTCTCTTTTGTTTATTCGAAGCCGGTGCATCATGGCATTCGCTACAGTAACCGCTTCAGTCACCTCGTCCTTGCGTCGTCGTGGTGAGCGGGTCAAGGAACATGTCAAGCAGAAGAAGTCGCCCTCTGGCTGGGTGCTGCCGAGGCAGACGACAACGTTCACAGATGAAGGTAGCTGGTCTAACATCGACTCCGACGTGACTCCTATTGAGCGACGCACCTGGTCAACATGGACTGTCCTGGGTTTCTGGTTCAGTGATGCCCTGAACGCCCAGGGCTGGGAGGGTGCTGCCTCTATTATCGCCGTGGGGCTTACATGGTCAGTCGCGTGTCTTCCCCCTTGTTTTCCCTCTTCAGACTCGTTGAGGATAATTTTTTGTCATGGCTCACAGTTTGTCTTAGGAGGGAAGCTCTCTACTGTCTCATCATCGGCTATACCATGGTCATTATTCCCCTTATGCTCAACGGAGCCATCGGCGCCCACCTCCACGTCAATTTCGCCGTGGCTTCACGGTCTTCCTTCGGATTCTACCTCTCACGAGGAGCAGTCGTCATTCGTATGATCACTGCGCTGTTCTGGCATGGTATGTGATTCTGATCGCTTACATTCCATCTCCGACGACTCGACTTACACTCCCCCAAGCCATCCAAACATACACCGGGTCAACAGCCATGACACAAATCATTCGCGCCATCTGGCCCTCCTATCTGAACATCCCGAACACGATTCCCGCGTCAGCGGGTATCACGTCGCAGCAACTATGTTCTCACGTTCTGTTCTGGAGTCTACAATTTCCCTTTCTCCTGATCCCGCCACACAAACTTCGCTGGTTTTTTGTGTTCAAGACGGTCATCGTTATGGTCGTGTCAGTCGCGGTGATCATCGCGCTGTGCGTTCAGGCGGGCGGCGCCGGTGATATTTGGATGCAACAAGCTACCGTTTCAGGGCCAGCCAAAAGCTGGCTAGTTCTCTCGTCTATGTCAAGCATTACCGGTTCATGGTACGTTTCTCACACCCCCTGTTTCCCCCTTGGTAGAATCAGTGGATTTCACATGGTTGGATCGCCAAGTGCTAAAATCTTTCCGTGGACAGGGTAACAATGGGAACTAATATTCCCGACTTTACCCGTTACTTGAAGAAATCCAAGGGAGTGTATTGGCAGGCGCTCTTCATGCCTTTCATCGCATCATTGATGGGCATTTTCGGCATCATTGCGGCAAGTGCTGGTAGGGTTCTCTATGGTAGTTATATCTGGGACCCCGTCCAAATGGCTGCGCAGTGGGATGGACCAAGTGGTCGTTGTGGCGCCTTTTTCGTTGGTCTCTGCTGGGTCGTGGCACAGATTGGAACGAACATTTCGGCCAATGTTATCTCCTGCTCAAATGATATGGTAAGCCTTTGAACCTTCCGGTCTTTTTATGTAGTTGCCCGCTGACCTGAATTCCGCAGACAACCCTTTGCCCCAAGTATATCAATATTCGCCGTGGCGCCATCATCACAACCCTTATTGGAGGCTGGGTCATGGTTCCTTGGAAGATCATCTCGTCGGCCGCTTCCCTGTTGACTTTTATGGCCTCACTGGCCGTTTTCCTGGCGCCGATTTCCGCCATTATCGGAGCCGACTTCTGGATTGTCAAGAGGCGGCGCGTTGACATTCCATCTCTGTATCGGCGTCAGGGCATCTACCGGTATAAGGGAGGAGTCAACTGGCGCGCAGCCGTTGCCTTCCTTATTTCCGTCGTTCCCAATCTTCCGGGCATGGCACATGCTGTGACGCCAAGTCTTTCCGTGGGCACGATCGTTCATATTTACGACATTAGCTTCATGTGGGGATTCAGCAGTGGATTCATCATCTACTGCGCGCTCAACTATTTCTGGCCGGCGACCGAGACGCTCGTCGAGTCCACTATTTTCGACGAAACCAAGATGGTGAACGGTGTCCCGGTTTACAACGATGGGCTGGCAACGCCGTCGGAATCGAAATTTGAAGCGAAATTTGAAGGGAAATCTATATCACCAGTGACTAGTTCTGTTTAAAGAGTTGGATTTAGGGAAGTCTGTTTTTGGATGTACTGTAATTGTTTTCTACGTTGGCCGAACGTGCTAGATCATTAATTTGACCCATATGTTTTAGAGTAGACGGTTTTTCTGCCAGAGTGTGGCCGCTATAAATTTCGATCATTCCTTGCTGCTTGCTGTTCCCGCTCGAGTTAATTGTATGACACTTTCATGGAGCCAAATCCATAGTATTAATCGGCGGACCGATATCGAAAACGCTGACCAAATTAGGAAAACGTGAGGAGGCTCAAAAATCCACCGCATTCCGTTAGCCTGGTCATCAAACTTCAATCAAGCTTAAGCGCTTATCTTTACACGCCTCATTCAACGGCGCGGCCAGCCTTATCTTGGCACACCTTATTCAACGGTGGGGCAAGCCTTATCTTTACACACCTTATTCAACGGCGCGGCCAGCCTTATCTTTGCGCGCCTTCGGGGGTGCGACCAGCTAGGCCCGGCGATCGAACTGAGATTCATCTTTTGCTGTTTGCGTCACGTTTCTCGCTATATATCCTCCAGAGCCCTTTTATCGTTGCTGGCGACCGTGCCTTTCTACCGCCCTTCACGAAAGAGCAGCTGAGCGAATTGTGTATAAAAAAATGGCATCAACAATCAAGCTTTCTCTTCCCAATGCTCGACCATACTCCTTCAATTTCCCCCTCGCAACCACTGCTTTCATCATTATTGACATGCAAAGGGACTTTTTAGATCCAAATGGATTTGGCTTCATCCAATGCGGGAATCCTGATATCTTCTCCTCTGTCCGCAAGATCGTGCAACCCGTTCAGAAAGTGCTAGATGTCGCCCGCTCGATTGGAACGCAGGTTATCCATACTAGGGAAGGCCATCGCCCGGATCTTTCAGATTTGCCTGCAGCGAAGAAGTTGAGACAGATCAGTGCGCCCGGTGGCCACCATACGATGGGCATTGGCGACAAAGGCCCCATGGGAAAGCTGTTGGTGAGGGGTGAGTGGGGTCATGATATTATTGACGACCTGAAGCCGCACCCCGGAGAGCCTGTCATCGACAAACCAGGGAAAGGGGGTTTTTGGGATACCGGACTTCACCGGATCCTGTTGGCCAGAGGTATTACGCATTTGATTTTCGCCGGCGTTACAACCGAGTAAGTTATATTGGGAAGAAATCTTGCCTTTTACACATTGGCTGACGAGGAGAAAAGGTGTTGTGTGACGACGACTTTGCGAGAGTGCAATGATCGAGGGTACGAATGCTGCATCCTGTCAGACTGCACTGGTGGTTTCGACCAGCAGATGGTGACCACGTCCCTCGATATCATTTGCGGTCAAGATGGCCTTTTTGGATACGTTGGCCACAGCTCGGACTTGATTGCCGAAGCAGAAAAGTTCTGCGAGCTGAAACCGCCTTGTGCTGCCCCGGCTTTGGACGCTGCTCTTCCCTCAATCTCTGAGTTGCAACGACACTACAAAAGCGGCTTCTTGGATCCTGAGATGATTGTCCAGTCTGTTTTTGATCGGATAGAGAAATACGAGACAGTCGACCCTGCCGTTTGGATTTCTAAACAGTCTCGAGAAGATGTGGTTGCGGCAGCCAAAGCCCTTTCTGAAAAATATGCTGGAAAGCCACTGCCTTGTCTTTTTGGAATACCGTTTGCAGTGAAAGACAGTATCGATGTGGCAGGCGTAGTCACGAGTGTGGCGTGCGAGAGCTTCGCGTACACCGCCAACTCCACAGCCCCCTCTATTCAGCATCTGCTTGATGCTGGTGCCTTGTACATTGGGAAGGTGAACTTGGACCAGCTTGCAACGGGTCTATCGGGATGCCGATCACCGTACGGTATCCCCCACTGTGTCTACAGCACAGCCCACATTTCCGGTGGCTCCTCGTCTGGGTCAGGAGTCGCTGTTGCAGCTGGACTCGTTTCATTCGCCATTGGAACTGATACGGCAGGCAGTACTCGAGTCCCTGCAGCCTTTAATGGCATCGTTGGCTTCAAACCCACTAAGGGTACCATCTCCGCTCGGGGTTTGGTGCCTGCATGCAAAAGCCTTGATACAATTACCATCATGGCGCCTACTCTACTAGACGCACGAGAGGTATGGTATATACTTGACGAGCATGATCCCTTGGATCCATATGCCAAACCGCCAAGCCGCTTATCAACTTGGAAGGTGGATTTCCGAGGGCCAAAGGAAGGAGGCTTCACATTCGGCATTCCTCCAATTTCTCTCCTGGAAACCTGCTCGAAAGCATACCAAGAACTTTTCCAAGCTGCCGTTGAGAGGTTACGATCTTGTGGTGGCAGGTTAGTTGACGTCGACTACACGCCATTCGCCAAAGCTGGCGACCTTCTTTATGATGCGTCCCTTGTACACGAACGCCTTGCCTCCATGGGTCACGAGTTCTTCGTTAAGAATATCGACACCCTCCATCCCACCACCAAGTCTATCTTTCAATCCGCACTTTCTTCCGAGCTAAAAGCCTGGCAAGTATTCCATGATCAGGCCGCACAAATTCAATACACCATGCAAGCAAGGAAAACTTTCAATACCTTGGAAGGCGGGATTGATATCCTGGTCGTACCAAGTGTACCATTTCATCCTACGATCAAGGAGATGTTGGGTGACCCGCTGGCTCTGAATTCCAAGCTTGGCACGTTCACACACGCAGGCAATGTTGTTGACTTGTGTGGTGTTAGCGTCAATGCCGGGTGGGTGGAGCATGAAGAAGGAGTGAAGCTACCATTTGGGGTTACTTTTCTTGGTGGAAGTGGGTATGATGGGAAGATTCTGGATATCGCCGGGGTTTTCGAGGATTCTGTCAAGGGAGGCTGTTGAGACATGGAGCGATAACTTACCGCTCGCTACTACGTAATGTAACGAAGACCCACATTTCTTTGTTTTGTATAGTAAACTGGTATTCTTCGCAACTCGGGTGTTGTAATCACTGAGTATCAGCACCCTTTATGGGGTGTTTCAACCTATCGAGAGCAGTCAGTTTTTCTTTTCAATAAACTCAATCCAAGATTGGTTCCACTTGACCTGATCCTCATCTCATTCGCCTATTTTATGTACTGGCCAACACTGTCCTGCCTTGCTCAGATATCTAATAATATTGAAACCCATCATCTTCACGTCGAGTGCGCTTCGTGGAAGTTGCTTCACTTGGTAAGTATGGCTCAGTAATATCTTCTCCTGCTCTATCTCCTTCTGCTAAAGGATCTTTCTCTCTAAGATCCTGCGCAGGAGAGGATATGCCTCACGTCGCAATTCTGCCCCAAGCTTAAAGACTTTAGCACTTAGAGGATGACCCTCATCATTGAACCATATTTTCGATGCCTTAATAATAGAGCTTGACTGGTAGGAGTCGGTAAATCCAGCTGTCATGGTGAGATTTGACGGGCAGAATATCCTGCAATCTAAGCCTGTGTTGAAAAAGGCTTATGTGAACGAAGGTTTGTCCTTCGGGTCGGCGCGGTCGGCGCGATCGGCGCGATCTGGCGCGGTCGGCGCGGTCTGGCGCGGTCGGCCACGGCGCGTGGACGGCCAATGAATCGGAGCAGCTAACGGGATCCATCATTGGCAATTGTAATCATCAATAGGTAACGAATTAGTCTCTCAGGGCGCTTCAGACCAAGGTAGCCAAGAAGTTTTGTTTCGATCAAATCTACTGGTGCCCATTATTGTTTAAACGATTCCTGATGTTGTGAATAGACATCAGTCATCATTTCGCCTACCTCGTAGCACACATCTCGCGACGATTTACACTCACCTCTTCATCGACGATGGTAGCCGAAATATCAGCAAAGGGCGAAGCACGCCCACTCATAATTTCTTAATGGCGTGCTTTGCAAGAATCAGTCTCCGAACCAAGCCACCTTCTATCATTACTGGAGCAACTCAAACTCGATACATCACATGCTTGGATTTCGTTGGCAACACCAGAGCAAATTAACGCGCAATGGGAAGAAATTAGATCACTTCGTTCGCAAGGAAAAGAGCTTCCACTTTTTGGTGTACCCTTTGCTGTGAAAGACAATATTGCGGTAGCCGGTTTTCATACAACAGCCGCATGTCCATCTTTCAGCACCGAGCCCGCTAGTGCCGATTCAACTGTCGTCGCAAGCCTGAAATCTTACGGAGCTATCGCGATTGGAAAGACAAATCTCAATCAATTCGCTACAGGTCTTGTCGGCACATGCTCCCCCTATGGAGCCGTTGCGAACTGTTTTGACCAAAAAAGCGTCAGTGGCAGGAGCAGCTCCGGGAGTGGAGTTGCCGTCGGCCAGGGAGTAGTTCCATTTGCCTTTGGGACTGATACCGCGGGCTTAGGGCGGCTTCCTGCTGGGTTCAACAATGTCATTGGACTGAAGCCTACCCGAGGGGCTTTAAGCACGCATGGTGTTGTTCCGGCTTGTCGATCACTGGATTGCGTCTCCATACTTTCCTTAACTCTAGAAGATGCTGAGCTGGTGTTGCAACTGGCCGAGGGTTATGATCCCCAAAATGCATATTCTCGGAGTAGGCTTGACTATACAACCAACAAGGTTCCTCGAGGCACTCGACGTTTAAAACCAATATTGGCTGTTTGCTCCCATCCAGAGTGGTTTAGTCTATCCCAGCATGCAAATGCATATCAAACGGCACTGTCAAAGGCCGAACGACTGGGCTGGCAATTAATTTCTGTCGATTTTACACCACTATTTTCTTTGGCAAAACTTCTTTACGAGGGTCCATGGGTCGCTGAGCGATATGCTGCCATTGAGAAATTTATAACATCTGTGGATGCAACGGCGATAGACCCTGTCGTGCACAGTATAATCATGAAAGCTAAAGAGTTCTCCGCTGCGGATGCCTTTCAGAGCGAGTATCACCGGCAAGATCTTTCCCGCAAGATTAAAGAGCTCTTTGCAAGATTTGATAGGCTTCTCCTGCCGACGACTCCTACCTTCCCTTCGATCGAAGAGCTCCAAGTGGACCCGGTTGGGGAAAACAGTCGATTAGAAACGTATACCAATTTCGTGAATTTTCTTGACTGGACTGCTCTGGCTATCCCTGCCGGCTGGCGAGAGGATGGTCTTCCATTTGGGATAACTCTCATCGAAGATGTTTGGGAAGAGCGACGTTTATTGGATCTAGGTCGGCGTTGGCTCTCCGATGCGCCGCGTCTATTAGGAGCAACTCGCGTGGAATACGAGGAAGAATCGTCCAGCCTCCTCGTCGCTGTCGATGTGATTCCAATAGCAGTGGTCGGTGCGCACCTCTCCGGTTTTCCTTTGAATAAAGACTTAGTCTCTCGGGGCGCAACTCTCGATACTGCCACAGCTACAGCACCATGCTATAAATTATATGCGCTGCAAACAACTGGCCCAGTAAAAAAGCCTGGCTTACAACGTGTCGCGGAAGGTGGAGAATCGATTGACGTGGAAATTTGGAACATGCCCCCCGCTCAAATGGGCAGCTTTCTGGGCACTGTCGCGCCGCCGTTGGGGATCGGGTCCATTGAACTGCAGAATGGACGCTGGGTACATGGATTCATTTGTGAGCCAATTGGTCTGGATAATGCAGACGACATTACCCATTTCAGAGGGTGGCGAAGCTATATTCAGTCGCTTGCCAGCCCTACCCGGTCTTTAAGTGGATCTCTTGCACACCAGTTTCCAGCTCTGGTTAGAACTAGATTCGAACCGTCCTCATTGCCAACCACGGTGAAAGTCCCTTGCATATCATTTGCACCAATGCTATGGACATCAAGTCGATAGCCATTTTTTCCGACGCTGATGCTCGTGCGCCACACGTGACTGCTGCAGATGTTGCTCTGCCTCTGATTGGGAAGACCGTGTCCGACACTTATCTCATGGTTCTCGGATTCTGGACCTTACAGTCAAAGCTGGCACTCATGCTGTGATACCTGTATATGGATTCCTTTGGGAGAATGCCGACTTTGCAGCTGCCGTGGAAGCCATGTGCCTGAATTTCATTGGACCAACTCCTGAACAGATGAGGGATCTGGGCTTGAAATACTGTTCTCGTGAAACTGCATTGGATGGAGGAATTCCAGTCGTTCCTGGGGGAGACGGACTCGCTGGCTTGGAGGATGCGATCAAGGAAGCGGAGAAAATCGGATACACTGTGATGGTCAAGAACACGGCCTGGAGGTGGTGGAATTGACCTTTAGCGGTGCAGTGACATAAGTGCTCTTCGAGGGACTTTTGACAGTGTGCGTCGACTTGGTCGGGCCAACTTCGGCGATTACGGAGTCTCTATTGAGCATTTATTTATGATTAAAGTCGTGGCAACGTTGGTCGCGTCCTTACAATACCCTAAAACCCCCTAAAAAACCCAAAGTGGGGACCGTGGAGTTTATCTCTGACATTGAGACCTGTAATTTTTACTTCCTCAAGATTAACACTCGCCTGCAAGTTGAGCATCCTGTGACAGGGCTAGTAACAGATCTTGACCTGGTCAAATGCAAGTTGCACATCGCCATTGGAGATTGTGCCACCCTTTTCCCTCTGGAGGTAAACAATATCTCAACCAAGGCGCTTCCATTGAAGTGCTCTTCTACGTCCTCTCCAGTCATTTCGCCCCTGTCCCGGGAAGCCTCTGAATATCGAATTTCCATGCGATATTTGTGTCGACGCCTGGGTAGCTTCCGGTCAAGAGCTATCCACTTCTTTTGACCCCATGGTGACAAAGATCATCGCTTCTGGGAAGGACCGCGCCACAGCGATCAGAAAAATATCTCTGGCTCTGGAGAAACCTACCGTCATTGGCGTAGAGATGAATCTCCGGTATTTGCCGCAAACTATGACTTGGAACGCTTTCACTACTGGAGAATTAACGACAAATACATTTAACAGGTTTCCATCCCAAGCCGAGGGGGTTGAGACCATTGAAGCTGGGTCTGATACGCATATACATGTCGTTCCAGAACGCCAAGGGCTGTGCCACATTGGTGACCCGCCCTCTCGCCCAATGGATTCCTACTCTTTCCGCCTCGCTAACAAAGTAGTTGGCAATGAGGACGGTGCCCTAGTCTTTGAATACTCAATACAAGGTCATACTCCGCTGTTCCATTGCCAGGCCACTGTTGCTGTTGTTGGTGCCAATTCGCCTGTATTCGTCGACGGCGCATGAAGATTTGCTGAAGCCGTATTATGCGGCCTCAATGCTGCCGTCTCGGGCAAATAATCATGTTGAGGCAATCAGTGGAGAGCGAGCTAAAACATTTCTTCCGGGAGTGTATTTTCGATTAGCTATATACGAATGCAAAAATGTTAATGAAGGGGGTTCACTGGTAAGAAACAGATCTTACTTTGGCATCGAGGGTCTCCGTTCTAACTTGAAGTTGATTTGGATCGAGTCGAACAAAATGAAGTCAAAATCTGTGCTCCAACCATGGAAAATATGTAAGACTTTTGTTCGAGCAAGGACAGTCCTTAGCCCTAGTGATGTTATTGCTGTTATCCAATAGACTGCACTGAAAAACAGGATAAAATCAGAACCAATTCAAATCATAAAAGCTCTGTAGCACAACGCGACATGCTAACTGACCCAGAAAGATTTTCAGCCCAAAGGAAGAAGACACCACACTGTGCTGCACTGTCAGATTCTGTGACGAAGTAGAGCTATCAATCACAATCTGTGGCTGCTTTCATTGCGGCTAGATCACCGATCTCTTCCTCGAGCATCCGAAGTGCTTCACGAGCGAACGGTATTGCTGAAGCCCAAACTTGAAGAATCCAACGAAGTCTCTCCAGGTGTTCAGCGTATTCTGATACTTCATCGGCATTGGCACTAGTCGCCCACAGGAGACCGGCTAAGGCTCCAACCAAAGTAACCTGTGCTGCTGCTGCAAACCCCCAAAAAGACTGCAAGTGTTGTAGCTGAAATGATCCAATCAAATTGATAGCAGACACAAGGCGCGCCCGAGCAGCACCCCGAACGGCTGATATGAGACTAGGACGGTCATCGGGCGCCAGGATTCGAAGCAGTGCGCGATGAATTGTCAGCTCTGCGGCCGCGTGGGACAGATGCAGTGCCCCATTTGTGGATAATTTTAAGGAAGGTGTGGAGTCTAGCTGGAGGCTAGGAGGTAGTCTCGCGTGCCAGTCGCGCAATTGCAATGCGAGGGGTTTCGCAAGCTCGAGCGCTCCTGATGCTCCGATCCGATCCAGCAGACCCCCCTTCCTGGTTGCACCAGTCGAGCAAAAGGTCGCCGTGATGCAGCTGAATATTTTCGTTAATTCAATAGAGTGAAGAAAGGCTTCTCGACCTGCAGGGCCGTCTACAACCCCAGAGCCCTCATCATCAGCTATTGTTTCAGGAAAGTCGTTGAGAGTACACGGGCGCACGACCCAGTCACTTGTATCTTGATCTCCGTCGATCTGTGTTGGAATAAGAGATGCTCTGCCATGAACGAGAGGACCCCATTTATCTTGCATATACAGCGCCCAGGCTAATCGTTTTCGCAGACTTTTCTCCCATTCAGGAATTGTCCAGTCGCTGCAGTCGACATGGATGCCTAGCGTCTGTCCAAGGGAAAGGAGCTGGGCAGGCAGGGTGTCATTATGGGAGGAGCCTTTTCGCTGTAATAACAACAGGCCCGCCTGTAAGGTTGACAACTTGGGTCGCTTTCGCTCATCGTCCATCGCTCGCATGGCCAGATTTTCCAGGCGCCCTGCATCTGGTGCTCGTGCTAAGCTGGCCAACTGTCGGTCAAAAAACCTCCATTCTAATGCGAGCAGGTAGACAGAGGCAAGCAATGGCGGAGAAAAATTGCGGTATGACTGCGCATATTTCTCCAGGAACACATTTTTGTCCAAAATTGGAAACGTCCGGTGCATGATGTGAAAGTAAAGATTCACTAGAGTCTGACCCAAAGGACGAATGCATTCTTCTATTTGATCCAGGTTCGCCCAGCACTGCAACTGCGAGGCGGATTCATCATCAGGATAGGTGATGAATGCGGTGGATTGACTGACTCTGCGCGGATATGATTTATCTTGACCGGTGGTAGAGACAGCGGACTGCTTCAGATCAAGAAGAGCAGGCTCATGATAGCTTGCGGGACCAATGTATTCCGAATGCCGGTGTAAGTCGAGGCCCAGCGTGCCATTCAACAAAGAATTGGCTGAATCGAATCGAGAATGGCATCTGGGAGAGTCTACAGAAGACAATGGCGTGGGTGAACCATGATGTGATGGAGCCCTGAAGTCCTTTTTTAGCACGCTTCTTCGACAGCATCAATGCCCAAACATACTTGCCTGACCCCTCGGCGAATTCTCTGGCTGTCCGTGTCCGTGGCTGTGGACCATGAAGAAATGTACATTCCAGGTGATGCATATCACATGACGTACAGTTTTCTTTCCCCGCGTCTCGAACACATCGTGACTTTCGTTGGCGACAGCGGTCACAAGGGCGCCGTGTGGGATCCCCCCGCGAGCTTGAGGCCATCTACTCCAATACGAACATGTACTTTTTTGTTGCTTTGTCTTTTGACAGATCGATCAAAGCTGTATACCGAAAGCCAACGGGATTTGATTCTTGAATTGATGGTGTGGTTGGAACATCCCCTCGTGCTTCGACTAGCGTGCTACGAAGCTGATGCTCTGGGGTTACCCGGTCTTCCCTATAAACCGGCTGAGGGATCGAATATTATGTAATGAAATGGCCGAGTTAAAACCTTATGCGCAGTAGAGGCCAAGTGTGGCCCAGACACTTGGAGACGTGTCACCCGACGGGTGGGGGGTCACGTGACCCATTAGCGCGTTTCCAACTGTCGGGTGAGACATTAGACTGAACTACATCCCGGCGCAGTAGTCACTGTATGTAACCTCATGTGCAAAATTCCGTGTATTATTATTATTATTCAATTGTTGCTCCATCTCGACAGTCAGGCCCCGACCGCACGGCAACGCCTACCGAAGCTCTTTTCAGTTCCGTTATCGGCATCGGCAATAGTCATGGCGTAACATTACCAACATTGTATGGGTTCAAGACTGGTTAAAAAAATTTGATGGTTTTGAAATCTTGTATTCAACATTTTGCTGATGTACTGGTCGCATCTTTTGTCCACCATTCATCGTGTCTAAAATAGCATCTACTCGTGCTCTTTCGCTCACCGTTATGATTTCGGTTATCGCGCATTATTATTACTGTAAACGTTTTCTTTATCGACTTAACCACTTTAGTGTCCACGTCCCCGGATTTTGCCGTACCCAGCCAACTAACGCTACGAGTGCCAAGCTCACTAATGCCATAAATGGTACTAGGCTTGTCTGTAAACATTTTAAATAGCAAGTTTTCATGTTCTTTGACAATTATCTTCAAATCAATGATCACTTGAAAAAAGCTCACAATTCTCCAGAGGATCTGAAGGTTAGGCAGTGCTTGTAACAAGCAGCAGTTCATGCTAAGTCCACAGATCTCCACACTGTCCGCTAAGCTAGCGGATAGAAGCTTTAAAACCGGTGCGATCTCCTAGATTCAATACAGGTCACTGGAAAGAATTTTTTTTTTTCTCTCGGCAGCCGTCGCCCGGAGGTCTTAGGTGGAGGGATGGGAGCTTATCCCTATTATTGATAAGTCGGTCCGATCTCGCAATGTCGGTCCTTGGGGATGAACACATAAATACCTTCTAGCCCACCACAAAAATAACCTTTATAATCTGATCTCCATTAGTGTCATACAACATGCTTGAAGTCAACTGCACCGGCAGCCCCCGCGCCATCGGCCTCACCCACGGCACAGCCGCTAGGTCCTTGGTCCATGGCTCGTTGGCATTCTACAAGATGCTCTTCCAAACGAAATGTAAAATGGACTGGTCAGATGCCAAACTATTTGCTCGTATATTCCACCCTTATCTAGAGCAGAATTGGCCTCAGTATGTTGCGGAAATGGAAGGCGTTGCCGAGGGCGCCGGAGTCAGCTACGAGGACATTCTGGTGCTGAATGTACGAACTGAAATTGCATATGGGGCATTTAATGATGGATGCACGGGCCTTTCATGGAAAGGAAAGGGAAAGAGTTTGTTGGGCCAGAATTGGGATTGGAATCTCGAGTCAGTCTTCTCTCCCCCTCTGCTTCTCCTCTCCGCTGATGTCGATATATGTAAAACAGCCAGGCGCCAAATCTCCTCCGTCTAAACATCAAAAAGGAAGATGGGACGTCAGTTCAAATGATAGCCGAAGCCGGCATCCTCGGGAAAATAGGCCTTAACTCCCACGGCGTGGGCTGCACACTCAACGCCATTACTGCCCACGGAGTTTCATACAACAAACTGCCCTGCCACCTGGCTCTAAGAACTATCCTGGAGTCGACTTCTCGCTCTGCTGCGATTCAGATGCTCGAAGCAGAGGGTGTGGCCAGTTCTTGTCATCTGCTAGTTGCGGATGTCACAGGAGGGACAGGGCTGGAGTGTAGTTGCGAGGACATTGTGCGGCTGGAAATGGATCTGGAGGGCCTGGTAATGCATACCAATCACTACATCTTACCGCACAACGAAAAGGTGGTCGAATCCAAAAACTTGCTGCCCGATACGTGGTATCGACTAAGGAGGATTGGCGAGTTAGTGGATGCGGTGAAGGAGGAGGGGCCAAGCATCGAGGTTGTCGAGAGGTTGTTCCTCGATGAGGTCGAGGGCGATGGGTCGAGTATCTGCAGGCATTATCAGGACGTCGATGAGCTGGCGACGTTGTTTAGGATTGTGATGGATCTAGGCGAGAGAAGGGCGACCGTCAGTGTGGGCCTACCGGTTGATCCGGTTGAGAATTTCGAGTTGAGGCCATAGGAAATGCAGTAAACGCAACGTAAATACAAAGTATCCCCCTAAACTTATTCCGGCTCTGTAGGGTACTCATAGTAAAAAAGTCTTAGCAAGTGGGGGGAAGGAAATCGTGCAAACCCCCTCTCCGGCCGCCCCAAATATTTTTCTCACTTCACTCAACTTCCTCATTGCACCCCTGTGCACACCAGTTATCACCGTGTCTCAACCAGATGTTTCCAAAGTGGATGACTCGGACGATGATTTATTCTACCACCCTTCTTGGCCTGAACGTTGGACTCATCCGGAGTTTGTGGTCTCTCGCGATAAACGCCGAGCACGCTGGTCTTAGCAACCCTGGCAGAAAGACAGGAGGCGTACATCAGTGAACTTCATAGGTAAGTTTAAGTGGCCCTAGGGGTTCATGATTTATCGCACTATCTATACCCCGGAATCAGATAGAGTGTAGACCTCCTACCTCGACATAATTACCGGTTATATCAATTAGGAGATAGATCATATCGATAGACTATAGTACGCGAGCCAAGATCCTTTCCTAGAAACCATTATCAAGGAGATATATAAGAGCGTTATTTTTGAAGTCCGAGAGCGCTAGGATAGGACGTCATAGGACTAGATTCGTGTAGACTTTAACGCACAATTAGAATCACTAGGGGTTAAAGTCGGAGACGATATACCTAGGTTTACGGCATATCTTGTTATTGACGAAAAGTGCTTACAATCGATTATACGGGCTTACGATAACCCTAAGGATTAGATAGGCGGGAGTAAGATAGGCATAGTTAGTAGGATAGGGTTCGTAGGAATGATTGATCCTACCTATTCGGAGCGTTATAGCTATTGCACCAACCTATATCGTGGATTCATAAGAGTGCAAATTAACAGCCTCTATGACCTAGCGGCTCGTCAGCTCACTTACTTCTCCATAGATGAGATTTATCCGTCAGTTTCTGGTCAGGGGAAGGTTCCTGTTTACAATGCTCGCAAGGGATATAAGGATGATTAATGAGTCTCATTTCAGAACAAACTTATGACCAATACTTAGAAGAAACAGTTTATTGAATCCTTCTCTCATAGACTTTTTGGTGTTCTAGCGCGCACATCAACAAGAATGAATATCAATTGATGGGGGGTGCATGGATTCGCATCAGACCTCGGAGGAAGAAAATACAATGCAATTTCGTTGGATAAAGAGAATTGCTAGATGTAGACTCTTTTTCACCTACCGCACGCCTGCTTGCTAATAGGCAATTTAATTATTCCACGCGGTCCCCCAGATAGCGCGGTAGGTGATGCGTTTAGCAAAAGCTAGCTGTGTAACACAACCTTGCTTTGGTATTTGTCTTTACAGTTGCAGCTGAGCTGCTACAATAGCCGCTGATCCCATCAACAAGTTTCTCGCAGCCGCAATTTCGATCGCTAAGCGAGGATATCTAGGCCGGCCGCACGTGGCCACCACGAGGCTTTTGGACTCTCAGTGTAACAAGGCGCCCGTCTGAACATTCTATTATCACTATCACGAAGCCGGGAAGATTTTTGATGGCTCTATCGGTGCTAGGAGCACACACCTTGGCTCTGGGAGCAAAGAAGAAGCTTCTCGAGGCCACCTAGCCCTTAGGAAACCCGACATAGCTTCTAGGGCCTAGTACCGTCACTGTCAGGTATATACAAGAAGCATATGGAACGGATGGAGATATGGTCTGCGCGGGACCCACATGACGTATATGGGTTTCCCCTGTATGCGAGGAAGCTACCTTTCTTTTGCTTCCTCGCGCTACGTCTTGTATCTAGAGTCCACTATAGCTGTTCTTGTCGATTCCAAGAGATACGGTACGTGCTAGTTCTACAATAGACCAATGATCGGCTTGATATCGTAGAATGAGTGTAATTTCTAACTTGCTGATTCCGCGATATTTAACATAGTGTGTGCTCACCAAGCGGTGTATGGCTTGGCAAATGGTCATCTAAGTTATAATGCAGGTCCTAGGAAGGGGCGGATATCTGCTCTGTAGATCCACGTCTCTGTATCACATAGCCCCTGAAGGATGGTCTAGACCGACGACACACTGGCACAAGCCCATGTCATGTACGGAATTACTTGCGGGCATTTTTCCAAATGAGACGTTCTCAAGCGATGATTAGGGATAAACGTGGCAGACCATGTAATGACGTGATATCGCGTGCAGGAAGGCTTACGAGCTGACATGTACCATCATCCAAGATGACCCTTGATCTTGGCATTGGCTCGCGATCCAATGCCAAGACTATGTGGCTCCGATCCAATGCTAAGACTATGGAGCATCAATCCTATAATAATAAGAAAGGGAGAAGGGAGGGAGGGAATCAATCAGTCAGAAACCGCCCTCCAAGGCACCATTATACACAACATTGTCACTACTTTGGACAGTTTGGTTTTGAGTATTTCTTCTACTCAAAGAGTTTGATTTTTATTTGCTTCTTAGGACTGCTGTCCCCCTTTAGCTCCAGTAGGAAGCTATATAACTCACACCCATCCTCCACTCAACTCTCTACTTTGACCCATCTATTCATTGCCTAATTGATGGTCCTCATTAAGTCACACATTCCCAACACCACCATCATCCCCCAAACAATTTGCGTACATCGCATCCGCGTTAGGTATATAGTCGGAGAATTTCTTGCCGTTTTTGTCCGTGATATCCTGGCACAAGCAGAAGCTTGACTTCTTCCTCCCCTGGAACAGTTCTGCCGCAGGCGTATCCAACCAATCTGCGAATGCCTGGATATCCTTCGCGTTGTCGTTCGGCATGACCTGGCAGTGGGGGATTGTGAAAGCACCAGGGAGTCGGGCAGCGTTTGTCGAGACCCAATCCTTCGTGTCGAGGTACGACTGCAGGTCGTTGTCGATGCTAAAGTCGAAGCCGCCTTTGCTGAAGGCGTCGGCGGAGGATTCGATGATGTCCCAGGTGGAGAAGCCGTTTTGTTCAATTTCCTGGAAAGAGTTAGGTCGGTCGAACGGCGTTAAGGGGAAGTTAGGGACCACTTACTCCCCATCCGGGAGGGTTCTGGGCGTATGGGTTTTCTCCATTCAGAAGGGCGGGCCTCATTTGGATGCTGTTGACGGTGGTGGTCAGTGTCACGTCACGTCATGATCCATCCCTATGACATGAAACTTACCCCTGGAAGTAGAAGCCTCGTCCGCCGTAGTAGTGCTTGAGACGGAAGTCGTTGCTGCCGGCTGCCACCGCGAGGTTGTTGACTGTAACAATTAGTATTAGTATCAGAAGACCGCGGGAGAGAGGAAAAAACATACACTCATCTTCGGTCATCGGATATGAAACCAGGTAGACGTTCTGCTGCCTCCACGCAAAATTGATAGAGAAGCTCAAAAGCATCTTGTAGAAATAATCTTCCACCTGAGTCACGGATATCATGGTTGGGTTGAGAACTGGAATGTTATGATAATCGAGCCAATCACCAAAGGCCAAAATATCACCAGTACTTTTACCGTTGTATGCTCCTTTAAACATCAGCCCGTCGTTTATATTCACGGTCTCGTTGATCGCGCCTTGATAATATCCTATGGTAGTTCTAATAAATTAAACATGGTCAGCAACAGCTCAGGATATGTTATAAGATTGAGGCTCACAATTCCATCTTGGCCATCCAAGCTAAGCTCTCATCCGACGACTTAATTCTCTTATCGACAGAACGCGCCAGGCCGTTTATCAATTCTTTCATAACGCCAATATACGGCCCACCGAGGAGGGACGCAGCGACGCCGATGCCTGTCATGATCCCGTTGAGGACGTCATGAGCCTTCACGTCATCTGGTACCTTTCCGGGCCAGAAGGTTTGTTGCAGCGCGACTTGGAGGCCGTTCCATCGTGTTTGGCTCATCTGGATTGCCTGATGGAGGTTGTACAGATACTAAGTACCAAATGAGCGCTCATCGACCAGAGTAGGAGTAAGCCGGGCTTTTACTTACCTGATTGACATTGGCCAGAGAAACAAGGACATTATAAGCGCGACCACTATCGGGTGCGCTTGGGTCCTGCAGGTCGTCACAGTTGGGCCTAGCACAGAAAGTCGTCATTGTGCAAACAAAGCTCTGTCCGATTCCCCATGGCTGCGCAAAAGCAGGGCCCATTTCCGAATGGGCTTTCGGGTCTGTTTGGAGCCAATCTGGAATCTGTTAATAGCCATGTTGAAGAATCTAATGGCGTTCCTAGACTTACTGTCGAAGTAGGCACCCGTGTTAGTTTTATCCCAAAACGATGACTCCAGGGTCCCATGATTGGCGGTTTGGTAAGCTGCCGGGCGTCAGTAAAGGTTCACGATAGACACTGCACGACCTACCCTTAAGATCATTGCAGCTTGCATGATCACCTGACCCCCCGATGGAATCTGGCAGCTTGGTCGGAACCGGCTGCGTGGTGGGATCTGGCTGCGTGGTGGGACCTGAACCGCCTGAACCGCCAGTCGGTGGTTCGGAACAGCCATTGAACCAAGCCTTCACGGCCGCCGAGGAGGGAGTAACATCGAGGTATTCATCCCGACCATCACCTATCCGCAGAATATCGTCAGCCAAGGACGTGTGCCTCCAAGTCGACAACAAAACATGACATGTTACTGACCGTTGAGATCCGCAAACTGCTTGTTACTGCCTCCAGTACCAACGCCTGTGGCAATTGTGTTTTGAGGAATCCAGGTGACCTTTCCAGCTTCAGGCCCATCGTTGCCGTTGGGACTTCCAGCATTTAGCCACATATCAACCGACCCATCTGAAGGATGGACCCAGAGATAATCGGCCCTTCCGTCACCTATTGCAATGTGTCATTTAGTCATCGGTCAAGAATCACCATATGAACGGCTTCTACCAAAGAATACCCACCATTGATGTCGGCAAAGGCAATCTCATCTCTCGATGACGCGCCGACTCCTGTAGCGATGACGCCTTGAGGCAACCAGACAATTTGCGGGAAACCGCCTCCGTTGATATAGGCAGTCACAGCACCCTTCTCATCAAGCCACAAATAATCGTCCCGGCCATCGCCTGCACCATTCATCCAGTTAGTCGAAAAGTACGGAGACGTCTACAAGGAAGGGGGTACACACCGTTGAGATCAGCAAATCTAACACCAGCTCCCTTTTCAATGCCTGTTGCAACAGTGCCCTGAGGGACCCAGGTGACCTTTCCAGCGTTGGGACCGTCATTGCCGTCTGGGCTGCCTGCGTTCAACCAGCATTCCACTGCACCGGTATCAGGATTGATCTTCAGATACTCCGCACGTCCGTCGCCTGTTCTAGTAGTCAATATATAGAACCACCATGGAGGTTGATGGCATCACCTACCATTCAGATCGGCAAAGCGGACATCCTCGCGCTTTGCACCAACACCGGTAGCAATTAATCCTTGTGGCAGCCAGATCTGTGTACCTTCGGGCAAGCCCCCGCCGTTAATGTACGCGGTGACGGCTCCCTTCTCATCAACCCAGAGGTAATCGTCGCGTTTATCACCTATTTCGAATTACTAGTGTCAGTCTGGTTTGGTAAAGGAGCATTGCCGGGCAACGCACCATTGAGATCCGCAAACATCACCCCGTCACCCGTCTCGGTGGCACTTCCACTGCCAGCGTTGAGCCACATCTTCACGGCGCCAGTCTCTGCAGTGATGGCAAGATAATCGACCTTTCCATCACCATTCAAGTCGGCAAAGGTGATATTTTCCCTGCTTGTGCCTACGCCTGTCGCGATAACACCTTGGGGCAGCCATTTGGATGTCCGGCCGATACCACCATTGAGGAAGACAGTCAAGGCGCCCTCCTCGGAAAGCCAGAGGTAATCAGCACGCCCATCATTGTTGATATCCCCCAATCGGACACCTGCTGCAGCACCAATACCGCTGGCGACCTCCCCCGATGGAATCCAGACCGGCTTTTCAGAGTTTCCAGTGTTATACCAAGCGCCGATCTGACCATTGTCACCAACGACCAGATAGTCATCACGGCCATCTCCGTCAAGATCGGCAAACAAGATACGGTCCCTGCCGGCTCCTGTTCCGCTTGCGATCTCTCCGATGCCGACCCAAGTAGGTTTGCCGGGGCTGTCACCCGCCCTGTTCAAGAAGCAAGTGACTTTTCCATCCTCCGAGACCCAGAGGTAGTCGGCCTTGCCGTCGCCGTCCATATCCGCAAAGCGAACACCGGCGCCATCCTTGCCAATCCCGCTGGCGATCTTACCTTGAGGCACCCACACGGGAGCTTCCCCAGTACCGGTATTCAGGTAGTGGACAACGGAACCATCGTCATCAACCCAGAGATAGTCATCGCGTCCGTCGCCATCGATGTCACCAAAGCGGACTCCTGACCCCTTGCCAATTCCCGAGGCCACTTCATCCTTGGGGATCCATGTAGATTTGAATCCACCCGATTGAAAGCCAGGGCCGGAGGCGATCTCGTTCTGAGGCATCCAAACCAGTTTGCCAGAGCAGGCACCACTTGCAAAACTCGCGCCTTGTACAGGAGCTTTGATCCATCCTTTGTCGCTGGCCTGTTGTATTCCGGAAAACCAAATATCACCCATCTTGGTGTACCCGCCATCAGTCGGATGAAGTCCGTCAGTCAGGTCCCCGGTCGTCAGTCCAGTGCTAAAATCGACGACCATGACCTTCTTCCCTGCATCGGCACGCTGCGCGACGATGCCTGGGACAGCTGCGTTGAACTGATCGATCCGCGACATGGTCGCCGAGTTGGAAGCGGGGATGATCTTGGCCACGAGAACGGCCGCGTCCGGGCAGGCGCTGACGATCTCGTCAATCAGACTTCCCAGACGGGCAGGGGCATTATCCGGATCATTGGGTTGATTCATGTCGTTGGTGCCGGCATGTACAAGCACAACGTTCGGACGCATGGGAAGAGATGCCTGGGCATAGTTTGCGATCTCACTGATGACAGCGCCATTGTGTCCCTCGTTCTGGTTGTCGGGCATGCTGCCGGAGGAGACACTCCCGATCATGTCCACCTTGTTGCCGGCGGACAGATCTTGTTCGAGTTGATGGCGGTATCCATTGCCATCGCTGCTCTTGAAGCCGTAGGTAACGGAATCTCCCAATGGAAGGATTCTCAGGTCGACACCACCACCAATGGATGTAGTGCGCTCGGCCAATAGGGAAATATCATTAGGAAAGAACGGAAAGGACTCTGGGTCACAATATCAGCAAAGGTACAGACAACTTTGGAAGTGTTGACAAGACTAGACTAGGTACTTACGGCCAAGCGTTGCCAAGCAACTTAGAGAAACGAGCGTCTGTTTCCGCCACCACATTTTCGTGACAGAAACAATAACAGTCCCGAAAAAAAAAGGGAAAGAAAAGGAGCGATTGATGGGCAAGCATTCTTTACAGGAGATCCATCATACTTAAGTACCATTCGAGCGATTTATCAGGCTATCGACAAAAATAGTGAAAACTTCTGTGGATGGAGTTTATAGCCCGTTAGAGGTGCCAAGGAAGGGATTTGAAACGTGCAAAGAGCAATCCCGAAATGAATCCATCTTGGCCCTTTTTGGGGGCTGCAACACCCCTTCCATTGACACAATCAAACCACTCCCACGTGTATCAAATCGGGCCCAATTCGATCTCCATTCTCCAGTCTAGAGATGTAGCTGCCCCAGCGTTTGGGCGGTTAGTCTCATGCCAGACTCAATCGAGCATAGATAAACGCCAAAATATTTGGCCCCCAAACTTCCCTAAATCCCCGGCTTCCAAGCATTTTTTTCGCACTCGTGACTCGTCCCAGAAAACCTACCCCACAATATTCATAGGTTGTGGTGGCTCAATGTCTACCTAGTAGGCGGGAACCTCCTTGATAGGCATGTACTTGAGATGGTGACCAACCGAATGCAGAAGGTAGGATCAATGTCTACCTAGTAGGCGGGAAACTCCTTGATAGGCATGCCCTTGACATGGTGACCAACCGAATGCAGAAGGTAGGATCAATGTGGGAAGCTGTATATAGAGAATACGAAGCTTACACTGACCGAGCATCTAGAGCTTGTCCCAGTGATTATGCGATATAGAAGGATCCAGACCGCGTCACCATTTCTGTCAGAAACTCTCGGGATTTGCGTTGGCCTGCAACAGCAGACATACAAATGCCAATATGACCGGGAGCTGCTGCTCAGGAATTGGGTGGCCGTCCGTAGTCAAATCTAACAGGTGACAGCGACAGAGAGAGTCCGCAGAAGCAAGAATTACAGTACAGAATCTGTTCAATATCTCTTTCAAGGAGGGAAATAATTTCACCGGCAATTTTAGTACCTGCTGCAACCTTGACCACGTCTTCAGTGAGTTGAACCTGGTAGTATTCGCTGAAAGAGGACTCTAGTCTAGGGGCGAACGCGTTCAATAGTATAATGACACGATTCCCTGCGTTGGACGAGTACTATGAGGTCTGCGACTTGACTTTGACCATCTGTCCCATCACCTTGCCCGCTAGAGGTCCTTACCGGCTACAATTCAGTTATGCTTCACCAGCATAACGGTCCCTGACAGTTGCCAGCATCGTGGGGCCTGCAGCATGGTTGCTGGCATCACGGATGCCGGCATGGCAGGTTCCTGACACCCAGGTCCTGCCTCTCTTAGGCGGGCACGGGGGCGTCAATGCTCTGTTTTGATCTCTCTCACCAGATTCCTTAACCTCCATGTCACTGCTGTGGCATTCGCCTTCTCCTTCCCCTCCCCCTGTTCATGAGCAACAGCTGCTCGTCGATCTGCAGGAGACATTCCGATTTGGCCATTGAAGGCCCTGCCGTTCCTGCCCGCGGTACGTTCCGATCCACCCAAAATCCATACCGAGTCCCTGTACACCGGTAGTCAGGATTCAAAGCAACGAGTCCCTGTGGGAAGCAGTCAGGATTCACCCACAACGCAGCGAGTCTCTACACCAAAGTAGTCGGGATTCGCCAGATTCACCAACGCCCTATCCAAAATGTCGCGTCAACGACACCCGCTGCAGAGGCAGCTCAACCCCCGCCGAGGACTACTCCAATTTCATAGCCACCGATTCTCAGAACATCACCCAGGTCACCGATGCTCCTGAGACCTATTCCTTATGGGCATTTGATGCGCCTCTCCAAAGCCCAACCCAGTTCGATCTGTGGCTACAAAACTGCTATGAGACGCTTGACCAGAACGGTCTCGCCCGCTTCATTGACTAAGATATCCCTCGTCCCGACAAAACGGATTCAGACGCCAAAAGATGGTATCGTACGTCAAAGGATATTCGTGCCTGGCTCCGAAGGAACATGACTGAGGATTTGTACAACTTAATCAATGATCGTGGGTATACATGTGACTTCGCTGATGACTTCATCTGGAACGCCAATCAGGTCTTCCAAAGCGGTGGTTTCTCGGCAGCTAAACGGGTCACCGAGGACCTACTCTTCAGAAACCGCTCTGACTACGCCACAGCTAGTCAGTACGTCGAGGCGATGCACGCTGCACACAGTAAATCAATCGTCGCATTAAGATCATGCCCTTCGCTGTCGCCATTACGCTGCTCCGAAACATCCACTCTGATTCCCCAAACTGGATCGAAAACAAGTGCGCTAAGTACCAGAAGGAGGGCACAGATGCCAACAAGTTTACCGCTGACCACCTAATCACACTATTCAATGAGCTCATCGCTCACCTTCAAATCCATAAAGCGAATCCCTAGTTATCCGCCATCAAAAGTGTCCAGTTGTCTGCCATCAAAAGCGACAAGCCTAATACATCCAGCAACACCTCATCCTCGTCTATCGAGTATCTCCCACTCCCCAACGAATGCCTAAAAAGTACAAAAGCCAATGCGTGGACAGAGAAGTCTCGAGGTGCTGGGGGGGGTTGTAATGAATCTCAAGCAGTTCTCCCCTCTCCTTCGCGTTGAGTTTTGTGCGTGCGCTACAAGCATTCCTCATTTAGTTGCTGCGGTGTCCGTTCTCTCGACTTGATTCCGGTGACGGATCCACAAGAGGCGGTACCGTAGGCTTGATCATCACAAGACGAATTCAGCCTGCTCCACTTGGCCTTGAGTTGAAAGTTGTTCGCACCTCTGCCTTCTGCCGTAACAACTAGACATTGACATGGGACGCCCATGGGCCAAAATTGGGGCCTGATTGGGCCTGATTTGGCCTGATTTGGCCTGATTTTCGTGTATAACTCACTAACCTTTGTTATTTACAGGTGATTTGGTCTAAACAAGTGATATCACCACTTTTTAGCCTGCCCACTAGGTAATTATAAGAAATCACTAGAAATTAAAAAGTGGTGGTAGAAATTAGTGGTTAAGTTGAAGATATATATTCGTTATGAGGAACCACACCACCACTTTTAATAGATTACCCTCACTAGAATTTTACTTTTGAAATCACTTAAATATCACATTTTTATCTTATATTTAAAGAATAGTAGCTTAATATTTCGCTTAATAAATCAAAATTTCTATCGTTTCATCTAATTTAATCACCTTTTAAAAAATTAGTCAATAATTTTACTATTTAAATACCAAAATTACTACATAAACTACATTAATTATGCCTCTCGCCCATAGGCGGGCCTACCTACCCCTAACCGCCCATGGGCATCTCAATGTGTAACAACTTTGTTTCCGGAGGAGGAGTAGCCCTAATTTAGAACGGACTATTCGCTCTGCGAAGATATCTAGCCAGGCACAGAAATCTGAAAACCATCTTTCGTTCAGCCCCGGCTGATTACAGTAGAAACTTTCGTTCAGGTTTAATCCCAGTCAAGCCATTCTCAATTCGACTTTCCCAACTAGAGGGTGTACCGGAAAGCAGGGTGTCTGTGCCCCAAAAGATGCTCTGCGTCATACTGCAGCCTGTCATCTCGGTCCCCGCGCTCCCGCTTCCTATTTTCCCATCGGCAATACATCATCTGAGTGCAGACGGTGATAAGACAAAGAACCAAGGCTGCCAGACTGAGTGAATGGCCGAGCAAATATCGCGGTCTGAGACATTAGAGTCAGTCAGCTTGGATATTTCGTGAGATACAGACAGAACCCGGGGATGAACATACGCGTCTTTGGAAAGGTAGATGAAGGAGGCGATGAAAGCGGCGCAATTCGCAAAAGCGATTTCGAACCCAATACCCGTTGCTCGAACGTAGTGCGGAGCGAGGTTGTTTGATAGCCAGCCCTGATGGATCGTGGTCAATATATGTATATGTGAAATCATGAAGAAGCAGACTTGCTTGGTCGAGACTTACCATTACGATTGGAGAAGATGGGAACACGCCCGCAGCAACGAGGAACGTTCCAGCGTAAGTCACCGAGTTCTCCTTTGCGACAAGCAGCATGATATACCCGGCAATAGCGACGATGCAGCCAGCCACCATGATCGGACCGCGACCTTTGATTCGGTCTGAAGAGTACGATGTCACCAGTACCAGAATGAACGAGAGGACGTACGGAGGGACAGTGAGTAGCTGGGCGGTCGTTGTTTCATAGCCCATTCCTGTGATGATGGTGGGCAAGAACAAGGAATAACTCTATATTTCAAAAGTGGTATCTGTTAATTAGAACTTCTAGAACCCGAAAGCGTGTATAGGGTGGGCGTACGTATAATGGGACCAGGAGAAAGAACCAAGCCAACGAACAGAAAATGGTTTGTGGCGCTAGCAAAGCCATTTTCACCCAGTGCCATTGAAACTTCTCCTCGTTCACGTCCTCGACCGTGGTCGCACCGTGCGAGTCGATCATCATACGATGCATCGCCACGGCGCGTTCCTCCCCGCTGAGAAACTTGGCCTGTGCGGGTGTATGCGGCATCATGAAAAAACAGATCACCCCGAAGACAACGGTGATGGCTCCTTCGACTAGAATGTGGGGTGACGGTTAGCTCGTCAGTAAAAAAGTGGACCACTGAAGCGAGGAACTGACTGAAGAAGATCCACGGCCACCGATTATACCCGTGGTATCGGATCTTGGCCAGCCCCGTCGCTAGAAAGCCGCCAAAGGCGCCGGACAGCGGAGCCGCGCAATAGAACAGGCCGATACGGTACATCATCTGGTGGCGGCGGTAGAACATGGCCAGGTAGATCACGATACCACCGAGCAAGCCACCTTCGAACAAGCCTAGGAGCATCCGGGTGACCACAAGCCCGGCAAACGACCTGGTGAAGCCGACGCAGGTGCTCACAATTCCCCATGCGGTGATGAGCGCGGGCAGGTAGAAGCCCGCTCGGATACGCTTGACAATCCAGTTGCTCGGAATGTCAACCAGGATATAGGGGATGTAGAAGACGAGAAGGGCAATATTGAATTTTGTGCCCGTGGCGATGTCTAGATCGGTCTTGAGACCGTCAATTGCTGCATTGCCAATATTGCTCCGGTCGATGAACGCGAGGAGCCTGTCAAGGCATTTAGTTTGTGTTTCTGCAGGAGTGCCTGTTCTGTGGCTTACCAGATCCCAAAGAGCCATGGCATGATATGGAGATCGAACTTGCGAGTGATTCGTCGCTCGATTTCAGGATCGACCTCTGGCATCGCCTGCTGCTCGCGTAGTTTTTCCACATGGCTGATATCGGGCTTTGCTTTTTCCTGATCAACATCAGCAGCCGGGGCGGCCACTTCGTGAGTGTCCATAGTGCAGTCCTTTCTGAATGAGAGGACCTGATCAACATCAGCAGCCGGGGCGACCACTTCGTGAGTCTCCATAGTGCAGTCCTTTCTGAATGAGAGGAAAAGGATTAATCGTCGACTCCAAGGCCATGACTCGGCATTTATATGGGGGATGTGTTGGGATGTGCTTGGGGTATTTCCGGGTGAAGTTTCCCCCGCAAACTTCCACGACTCCAACCTCCGCATCGGAGAGAAGAGCGAATTACTGCTCTACACTTCGGTTGTCTCGTCGCCAATCGGCGAGGCTGGTGCCGCCGAGCCGGACATGGCTTCCAACAGCTACTCACGAATAGCAGCTTTCAGAACTAACAAGCGAGTATCAACGCATTGACACCCACGAGACCGGACCGGACAATGGCTACGATGAAGGCTACAACCTAGGCGAGTTGCTCTACCGCCGCGGCAAAATGTATATAAGAAACATTGCCCAAGTTCTCCTTCCCAGCTAAGAGCAGAGCAACGTAATTTGAAGATCACCTGAACCCTATTACTTGCCTGTCGACGAGCCTTCGGAAAGAACAGAACGAATTTCACAAGTTGTACTCCAAACCCTACACTACGAAATGACGGGAGTAAACGGAACAAATGGCCATATAGCTATTCCTGCGGCAACGCGCCTACGGCAGGCACGCCTGTCTCAGGGCTTAGTATGCTTACCCCACGTGCTTTGGACCGCACCAAAGGCTATAAGACATTTCTCGGGGGTTTAGCCTTTAAGGAGTGGTGCTGCTGACCCCAATTCCGGCGACGTCGCCGTCCTGTCTCCGCACTTTTCAGCTTTCCTTAGGGTGACTGTTACCACTGTACACTCGCTTGATTCTCAGTGGTGGTGCACTCTTGCTCAGCCCTAGCTGGTATTGAATATATAACAATTGTGGGCTTTGGTATGCGGAGAGCTTCCAGGTAAAGAAAAGAGGCAAAAGAAGGGAAGACAAGAAAGACCAGGCCAAGTCATTTTGAAGATGGCCTCCGCAAATTCTCGCAGGTTGCTATTGGCGTTACTGCTGTTTCTGGCGGCGCAAACATGCTTAGCTGTTAATAGCATGTCGGCGTGGTTGACTAGCCTCGGGCCACAGGCCCAATCTGTCGTAGTTGAGCAATTGCATACCATATCTCAGTCAGATCCACTTACTTGAGAAGAATATTTGGGCTGTAGGTCTCGGACCAACTCCGAAGCTTCGTGGAAAAGGAATGTGCTCGCCGGAGCTGCAGCAAATTGCCGACCAAAGGCCATCATTGAACCCGAGGTATACCCTTGATGCCATCTCGCTGAAAGAATGTAGATAGAAGATAAAACATAAGAGAGATAAGAATCAGCAAGACGGCGCTTGTATGAAATGCACTTATGACAGCCACATTGACAAACTGATTTGGGCCTATATCACCTGCTGAGGTCGGGTGCCGTCCACAGTCATATATGATGTCTACGGCATTATGTTAAAAGCTAGTGTGGATACTCTAAGAATAGAGAGTAGGCTATAGACAACTTCTAGTGATTCTCTAGTTACAAGGATATTGCAGGCTGCACACGTTCGGCCGATAGAGTTGAGTGCTCGGAGTCTCCGATACCGCTGCTACCCGAGCTTATGTCCGACCCCAAAGCTCGATGGCAACCACTTCGATTGTGAGTCGTCTGACAAATACTGATTATGTCCTTGCAACGTAAGCCTCGTGCCTTTCTATTTTGCTATACACTGTCTATCTGAATTCTGCCATTTAACTGCATGCATCAGAATTGCCTCTAGCCGTGGTTAGATCAACACTTCAGAGCACAATGATAGACCACGAATCACATCGGGACGAGATCTTAGACCGTTAAGTAAATGGTTTACTAGGTGCTAAGCCCGCTAAGTCCGTCTTCGAGTTTGAGACGCGACTTGATTTTGTCATCATCGCTATCAGCCGTATCTCCGCTGCTATAGCCGGAGGCCTTAACCCTCTTCTAACTGTAAGTCAACTCAATTTCTTTTCTTGACCAGATCGCTTGGTTAATATGCTATTATCCATTGTAGGTGCTCTACCGTCAACTCGTCGGGTGATTTAACGGCTTCAAAGATGGCACCACCTCGGCATCTACACTCAAGTCCGTCATTTCAAGGTTTACTTTGGTTTTCGTATATTTGCCATCGTAATGTTTGTGTCAATTTATATCCAACAGTGGGGTTCTTTTACACAGGAGAACGCAGCACCAAGACTTTGAGACGGACATATCTGGAAACAGCCATTCGCCAGAATATCTCGTTTTTCGACACTTTGGGTGCTGGCGAAATTACGACGCCTCTATGTCTCAGGATTATCGTTAGAACTAGAATTAAAAACCAAAGCCTGATGTGTCACCTTTGCCCTTATAGAATATCCCATATTTCTGGGTTCACAGATACCACTGTCTCGAATAAAAGTACTCCTCTCGTTATCTATTCATTTCGGACGATATAAATGCCTGAGTACCCTTGGACTCGCAATGATTTTGATTTTACATCATAATCCAGTTGCTGGCAGTGTTTCCCAGGTCGAAATCGATTGCCCAAGACATTAGATCAAAATTCTCGTAATCGTCCAGATTGATAGCACCAATCTCCCCAGCTCCATAAGCGAGTGAACTGTCAGTGTAAGGAGTTAGTACTGACATCAGGCTCACATCAATGCTTGTCGCGACATCGGGAGTTGCCTGAAACTTTGATGTCGCAAACTTGCCCAAGATCTTGTCCAACTTCTCCGTGATGGCTTTTGCAGCCTGCAAGCAGAACGCTTGATTTCTTTCCCGGGAACTGGCCACACTTTCAAGTTGCGATGCAAGTACGGAAATATTCCGAATCACAGCCGACGTCTTTATACCGGGGGGAAGGATTTTTGAAGGATCTTGCGTGATATTTTCCAGTGCAGTCGAAAGGACTGCGGCAGAGGGCAAACCGCAGGACAGAAGCTTCACCCTGTCAGCTATGCAAAAAAGGAATGGGACGGTAAGGTAGGGGAGTACGTACGATTTCAGGCAAATCATTGAAGGTAAAGGCACCTTTGCTGCGAGAATTTCCCATTTGCACAACTGTCTCCAATATGTTTGCAGACACATCAAGCAGCTCGGGAAGGGTAGATGGGCTATCTTCTCCAAGGAGGTGGTATATCTGGAAATGGATTTGGAGGTAGGCCAGATGGACCTTCGCATGCATATAACAATTGGTTAGAGGCATGTCGGATTTCCAACAATCCTGACTATACCTCAGGTGGGGGAGGAGGTTATCCCAAGTCTGACGGCATCGAGAAGACAACTCTCTAATTGGTTATCAGTGGCCATTCGGCATCTCTCCAATTGACGGTTCATACCTGAGCTGGACAGGGTCAGCTGCCTGTGATGCTTGAAAATGATATTCCACAATTCCCTCCCGAAACTGACTCAAAATATATCGTAGGCGAGCCCAGGTTGCTGCCCTAAGTTTCCCATCCGTGTTCCAGCCATCTTCTGTGAGCCGACCTTTTGCTTCCTCTAGTTCCTCGGGACTTTGCGCGAAAAGTTCATCATCTGACAAATCAAGGGGGAGCTTGACGTCAACATATCGAGAGGTAATGCGGGGAGGTAGATTGAACACCATGCCGAACATTTTCTCGAGATAATATTCAGTCACAAAGCATCTCCTCCGGCATTCTGCAAGAAAAAACGGGGTTCTCTCAGGGGAATATGTTGCTTCTCTGTTCAAGCCCAGAGCCAATAAATCTGTCACGAGATCGCCCACCAAACGCCACACACCGAGGCCTGAAATCAATCAGTATCCCACAATCAACAAAATTTGCATGACATAACTCACTCGCATCTCCTTCAAGGAATGATCTGAGCTGCGCATTTTCATTCGCTAACCATATGATGACGTCGGTTGACTGAGGTGCAAGGTCACGAGCTAGTCGTAAGGCCAACGTACTATACCAAACCATGTCTTGGACAAATGCGCCATCCTTATCCTCGTCGCGGTCAACAAAAAAAACCGAAGCACGGGCAGCCATAGTATAGAAAAGACCGATAGTCTCGACTCGAAGATTCGCGCCACAGAACAAGGCGAAGAAACCATGCAGGTCTAAGGATGGGGTGATGACGACCTCTGTAGAGGAAGAGAGCAGCACAGTTTCTGATATCTCCGAGATATTGCCCAACTCGACTCGCTCTCCATTTTCTCCAAGAATATGGCCCGAAGATACCAGATCTGTACGAAGCGTTTTGAGGAGATGCAGAACGACTGGTTTCGGTACAAGTGCGTTGTGCTGAAAAGAGTAGTATTGATGGAGACACTTTTCAATGACTGGGAGGTATCTCAATTGAGACAAAATCTCCTTCATGGTGGCAAGGTGGGCCCCATAAGCTTTGCTGTCATGCGAGCCCGGCGTGGGTGTCTGTGGCAGCGTGTCAGAGACGGTCGACATGAAAGGCCATGTGTAAAATTTGGGCGGTCCAGCCGCAGTCCGTCCATGATGGGCCTGGCAGCTTTTTGCGCTGTTCCTGCTCCATGATGGGGTAGCAAGGCTTGATCGGGGTAGTGTAGGCACAGTCGGTCTTTGTGCACTCCGATTTTTAGTTAGAGGTGCGGGATGGTAATAGCATCGAGAGTCGAGCCCACGACGCTGGCAGGAGGCGCAAACTGGTTTGCCATGATCACATCGAGTCTTTCTCTCTCGGCAAGGTTCACATGAGGCTAGGGCATGATTGCGCCTGGTTGTGGGTGCTGACATGTTCAAAAACCTGGGAGGCTGGGCGATGTTGCCTGTATCTCCATATCACGAAACCGGACCCACACTGGTATGGATTCAGTGCTCCTTCGGACTCGCTTTCCAGGCCCACAGGGTTGGAATTGGTATTCTGCAAATTAAGTAACCTTGTTCAAGTCATTTGTTTGTTTCACTAGGGATATTGAGTCACGAGGAGCAATTGAGAACGTGTTCCCGCTGCAGGAGGCAGGCCTATCACGTGAATTTACCCCGATACAAGACCGGGACAGCATTCGTATCGGACTTGTATCGGCATAGCTGACTTCGTTACATACCAAATCGAGTAGATACAGTGTCATTACTGTAGTCAATTTCGCCAATATGCCCTCGAAGTACATGATGTACCAGAAGGTCTGGATCTCTTTTCTCACAAATTCCTCAACAGACAACCTACCTATGCTGTGGCAAATTCTGCAGTCAACCATCCTTATAACTGATTTTAGCCGTTCAAATCAGAGGCTCCGGGATATTATTCGGTTCGGCAGATATCATATGGCAGTTCAGACATCTTTATGAAGCCTGGTGGATGAAGCTCGGTATCAGTGGAGTATACAAACTCCCTTTGTTGATGGCCCACAAAATGTGTTTCCTTTCCACGCCATGCGCCGCCAGCCTCGCCAATAGGGGCTTGAAAGAGAGAAAAGGTGGCCGGTAACTACTGATCTTAGGTGTTCTTCTGGAATATACGTACATTACTGCGAGCGAGAATGATTTGTCTAGCCCCATAGGATAGCTCTCCTATGTATCACTTTTGAACCGACAGTGTGATCCCTGAGGCATGGCAGGGCATCAGTCATGCTGGGAGCCTTACGTCTAAGTCATCCATGGGCAGCCCCAGCAAGCCAGGTTGGCAGCTTCGGCAAGCAAGCTTATGTAATTACACTTTTGGTAACTTAACTTAAAATTAGCTAAGTTAGCTAATCCTTGAAGTACCTAGTTTCGGCCCCAAGCGTGCTATATTATCATGCCAATCCCGCTCGTATAAATCCAGACTAACATGTCAAGATTCATGTATGGTCTCCATCTTGCAGTTCTATATCATCATTCATCCATATCCAAGCAGACTATTTCACAAAAAGCTTACGCCAGCCTACCCAAGTCGATATAAAGATGAGCAACGGCACGGTTCAAGTTTCTCGAGAAACAGACATTGGCGAAACTACCAAAGACGACATTCTAAGTCATTCAAACCATTTAACATACGAGGCTCGTTTCGTCATTGCCAGCTCTGTTGACTACGACTACCTAGTCACTTGTGACGAGTTTCCCACTGTGTGCAAAGACGCCGCCTATATCGGCAGGTCCATTATACAGGCCAAATTTGAGAATCGGCACCCATCCACGGCAAAGGACTCGTTTCCTACCCCACAGCCTTTCAAATATTCTCGGGTCCCAAAAGATCAAAACCCACAATCGGCAGCATGAAGTTTGACATCGGCATGTACGCAGTCGGCCACGCGCCTTTCGGCCAGACTGTCGCCACAGCAGCCATAGATCAACCTCCTACCGCCCTTCAGTCAAAAGCTGAGCGCTTTGCAGCAAACACCGAGAAGCGTCAGAATATTGAGTGGAATTTTGAATTGTTCCAAAATGGGAAGTGCACGGGGAAGAGCGATCCTTATTCAGGAACCAGGACTTCGTGCGCAGCGCACGTCACCAGTACCCAGACCCTTCGTCGAAGTTGGATCCCAGGTCCCGTGACGTATATAGGTCTGTTACCGTCTGTAGAAATGGCTGCCTGTTAGGCAGCCACTCCGCTAGGCAGTAGGGAGGTGAACTACTGTGACTATAAATACCTAGCTTTTTTCTAGTAGATTAGAAAGATCATCATCGCATTTGTACTTCAATTCAGGGTTTCAATTTCAGTGAGGGGTCGGGGTAAATGAAATCATCCATCCATCCATCCACCGTAACAGGTAATTCTGTTTGCCTCTCATTGACTCGCCGGTTCTTTCAGTGGGAATGCCTGGGGTATGCCTTGTATCTTTCCTTCGAAGACGTCTCTCAATGCTGGTGCAATCTTGTCGGTCTTAGGAATCTTGGTTCTAGGCAATTTAATGACAAGCAAAGCTCTGAATGGGGATGACAGTGGAAGGTGAGTTTGTGCAGATATCGTGTACCATGAAAAGTATTGAAGGAAGTCGGTCGAACTTGGGGTGGCCACTGGTTTATCAAGAATGGAAAAGCTCCAAAGCGGCCTTTTTTTAATTGTGGTCTTCTGCTACAACGGTGCCTGCGGGCTTGCCCGACATGGCGCTACTTAATGGTTCTCCACCAGATGCATCCTAGCTCAGGCCGGTTATAGGGCTTCTGTGTAGATAATGAGGGGGAACAGTAAGTGCGGAAGCGAAAAATAGCTGTAGCTTGTTGTTAAAAGACAAGTTTAGTTCAATTCTATGGATCCACACGGCTAAACAGGCTGTTCAGTTGGCGGAAGAGGCCTGCAGTTTTGTGAGGTCAATGTGGTGGTCTGTCAGTATACCTCACCGGTTGAGAAAACGGTCGAAATTCGAGGTTATCTGTCGCCTTCGGTTAAAACATTAGTCCCAGTCAAATTTCGGTTGTCATTCGGTCATAGGCACGAGCCTCTTCCGAGCAGGCTACGGCCTTTTGTCGCTGCTCTGCGTGTAAAAGTGAAGTCGTTCGGGAAGAAAAGAATAAATATTAAAAAAAAATTGAGTTTCAAAGTAGACTTATGACAGATTTTATGAAAATAGCAAGCATTAATCACAGTAGGGCCTATTATTTGAGTTCCTGCATCGAGGTTGTGTTTGGTTGCTGATATGTTTATTTGAATTGATGCATCAACTGCATGCCTCAATGCAAGGGGTGGCCAGGAAAAGCCAAAAAAAAAGGAACAAATATAAACAACAGGCGGCTCCAGTCAGGAAATGATATTTAAGACCTCACCCAAATGCAACATTTATGCGCTGAGTATCCCACAGACCTGCATTGTCAGGATGTCAAAGCCACGGGGCAAGCTCGCCCAACTGGTGCCCCGTGCTGCCTCCCGTCACACCTGGAAGACTGAATTCGAGTGGTACCGACGAAATTTCCACGGGTTCCTTCATACGAGCCTTGTGGGACCAATAGTTGTTATATTTCTCACTGCCCCGTACGTGGTTCCCAAGCAAAACACGATCCTTATGGCTATCGTTTGGGGGATTATAGGGGGCTTTAGCATTACGATTGGTGAGTGGGGTCATTCCACCTAAAGACCATTGAGAATCGAAATATCTGTCGCTAACCCGACCGTAGGATACCATCGACTTTGGGCTCATCGATCATTTACGGCATGCATAGGGATAAGAATTGTACTTGCTGTCATTGGAGCTGCCCAGAATCAATGGCCCATTCTATGGTGGGTGAAACATCACCGTGCCCACCATAAATATACGGATACGGATCAAGATCCATACAATGCCAAAAGAGGCCTACTCTTCTCTCATATTGGCTGGCTACTTGGACTGAACGAGATTGCGTGGGGCCCAGTGGACTTGTCAGACCTGAAACAGGATCCAGTCGTCATCTGGCAAGATCGATTATACTGGCCTATTCTTATCACGATCGGTATTCTTCTACCTGGTGCCGTAGCTCATTGTGGCTGGAATGACTGGAAGGGTGGGATGCTCTACGCAGGGGTGACACGGATCATCATAACCCAACATATCACTTTTCTGATCAACTCAGTGGCTCATGCTTCGTGGGCTGGGACTCAGCCGTACTCTGCTTGCACAACTGCACGGAATATCCCTCTTCTCGCCATTTTAACCCTCGGAGAAGCAAACCACAACTTCCATCATGCGTTTCCGACTGATTATCGGAATGGAGTGAATTGGATGGAACCGGACTTTTCGCGATGGATTATCTGGCTCTGGGAGAGACTCGGGTGGGCGAGTGATTTAAAAACTGCCAGCCGACTTGAGATCGAACAAGCCCGCCTCAACCAGCAGAAGGAAAGGACTCAGCGTCAGGGAGGCAATCATGAGGTCAACCAGGCCTTGTTCAAGCTCCCTCGAATGAGTTGGGAAGAGTATAAGCAGCGATCTGATAATTTAGACAACCTCATTTGCATCAACGGGGTGGTATATAACGTAGCAGATTTCATGGACGATCACCCAGGTGGTCGTGACCTGATTCAGCAATCACTTGGGAAAGATGCGACCGGGCTTTATCATGGAAATCACCTACATTCTCCCCATGCCGATAACATCTTGAAGGGTCTACAGGTCTCAATGTTAGAAGACTCTTGTCAATGATATTTTCAAATCAACGTTTTATATAGAGCCTGTTGAACTGTGAGTTTTACAAATACTATTCACGTTTTCCTTTAGAGCTGATATTTGAACACTTGAAGTTTACGTCGTGTGGCTGGCCTAGTGACTTTGCAGATCTCGATTAGACGTATCATTACATGGGCGGGCTGGAGAACAATATATGACACTAAATTTCTATCCTTGATACTTGCATTGGAAGGCTAACGTTTCACGGAGTATTTCAGGCTCAGCGCAGCCATTGTTAGAGAGACGACGCCGTGAACAGTGCCCGCAGTCGCGATGTCGACAAGGCCAAGCTCAACCCCTAGGTTGCGCTTCAACCACGCTCGAGCCTCCACAGCTACTAGCGAGTCAACCGAGATCTCAGCCATGGCCGCCCAATCTTCGTTCTTGACCGCGGCCGAATATGGCCCCATTAAAAGCGCCATTTTCTTAGTAAGAAGTTCGACAGTAGGAGCAAGTTTCAAGATTTCGGGATTCTCTTCCACGGCATGAAGAAGACCTTTGATAGTGCTCTCTTCTGATGAGCGAGGTTCGAGGCGAGTGACTCCTACTGCTGGGTCGTGGCGGTAACGGGCATCTTTGCATCGTACATCACCGGAAGCCTGTACCCACAGGAGACCCAGTCCGATCGACAAATGATTCTCGTCACGGAACTTGGATGCCACCCCATCGACCAACTTGGGCGGGGACAAGAGCAGTTGCATGGCTCCTAGAAGATGAGTTTCTCGTAGTGGAATGAAGCTTTTGGACTGCATAACGTCCAAGAGCTCGGGACGCTGGCTAACATAGCCAACATCGGTGATCCAACCAACATCGAGGACGGAGGCCTCCAGTCCCAAGGACTGGCGATATCTCGCGAAGGCACCGAGGAAGGTATTGCCCGCTGTATAGTTTGCTTGTCCAGCAGAGCCTGCCGCTGCTGCGACGGAGCTGAACATGACGAAGAAGTCGAGATCAGCAGACTGCAAGGCGTCGTGTAGGTTCCACGCTCCCTCGACTTTGGGGCGCAGTGCTTCTGTCCACTGCTCATGGGTCATGCTAAAGAAGGGAGAGTCCTGAATATCACGATAGATGAGCCTCACGCTCTGATATGTCTGGCTGTGAGAGATAGTAACTTACCTTCATTAGCATTGCCATGTGGATGACTCCCTTCATCGGCTTGCAGCTGGCAGCAACTGCTCTTTTGACATCCGCCAGTTTGGCCACGTCACCCGGGATCAAGAGGGGGTAACACCCTTGGAGTTCCAGGTCGTGGACGAAATTGGCGTCATTGTCACTGGTCCCTGCAGTCCGTGAAAGGAAGACCAGGTGTCTGGCACCATTTTCAACCATCCATTGCGCCACTGCACGACCTAACCCACCTAGACCACCCACAAGGAGATAGGCGCCATCATTGCAGAAGGAGATGCGTGATGGGGCTTTGGATATGGGTAGCTTTCTAGTGTCGTCTGGCATTTCAACGATAATTTTTCCCGTATGTTTCCCTTCCTGCATATACTTGAATGCCTCGGTGATTTTACCAGCTGCGAAGGTATGCATCGGCTGAATAGGCGCGATCAATTTCTTGGCTAAGAGCGTAGAGACTTGATTCAAACACCTGTCCACTCATGTTAATATCTGATTTCCTGGAAGCCTAATGTATCAACCCACTCTAGCACGACTTGGGGTCGTGATTTGGCAAGGGAAAGAATATCCACCCCAACAAAGGATCTATTGGCAAGGAACCGATCCATGGGTAACATAGCATGACCCATCAAGTCGCGTTTACCAATTTCCACCATCATGCCTCCTTCAGCTACACAATCCCATGATGCTAGCAAGAGGTCTCCTGCTAGAGAATTGAGGACTAGATCGACGCCTCGGCCCTGGGTTCTTTTCAGCAGATTCGGCGCGAAGGAGGTACTCCGAGAATCGAAAATGTGCTCTTTCCGAATTCCAAAGGTTTCGGTGAGATACTTTGCCTTTTCTTGATTACCGACCGTCGCAAAGACCTGTTAAGGTTAGAAATATTGCAAACGTTGTCAGAATAATAGGAGGCAGTGCAGTTCTTCACTCCTATTTGAACTCACCTGTAAGCCGAGCATCTGACAGATCATGATAGATGCGATCCCTACTCCGCCCGCAGCAGAGTGAATCAACACCGACTGTTATGAAATTAGTTACTCTCTATGAATGATCTCAATTGTCATCGGAAAGCTCATACCTGACCTTTTTGCAGTCGTCCCACGCTCAGCAGACAGTACACTGCGGTAGTGTATGCACATCCAATTGTGGCTGCTTGATCCAAGGGAAGCTCAGCAGGTATCGTAACAACCAGAGCCCCTGGAACGACGATGCGGGTACTAAAAGCTGGCGAGGCGAGAAATACCACTAGACTTCCCTCGTGGAGATGTGCAACATCGCTTCCTACACGTCGGACCACTCCGCTTCCCTCTAATCCAATATCGTTCTTGCCTTGCAACATTCCGAGACCCACCATCAGGTCCTGTTTATACGGTCAACCTCCAGACACCGGAATTAGAGGTGAACAAATGCCTTACCCGGAAGTTGAGGCCCACGAATTTCACGTCGATCTCGACCTCGTCCCTACCCAATGTGGGCAAATCATTCTCAATCCACTTGAGGGAGTCCAGACTTCCCGGCTGCTCGACTGTGAGGGTTTTGGGGCTTGCTGGAGAAGGGTCCCCAAGTAAGTTTTCAGACAGATTGCTCCAGTGGTATCTAGGAATGTGAACCACTCCATCTAGGATGGCATACTCATGGTCCACAGTTTCACCCTTTTGGAATCTCTGTTGATGGAACCTTTGGTAAATTTCAACAACAGCTTGTTCTGAGACCTGGTCAAGCTCTTCCAGCTCCACCGTATCAAAGTCCATTTCGTATTCCGTGCGCATTGTCCGTGCGAAACCCAGTGTCAACCCATAACGGGGATTTGGAGAACACATCTGGGAGCTGCGAGTCATCCATAGAACACGAGTGGAGATACAAGACGAAAGATACCGTTGAAGCTGGGTAAGTTGGGCATCGGTCAAAGAATACAAGAACGGCTCCTCAGTATCGAGGAAGGAAATGACGTCTTGGTTGGCAGGCGGTGGATCTGAAATGGTACACCAACGGACGGGGAACCCGAGAGCCTCTATCCTTTTAGCAACTTGGATTGCCCATGGATGTCTCTGCGAATTGTAGAGTATGTTCACTGTGCACTTTTCACTCTGCAGTAGTGGGGGGAGAGATGCTAGTATTGAGGTCATGTAGATCTCTGCTTCACCCGGGGCCGATTGAATATTTTCAAAGCCGGCTTCTCGTAGCTCGCTATGCCAACGATCTACCGAAATATATGGGGCGTCGACACGGTTGTCTTTCCCCCCTATCCACCAACCGGGGAGCACACCCTGTAGTCATTAATATTACGTTGTATCACATAAGCTTGCGCGTAAGAATGACCTACCATGATGAAGTCGATTGGTTGGGCCTCTTTGTGTGTGTTAGTCCTCGCTTGCGAATTTCTCTTCCATCGTTCGTAACTCACCAGAGCAAATTTCTTCGATCAGGACCCGCCCACCGGGCTTCAGAAGGGATTTGACATTTATCAAGGTCTCTTGTATACTGCCTGTAGCATGGAGCACCTGTGATCGAGTTGAGTATGTTGCGACACGGTAAATACCCACAACGAACGTACATTCGACGCAATAACTAGGTCAAAGCTTGCGGGCTCAATTTCCTGGTCCGCCGGAGGGTGACTAATATCTAAAACCGCAAATTCGATGGCTTCGTGTTCTTTGAACCTTTCCATTGCTGGCTGGAAAAAGGCCGAAGAAATATCAGTAAACATGTAGCGCGAATACTGACGAACCTTTCCTTCAGTATGGAGGCATTGTAGGGCCCTTGCTGTCGTTGCCCCAGTGCCCGCTCCAATCTCGATGATCTGAAGATTGGGTTGAGAGTGCCCTAGGAGCTTCAAAAACTCCTCATAATTTCTGCTATCGCCAGTGCCGTACAGCTGGGATAAACCGTCGTTTTCCATTAGTAGACCCAGTGGCTGGCATCTCCCCTGTAGGATGTCGGTGCAGTTTTCCAAAATAACGAGCGAAAGTCCTGCGAAATGTCTAGTGAGTGGTATCGTTTCATCGATCTGCCGCTTTAGACCTGTCAGGATTTTGGCCCACTTTTCTCTAGGCACTCCCAAGAACTCCCTGTCCTTAGCTGGAACGCCAGAACGGAGATTTTTGTGGATCGCAGCTGAACTTGTGGTTATCCAATTTTGATACTTGCGAAGGTGCTCGGAGACTGGTTCCAAATCAGCAATTCGTCGAGCAGTTTCAATGATGCACATGTCAAAGAACTGTTGTCTTGGAGCATACGCCTCATTAATGATAGACATGGCAGGTTTTGAGGGCGAGAGCAAGTACCCTGCTGGAACCAGATCCACGTCTGGGGCCCACACAAGGTTTGAGCAGAGTTTCTGGTCGCCGTCTTCCGGAGAACCTTCATCGAAGCCCATAAACTCGACACCATCAAGCTTTGCTCCCACTTCGGCTCCCCACTGTGCAGTTGCCGATCCAGAGGTCCCCCCGAGAGTCGTCCCCTCTGCGGTTGCTTCAAGAAACACGTCTGGCCCTGTCTTGCCAACGAAGACCTCCTGAATATACACAGGCATTCCTACTGCGCTGCATTTCCGAGACAGACCATTGGACATGGCAACTGCTACAAGCTGCAGGCATTGATCGATGGTAGGAGCATCAACGGTACCAAAAGATTCATCTCTCTCCAAGTTGGCGGTGGCTGATAGTTGTGTTGGATGGGCAGATATATGTTGGAGCAATCGGAACCGTGGCCCGTATTCCAGCCCTCGCTGCTTCAGGTTTTCATACCAAGAATGAGAAGTTACAGATCTTGGCAGACCTCTTATATCTCGTGCAGCCGGTGAGGTTGTTTCGTTTCGCGCTAGTCCTGTACAATGTTTCGCCCATGAACCCCTCCTAAAGCTTGAGATGGAAAATTCATACCACCCTGAGCCAGACTCCTCCGTCGGTCGAGCCGGTCGGAAATTGGATAAAATTTCTGTTCGGTCGCGATCGTCGAGCGTCAATGCTTTACTCATGCGAAGATTCCGCAAGCGATATTTATCACACCCAGTGATCTGCCGCATTGCTTCACCAGCCATAACGATATATCCGGCGCAAGGGAACACCGTCGACCCCCGGATACGATGGTCCCAAATCCAGGGCACGTCGTCGATGTGGAGCATATTCCTCCACGAAGGCTCAAGCTGCGTCGATTCGACGACCCGAGAACCCAAGAGCTCGTGGTGGGCGTGCTTGCGGAATCTCCATTCTCGTGTTATTCGGCTCTCAGACCATTCAACCTCTCCACTTTGCCAGGGGTAAGGGTCAAGGTCGGTGAGGACCTTCCCGTGGCCATTGATCGCCTCAAAGTTCAGCCGAATCCCCCCAAGGAATAGCTCCCCAGCTGCCACCAAAAGGGATGTTTCCTGGCATTGCCCGCGGATGAGGCAGGAAGCGTACGACATTTCTTTTTTCACATCACCCACGGATTTGAAGATTTCACGAAGAGGACCCGCAAGAGCAGAATGTGGACCGATTTCCAAGAAAAACGGCCTCGCATGCTCCTGCATAATGGACTCGGCGGCGCCCCAGAAAAGCACAGGCGATACAAGATTCTGGACCCAATAATTGGCATTGAACTGCTTCGGGTCCACAATTATTTGTCCCGTAACGCTAGAATACATTGGGATCATCGTTGCCTGGCTCTTAATGTAGGATCGAATGCTGGTTTCATACACTTTGCCAACGGCGGTCATCGAACCTATCCTTTGGTTAGCTTGTTGGGCCTTCATTTCCTCGATCTTTAGCAAGTAAAGGGAATGAAAATACCTGAATGATACGATCTATTCACGCGAAGCATTCTGCATAGTACATTTGGGTGATCCAATTTGATCTTGTTCATCACCTCCTCGACTTGACGTGGCTCTCCAGATAGAGTGACGCTATTAGGACTGTTTTCGCACGCTATGACAACACCGTCTCGTAGATACGATGCCACTTGCTCTCGGCCAAGGCCGATGGCGGCCATTGATCCTGCTTTGCCCAGTTCGTCTACTAGCAGACCACGATAGTAGCCCAGGGCAATTGCAGACTCTGCTGTTATTGCTCCCGCGGCATATGAAGCTGCGATCTCGCCACTAGAATGACCGATAACTGCGGCGGGTGCAACTCCCCATTTAGCAAGAAGATTTACTAATGCGATCTGCAGTGCACAAGACAGAGTCTGAGAGAGCTGAGGCGTGTTGATCTGATCAACATCTGCATTTGCAAGTGCGACTATTATGATATTTGGTAAGCCATTGTTCAAAATTAGAACGACGGTGCATCATGACATGTTTACCTTCTAAACTCCACGAGGGGGGCCTTTCCAGTTTTTGCAAGGCAGTATCCAATGACTTTATATCATCACGGAAGCTTTTGAGCGATTCCATTAATTCTCTGCCCATGCCGGCCCACTGGGCGCCCTGGCCCGTAAACACGTAAGTCAAGTTCGGAGGCCGACCGGCAATGGAATGCTTGATGGCTCCCATATCCGGAGTTATACCGTCCGTATTGATCAAGAAGCCTCTATGCGAAAGATGTTCACGACGGGAGCCAAGGGTATGTGCAAGATCCACCAGACGACTCGGGTGCAGGCTCATGTACTTCAGCAGACTCTGCTCTCGGCGCAATAGGGCCTCCTGGCTCTTTGCAGAAACAACTAGCAGCAGGGGCTTTAATTCTTTCACGTCATCTTCAGCCGAAGCGGTGGGCATGGAAGATGAGAATGAGTCAAGGATTACCTGAAATTTCGTCAGCGATCCGTCGATAACTCGTGTTTGGTCCAGACTTTCTCACATGTGCATTTGAGCCCCCGATACCGAAATTACTGACGCTGATTCTCTCCTTTCGATTTTTAGGCCACGCACTCAGCTTTTTGGGAACACGAAGACGTCCATTGTCCCAGGGAACTAGAATTCCTATTAGTGATTCGCAATTGTGGAGATGAGACAGCACGCACTTCGTGGATTGGGTTGATGGAAGTGGATGTTGGGCGGTATCAGCCTGTTTTCCAAAGAGAGGACCGCTTTGATGAGGCTCGTAAGTCCAGATGCTCCTTCGGAATGACCAACATTGGCTTTGACCTGGTCGCGAAGCAGTCAGCGCCTTTTCGGTAGTATTCCATATTCAATAATGAAGGACAAGGACAAACCGAGCCAATATATATTTCCTTAAGGAATGTCTTGGCTATCGCAGAGCATTCAATTGGATCACCTGCTAGGGTACCGGTGCCATGACATTCAACGAAGGCAGTCTGCGAGAGATCGCCGATTAATGCTCTCCTATATGTTTCTCGTATCAACCTTTCCTGTGCCTCGGCAGACGGTGTGGTGATTCCAGGGCTTCGACCATCGCAGTTAACCATAGAAGATCGAATAATAGCTCGAATATGGTCACCGTCCTGCATAGCGTCATCCAACCGCTTGATAAAAACTGCGTTAACAGCCTCGCCCCTACCATACCCATCTGCGGAGGCATCAAAGCACTTGGATATTCCGGATGGGGAGTGAACGCTAAGGCCCGAGCCATGAATTTCAACAGTGGGCGTGAAGATCAGATTGGATCCAGCCACAATAGCAGCAGAGCAGTCTCCCAGAATAAGAGACTGACAGGCTTGATTCAGAGCAACCAGGGAAGAGGAACAACCAGTCTCGATGGTCATACTATAGCTTCTTTAGTACACAAAGAGTTTGTGCTCTTATTGCGCCGTTCTTACCTGGGGCCATTGAAATGAAACTCATAGGAAATCACATTTGCGAGTGAAAACTTTCCATGCCCAATCATATGAAAATTGTGCGCATTTTGAGAATCCCTGACTTCTATCTCTTCCCAATCTCCTCCATACGTACCGACAAAGCAGCCAATAGGTTTTCCGTGCCAGTTCACCTGTCCAGCGTTTTCGAGACAGTCCCATACCACCTGAAGGAGCATCTTTTGCTGTGGATCCATCCGAGAGGGCTGTAGTCCATCCATGTCAAAAAAGGAGGTGTCTAATGTTTCCAGATCTTCTTGAAGGTAGTACCCGTGTCGCATTCTGACCGAATGCGCGCCAGAATCCGAGTAGAACCCCTCCTCGCTATACCGCGAGTCCGGGACGACGCAATTTCCATCACGGCCTTCACTTAGCAATTGCCAGAAATCCGCAGCGGATCGCACACCTCCCGGCAATCGCATTGCCATGCCAACTATGGCGATGGCAGGGCATCCATCTTCTCCAGGCTGGTGAATGGTAGTAGAGCTCATGCTGACAGCGTGCACTTAAATGTTGAAGTTTCCGTCTGCACTAGGTGTCGTTTTGCCTTGAAAGAAACAGACGTTTGATTCTTTTCTAGGACGATGCATATAACGTTCTCATTCTCGAAACTACTGTCTTCAGGAAGGTAGTTGTCGGTCAAAGTTACTTATCCAAATTTTGACATTTATGCAAGGGGTGAGTGATCACATCCTAGTCCCAAAAGCAATTCCGAGCGTTCATATGACCTGTCCACGGGGAATGGAATGTTCAATTGTCACTCGATGCACAATGCAAGGTTTTTTACCAATTCGTTGACGTATACAGGAAATTTAACATGCCGATCACTGGTCAGATAGTGGCATAATTTTCAGAGGCGGCGAAGAAGCGGAAAGCACCCCTTTGGAACCTCTCCCATGTTTCGATGATCTTTTGAGGCTTCGTTTCACAGTCCATTTAATCTGTTAACGTAGCCCCAGACAGCTCCAATGGCATCAGAGTACCTTACCATTATCTTATCTGTGCTTTGGATGGGCGTGCCCTTTGGCATCTATGGACTGGGCCTATTGTTTTACGAGCATCTTGCGAAGTCTAATCGCTTGCGGTATGGCTGTTGCGGGCTCAGCGTTCTCTACTCCTGCTATTCTGTTCAGCACCCCACCGCAGGTCCACTTTTCAACTATATGACCGGATTCATGTCAGTCTATCATCCTGTGCGAGCAATAGAACTTCTTATCGTCTCCAACCCACTGTCTATGCGACGTCTGAGAAAGGTTGGCCCTCTTTATTGCTGGGAGTCCTTTCCCCCGCCCAATGACGTTCGTCGCATTTTTTGTATCATCGACTTGCTTGCAAATCCGCGGGCCATTGGTTGGAGTCATGGCCCCGTAAGCCATCTTCCGCCTGCGAGTTTTATAATGGGTGAGGGTGGCGCTCCCACTTCATGGAAACGGGTCAGCGACTGGAAGCCCAGTCGTCGGTCCTTCATTTCGACTCAGGCACGGCGCATTCTAATTGCATATCTTTGGTTTGATATTTATCTGGCGGTATTCCCTCACAAAAATGACCTGCTTGCAACGCGGATGATTAAAGGTTTCTCAGAAAGCCTTGGGTCGCACGTTACACTGGCTATGTGCCAAGAATTATACAATTGGCTGGGGCGCGTTGCACGTATTATCAGCGCTCAATTCTTCCTGGATGGGTCTCACGCATTTTTCTCTCTTATTATCGTTGGTGTCATTTCAGGTATCTCACATGATATTGCGGGAGAGACATGGACGCATCCGACTTTATTTGGGGGCTTGAGACTGTCCTCGCCCAACCTGAAAGGTGAGTATATTGCATAGGAGCAAAGAGACTTAAGCTAAACTAGTTATCATAGACTTTTGGGCCAATTGGTGGCATGATATACTTCGGCGCCCCATGTGGTCCGTCTCTCAGTGGCTGATGCCATCAGGCACTTCTAGCAAAGCCCATATCTGGCTGGTGTTTGCAATAACTGCTGCTTCACATGGCATGGCATCATTTACATCGTCCCGGCGCGGTATACCTGCGACAAAAGTATTTGCCGCCTACTGCTTCCAGCCAGTGGCAACGATATACCAGAAAGCAAATGCCCAGTGGATTGTGTCTCAAGGAAAAAAGGCTCCAACAGCGAGCCCATTTCTTCTTTGGATCATCGAAGTGATAACGTCGGTAACTTGGCTTCTCTTGATACTCCCTTGGCAATTGGATGATCCTGGCCAGGAGGCATTCTTTGCATCTTTTCGACTCCCTCGCACTCCATTCAGTAAGTACAAGGTTAACTAGATAGCCTGAAATTAGCTTAACCTGAGGATTGCTGGCTACCACAACAACGCAGCATCAACTCGTGTATGTAAGACATCCAACCCTGATTCATAATTATACTTATGCAGTGCTCGGCACTTAGTAAGTGCGTAGATGAGAGGACTTAACAGGGCATAGAGGCGGTGTACTGTATTTTTTTCATTCTATATCTTATTGCCTGTCTTGTGAAGATTGAATCTCATATTGACGTATTGACACTTGCTGCAAAATACGGTACAATTCAGTGCTCGTGCATCAAAATACCAAATTCTGAGACTTGGCGCCACTGAGTGAAGTATATCTCCATTAGTTCAAACATGGTCTTGCAACTCAGAATGTCTGGTCGATCTGCCAAGGCTCTGGTAAGGTTTTCGGTGCCATGAATCACCATTGCGTCCTGTTCATTGTTCCACCAAACCGATCCTTCAGTCAATTTCTCGGCAATGATGGGGGCAATGTCACTTAGACGATGACCCGCTGCCCTTGACATCAGCTCTGCCCATTCGGAGACCTCGACAGCACGGAGTGGCGGCGAGGTCAGTTGACTGAGCATGTTGAATGTTGCTGATAGGTCGACATTTTGATCTTGGTCGGGATGGATCAGGTTATACGCTTGACCAAGATTATCGTTGGACAGAGATATATGCAAAGCAGCCGAGCACACGAAGTCAACAGGAACAAAACAGTTTCGTTGAGCAGGGGGGATTGGATATGCGCCCAGACTGATGCACGTCGACATGAGGCGATTGACAGCATCATCTGCATTTCCGATCCCTGTTACGCTGTGTCCAAGAACGAAACCAGCCCGATGGATCGCGAGAGGGAATCCATTCGATATGGCATCCCACGCGATGCATTCTCCAACATATTTGCTAAGCGAGTAGCCGGTATGGTGTTGCAGAGGCCCAGAGCCGGCTACTGGCCTCGAATTCTCAGGCACGTATGTGGGGCTGCTGAGGAATCCGGATGGACCATATGCTGCCATGCCCGAGAAGTAATGAACAGATTTAAGGCGATGGGTATTGGCAAAGTTGAGAACATTGATGAGGCCTAGAACATTGGTGCCACGATGTGCAGAGTATGGTAGTGTGTAGTTAACAACGGCGCCCAGATGGAAAATGGCACTGCATTCACTGGATAGACGAGAGAACTCAGTGGCTTCCAGGCCGAGGTCTTTGCGAGCAATATCTCCTGTAACAGCTCGAAGCTTGTCCATTGATCTCATTGGAATGCGGAACTTGGCAAATCCTGCTTCAAGCCGTTTCATCGCCGTTGCTGTACAGTCAGCGCGAACCAGGCAAGTGACAGTCTGTAACTCGGGCATTGCTATCAACATTGATAACATGAATGTGCCAACAAATCCAGTGGCACCTATTAACAGTACATGCCCTTCAGATTTAGCATACCACTCGGATATTGGCTCTGAGATAGGTTTGATACTTCGACCCAGTGTCGCATCTTGAAGATACTGAATATCTTCCTCATTTGGGGCGCGGGTGGACTCTGCCGCGGAACTTTCCGTGTTGGCAGTTGTTTGGTACTTGGCCCGTAGCATCTGCACCGTCACATTCCCAAGGCCTCCTATTGTTTGCGCATTTGAAATCTCAACCAGTGGCAACTCCAAGCCGAGATGGCGTCGGTACCAGCTCCTGATCTCGATCATAGCCAAGGACTCAATCACCATGTTGTTGATATCATTCTCGTCCATGTCATCGATGTTTGCTAGATGAGCTCCAATTTCGAATCCGAGAACTTTGGTGATTCTCTCTTTGGTAGCAAGGTCATCCAGTGTATGAGGATTACTTTTGATGGACTCCATCAGCTCCTTTAGGTCTCCATCTAATGCAGATGCGGCTGGCTCAGTGGCGGAAACAATATTTGACCAGAGGCTATAGCGTGCGTCTCGAGTCCAGGGTGGCACGACACCAGAACTAGCGAGGGGCTTCGTAGTTCCGAGGCCTAGTGCTATCTGACCTGGGCGACAAATTGACAACTCCAGAGCCTGGACGAGCTCGTGCTCTTCAACGGTTTGCATAGAGGCCGACTTGGCACGTTGGATGAGCTTGGGCGCATTTTCGTAGGCAAAGCCAGCATCATTCATTAGGCCAAGGTCAATGACACTTGCTACAAGTCCGCGTCCTAAGCGATACTCGACAAAAGCGTCCAAGAACGCATTCGCGGCCGCATAGTTCGTTTGACCGGCATTCCCGCAGAGACCAGCTAACGAGCCAAAACACACAAAGAACTCCAGTCTGTGCTCAATGAAGGCATTGTGCAAATTCCACGTTCCCTGGACCTTTGAAGCCAACACCGAGCACCACTCATCATGTGTCATTTCCGATAATAACTGGTCCTGTTCACCCCAGACACAGTTAGTTGGTTCTGCATCTTGTGAAGGTATTTTTGCTCACCTTTAAAATCATAGGCATGTGAATAACCCCAGCAATACGCCTCTTGCAAGCTGTAACTGCGCGTTTTACATCCTCCATCTTTGCCACATCTCCAGCGATCGCAGTCACTGAACAATTTTGACTGCGAAGTTCTTCCAGGAACGATTGAGATTCAGGGGAGGTCCCTGCTGATCGGCTGAGGAATACCAAATCTCGAGCTCCCTTCTCTACTAGCCAGGTTGCCACAGAGCGGCCCAAGCCACCAAGACCCCCAACGATCACAATAGAGGCATCGGAGGGGAGGGATATGAATGTTGAACTAGCGCAAACTTGTAACTCCGAGGAACTATCAGGCATCTTCACAACGATCTTGCCCATATGTTTCCCGGTCTGCATGAAACGGAAAGCTTGGCTGATGTCCTCAGCATCGAAAACAGTAAGCGGTCGAATGGACTTGATTTTTCCTTGCTTGAGAAATTCCATGCACTCTTGCATCATACTGAATTCCGAATCAATCAATCTGCTGGAACGGAGTTGTGTAAAACGGGTAACTTACCTTTGGAACTGGCCAATGTCCTCGTCTATGATCTGCTTTGCATCGACCCCTATGAAAGACCTGTTTCCTGCAAAGACATCCATGTCCAACTGGCCATGTCCCAGCAGGTCACGCTTCCCTAATTCAATCATCTTTCCAAACTTAGCAACACATCTCCAGGAACGATGCAGAAGCTCGCCAGAAAGAGAGTTGAGAACAATGTCTACTCCGCGATTCCCAGTTTGCTTCATCACTCCATCTAAGAAAGACGGATCTCGGGAGCTGAAAATGCGATTTCGAGGAATACCAAACGTGTCCATGAGATGCCTAATCTTTTCTTCGTTTCCAACAGTAGTGAAAATCTGTATTTGTTAGCCACTGAAATTGGGTAAAGAAATCTGTAAAGGATTATTGTACCTCGGCCCCTAACATTTGGCAAACTTGAATAGCTGCCAGTCCAACACCACCGCATCCACAGTGTATCAAAACAGACTGGCCTTTCTGGAGCCTGCCGATGTGAATCAGTGACAGTATAACCGTGCCATACACACAAGCAACCGTGGCCGCATCTTCCAAGCTGATACCGTCGGGGAGATGGAAACAGCGCTCCCCAGCAACAATCTTGCGCGTGCACAGGAGTCCATCGCCAACAACAACCACCGCATCGCCAACGCTCACATGCGTCACTAATGAGCCTACTCGACTGACAACACCGCTCCCTTCAACGCCGAACTCACTTCTATCTCCCACCACGCCGAGAGCGACCATCATGTCCTGGCAATTGCAAATTAGCTGACAGGTTTCTCATTATAAGCGTCTTTCGAACTAATTTTCTTACCCGAAAATTCAGTCCAATGTATTTCATGTCGATTTCGACTTCATGATTTTGCATCCCACAGGGCTCGCGTTCCGACCATCCAAGTGTGTTCAGTAGTCCATAAGATCCAATGTCTAGGAATTTGCTTTTGCAGCCGGCAGGTCTTGCTGTGGAAAGCTCCTGACGAGCACTGATCCAGTGAGCCCTGCTGACGTGTAGTATTCCTTGCTCGAGTGCAAATTCACGGTCTGGGTCCAGTAATGAGCAGTCTCGCTGTCGGTTTATATGCTCCAATACCCGAACTGCAGCGGATGTATCGTCAAAATCATCAATCTCGAGAGTATAAAATTCAGGCGTCACTTCCTGTCTGATTGTTCGGGCAACTCCCAACACAAGGCCCAAACGAGAATCATTGCACGACATTTGAGAGCTCCCCGTGATCCATAAAACGCGGGAGTTCTTGATCTGACTGACGAATTGCTGGAACTGAGAAAATCGCACGGGCGAGATGTCATCGAAGAACGGACCTTCCAAGTCCATGACTGAAATTACATCTATCTCTGGAGGTGGAACCTCCCCAAAGGCAACCCACGTTATAAGTTGTCCCTTCCTCTCTAGGTTTCGTGCCAAGGACTGGGCCCAGTCCGGGATCGTCGACAGATATAGAATCGCGATTTCCTTTGAATTGCTTATGACCGGAGGACATGGCCGCGAAGCGATCGTTGTGCCCACGTGGTACATTGATGAATCGTTGAGTGCCAACGTGTCAGACTCGTTGAAACCGTTCTCTTTGAGTTCATTCTTCCATTGCTCGGGGGAGATGGATGGCTTGCTGCAGGACAGATTTTGTTGAGCCCACCATTCGGGGAAGATTCCCATCACATATGTGACCAAAGGGATGGTAGAAAACACTCCCTGGTAGAATAGTCGACCTCCTGGGGCAAGCAAGGTAAAAATGTTTTTCAGGGAGGGGGACAGTGGCATGTCGGCATCAAATGCATCTGAAGCAACGACAAGATCATAGCTCTCAGCCTCGAAGCCCTGCTCAATAGGGTCGCGGGCAATATCAAGTAGCCTGTACTCGATTCCGGGAGCCCATGAAAGTTCCTCTTTGGCACAGGAAATGCAGTTTTCTGATCGGTCGGTGACTGTGTACTTCGAATACATGGGAGTACCATTGTTTGATGTGAGTCCGCATAAAGCTTGTGTCACTGCAAATCTATTGCCCAGCCCAACCGTCAGGACTCGCATCATCGGGTTCGAATGACCAAGGAGAGAAAAGAAGTATGTGTACCCTGCCGTCAATGACAATGACTTGTACAAATTAAACAGAGTTTCTCCCGGATTCCCCACCACTTCAGGGCTGACATTCCCCTCCACCAGGCCGTCCGAAACCATTGAAATCTTATTTGCCAATTTCAAGAGAGAGGCCAGTTCAATACGGTCCTTCTCGAGCTCTTTCGTGGCCTCAAGAAGCCGATCATCTCCGCAAAGTGACTCCATGCATTTGTCAGTGGCCTTCCTGGCATCCGCCTGGGAGCAGATCCAGCGTTGATATTCCTCAACTTGTGAGTCTTTTGGATGCAATGATCGGATCTTATCTGCTGTTGCAGTGATTATCGATCCAACGACAAGCTCCAAGAGATGTGAGGCGCGGCTATTCAATATCTTAGGTAGAAGCTCTTCAGTCAAGGAGACGAGGTCGACGTGTGGCTTCCAGTCAATTCGAGCAACCAATGAATCATTTCGCTCTTCTTCACCTGACTCTTCGACTCCGAAAAGCATGCCCCTTTCAATTGAGAGAACAACGCTGTCGTTAGAGACCATCTTTGCATTGCCGATGATGGAATCACCAGTCGGATTGCACGATGCATCAATAAACATCGTCCCACGACCCGGAGCAATATAGATGCTTTCAATTTCCACGGGCATACAAAGTTTTGTCATATGACGAGACAATCCACGGGTCATTGCAACGCCGAGCATCTGAAGATTCTGATCAATCATGGTTGGATGAAGAGCATATACGCTGGAGTCTTTTGAGTCATTCTCGTGGCTATGTTGGACACGAGCGCCTGCCTGTGGACTGCATGGATTGGCAGAAATATTCTCCAGTCTTCGGAACTCAGGGCCAAAGTTAAGGCCGCGTTTTTTGATTGCTTCGTACCATGCCTTGGAAGAAACCATGCGCGGATATGAAACACAATCATGAGGGACGTACTGTTTTACTGCGCCTGCCCTCACTTTCCCAGTGCAATGCTTTTTCCATGTTCCGTTCTGGTACGCCGCAATTGTGAATTCAAACCAGGGAGAATCCATTGTCGTGGTGAGCCTGGCTGGACGGAGACTTGTTACCAGCTCTGTGGCTTCGGACTCTTTGAGCACCAGTGGCGTTTTCATGGTCAAGTTTCGGATTGTGTAATCTGCCGTTCCAGTTGTCTGTCGAATCGCCTCACCGGCCATGGCAATGTATCCAGCGCATGGGAATATGAGTTCCTTCCCTAGCACGTGGTCCCATAACCAGGGTACATGTCCGACAAAGAGAACCCTTCTCCACGAAGGTTCCAGATCTGTAGATTCCAGAGATCGAGGTCCTAGTAACTCGTGATGTGGCTCCTTGGGGTTTCTCCATTCCCGAACCAGCCTCGTTTCGCTGAAGTAAGTTTCCTCGTGCAGCCATGGATAGGCCGGAAGATCCGTCACGATAGAAGCACCATCTGTGGCATTAACCGCGGCCAGGTCAACGGTAGCCCCATTAGTATGAAGCCGTCCAGCAGTCGTGAGAAGAGCCTTCCACTGTGGCTGACCGCGAACGAGAGTCGGGATATACCTTGACGCTTGGTCTCTATCGCTTTGGCGTAAGATTTGGCGCAGCGGGCTCGAGAGTGTTGAGTGCGGGCCGATCTCCACAAAAATGGTTGGTAGATGTGCTTCACGGATCAATCGCTGAACGGCACCATTGAACAAAACCGTGGATTGCAGATTCTCTCGCCAATATGATGCATCTAAGACCGTCGGATCTGATATGGTACTTTCTCTCACCGTCGAATAGAACGGTATCATGTTTTCCTTATGGCATATGACCGGCTTCATCATGTTCTCATAAGTAATACCCGGCTCTTTCATGCTCTCTGTATGAAGGTTAGATCCATTGCATAAGTGGATACAAAGGGCGGGCTCACCAGAGTGATATGCAACAGACACTTTGAGGCGTTTACATAAAGTATCTGGCTCTTCTGCCATAATCTTCTTTAGAACCTCGTCGAGGGCATCTGATGTACCAGAAAGCGTCACACTTTGTGGACTATTATCGCACGCCACAGCAACATCGCCGAGGAGATACTTCCTGGCCTTATCAGCCGGAAGACCAATAGCAGCCATGCCTCCAATCTTTATGGCTGCCTCGCCTACGGCTTTACCTCGATAGTATGATACGGCAATTGCCACACCTGCACTCATTGCACCAGAAGCATATGCAGCCACAATCTCGCCACTCGAGTGACCGATCACTGACGCCGGACAAACACCCCATTCTTTAAGGAGATCTACCAGTGCGATCTGTACTGCTGTCGAGAGAGGTTGAGCAAATTCCGCTTGCTGAATCCTACTTGATTCATCATCTTTTGCAAGCTCCCCTGTAATTGCAATACGTTAGAACCGATATTATCCTTGCGCTTGTATAAGGGCTTTACCTTCCAAGGTCCAGCTGGGAGGCTTCGCCAGCAACGACAATTCCTGATCTAGGGCCCTGATGCTGCTCAAAAAGCACGTTGATGCGGACATCAACTCTTTCCCCATACCAGCCCACTGTGCACCTTGGCCAGTAAATACAAATGTGATGCCAGATGGCACCTCACGCGCCTTTTCAAAATCTGACACCTTCCCATCGGGATCAATAATGGCGAATGCTCGATGTGCCAGATGCTCCCGTCTGGAGCCTAGGGTATATGCCAGATCATTCATCGAACATGACATTTGGGCGGTATACTCTTTCATATGCTCCACGGCCATTTGTAGAGACTTTCCGTTCTTTGCAGATAGAACCAAGAGTTGAGAGTCTGTTGTGGCGGTGGGTCGCTCTATTTGAGCCTGAGACACCGACGAAAAAGATTCCAGGATGACCTTGATCGGGTAAGCAAAGCAAAATAAAACCTTTAATTCTTTCAAGAAGATCACATACATGCGCATTTGTTCCGCCTATGCCGAAGGAATTCACGCTGACTCGTTCACATCGACCGCCTGGCCATGCGGTCGGGTCTAGAGGCACTTTCAGCCGCGCCTCTTGGAATGGAACTTCGTACAACGAGTTAGCAATTGCTTGTAAATTAAGGACCGTATTGTTTTCTCACTGGAGGGGTTTGGATTAGTGAAATGTATATTGGGAGGAATGATCCTCTTCTCGAGTGCGAGGGCGGACTTGATGATGGCGGTCAGCCCAGACGCACCTTCAGAGTGCCCGACATTTGGTTTGACCTGGAGTATCGTCAACAAACTTATTGGAGTATCAAACAACATGTGGATTAACTGACCGCTCCAATATGGATTCCTTCGGGGAAGACCTTAGCAACAACAGATGTCTCTGCCGTATCGCCAGCAATTGTTCCCGTCCCATGGCATTCAAAGAACGCTGTCTGGGAGATGTTCTCGATGGCAGCCTTTCGGTATGCACGTCTAATAAGCCGCTCTTGGGCTTCCGAGCCAGGTGTTGTGATGCTTGGTGTTCTTCCATCGCAGTTCACAGCGGTCGATCTTATGACAGCACGGATAGGGTCGCCTTGCAGCAAAGCTTCCGCCAGGGGCTTAACATAGATGGCGTTGATCGCTTCGCCTCTACCATACCCATCGGCGGAGGCATCAAATGTCTTACAAACCCCATCAGGGGATAAGATCATGTTGTCAGAAATGGACATGGTCATAGTGGGTGTCAATATAAGATTTGATCCCGCGACGACGGCCGAGGAACATTCGCCACTATACAGTGCCTGACAGGCGTCGTGCAGGGCGACCATAGAGGATGAACAAGCTGTTCGATACGTGATACTACCGGTTTATCTTAGAATCCAGGCTATTCGATGGAATGTTATGTGGTCTGCTCACCTCGGCCCCTGCAGATCGTACTCGTATGACACGCGATTCGAAAGCGCAAAGTCTCCTGCGCTCACAACGTGGAATCGGTCCATGTGTTGGGTATCTTTGCTAGACATCTCCAGCCAATCTTCCCCAAAAACACCGACGTAGCAACCAATGCTCTGCCCTCGCCAGTTTGTCTGTCCTCCAGACTCCATGCATTCCCATACAACCTCCAGAAGCAGCCTCTGCTGTGGGTCCAGCTTTGCTGCTTCAGTCTTGCTCATGGAAAAGAACGATCGGTCAATATAACCAATATCCTCCTGTAGGAAATATCCGTGGCGGGTTTTGACGGTGCCCGGTCGGGTAGCATCGTAGAATGCGTCTGCCCCATATCTTGTATCTGGAACCCTGCAGTGCCCATCTTTTTTGTTGATCAACATGTCCCAGAACTTCTCCGTAGTGTTCACCCCTCCAGGGAGCCTCACCGCCATGCTAACGATGGCAACCGGAAAGGGAACCTCATTGGAACGGTTCAGTCCGCTGACATCTTGCTGCGACTCCCATGGCGCTGTGTGAGCTGCTGTAGTAGGACTGGCTATGCCCTCCGGCTTTGCTGAGCCGCTAAGTGTGGTCTTGGCTGAAGCCGATGACATTTCGGTCAATGGTCAACCTATGTGACGAGAGTTATATTGACTCTGGGATGTCGGGCAGAGTAGGATGACAATTGAAAAGAGGGAAGAATGCTACTTAGGGAATATTTTGCACTAACATACTTGTCCAATTTTTGAACTTTTCAACAGACTATCGCTGGACAGACGGAAAAGTTCCTAACTCCATTAGGTCCTCGCTTTGGCTTGCATCCCGTAGACCCACAATGAAAATGATATGTTTACTTCTCAATGCTCTTATTATCGGTCAAGAGTGACATACCTTCAGCTCAACCGCGAGGAAAAACGAACCATCGGGTTTCTCCCCTGACCGCCCTTGTATAAGCAAGATAGCAAGAAGCTGCCAATTTGAGTTATTAAACTTTATTTCAGAGGCTATTTTCTCATAATCTTTCTTCAAAATCAAGGAATACCATCACGGAGGTCCATACGGGAAATTGTCAGCCGTCACCATGCAGGGATACTGTAATAGCCCCTTGCATAAAGAAAAAATTTCCCCTTGCAGTAATACGAACTCCCAAGTAATGCATAGAGTAGACGATTGATCAGGCGCTCGATGCTTCTAACAGCTCCGGATGTTAGTTAGATCAGTCTTCTGCAGAAGTATGTACAGCATTTTCAAAAGTCAATTTACTGCAGTTCGCGGTTTATTGACAGACTAGTGAATTCTAAGACTACTTCTCGCGCAATAGCGAGCCCCCTAGGATTCTCTGCCAGGAAGAATGTTTGACCCAAGAATTTAGCCGCTTGTAACATTTGACCTATTTGACTTCTCCAGAAAACCCTTCGTCGCACTCTTTCTCGACCAGTCAACCTGCTTATTCAATGGCCTTCTCAACTATGCGTTTTCTGAGAACCCTTGTCACTTTCTCGTCCCTCTTCCTAGTGATCTTTGCTGCACCGGCAACCCAGAAAGACAGTGTTCTCAGCAGTATCTCTGCCGTCTCTCAGGCTGTCCAGGCAAACAAAGATGCCATCAATCGCTACCAAGGTGGCTCATTGGCCGCTATTCCTGTCGGGCGCAAAAATTATGATTGCTGGTATGCCTTGAGAGAGGCGCATGCTAAACTCACCGACACCAAGTTCACACCAAAGGAGTCCGACGAGGTTGTTCAGCATTTCACCTCCCTGAATCAGGCTTCTATAGAGTTGCTGGATCTATATCGTCAGAAGGTTTGCATCCTTGACAAATGACTTTGGCAGACATGGATAGTGTCTAATATCCTATTGCAAATAGGCCCCAGTGCTGAACCAGGCTGGTGCCAGCTTCCTGGTGCCGATCATGATGCAAGCTTTGTTCCGAGAGGCAGATGACTATTCCGCCGCACTCCAAGCTCTGATGCCCGAGAGGTATAGCGCGCCTATGAAGCAGGTAACTGTTGATCATACGGCTGCATGGAACGAGGCGTTTGCGGCCTACGATCCCACCCGTAATGCAGAGCCAGTGCAGCAGTGGAGGACCTTATTGTCGGTATTCTCGCCGGCTTTGACATACCTCATCTGAGAAAATCCAGCTCTTAGGCTTGAGTCTCTACCTGTCGAAGACCTGATTTATGCTCATATGACTCGAGTCTCATCTGGATTATGAAGATCATGATGGAATGCAATTGAAATTGCTTCTATATCATGATTCAAGGACCGTAATAACGAGAATGGCAAGGAGGAATTTCGGGTATTTTCCTCAGTCTACGGCAGTATCAGCTACCATAGCGTATCTGGATTAGCGTGTTCAAACTAGGTTCCGGCAACAACGTCCGGTTCGTCCGAGAATATTATCTGACAATATATGTAAGAGACGTCGAAGAATGCATTTTATACGAATCTGCTATACTGTATTCAAGCGCTTCTTGTCTTTAAAGAAGCTTGAAGGACGTCTTTTCTTCTTGACTTGCTCCTTTCTTGTAGCAGCAGCTTTCGGACATATCGACCACGTTTCTCTTTTCTACACCATTACCAGCTCTTCACTACTGCCTCAAATCGCGCGCAACAACGCCTCCAGATCTCTCCGCTTTTGCCCGCGGAACTGCCCTCGTGTTTATCTCTTCACCGCGCGTCCATAGCAGAAGAAATGTCGTCGACGACCCAGGCCCTGGCCGTGCCGCCGACCATGCGCGCTTGGGTGCGCCCGCGGCGCGGTCCTGCGCGCAGCGCGCTCGAGCTGGCCACGGGCTATCCCACGCCCGCCGTGCCCACGGGCTCGTCCTCCGACGTCCTGATCCGCGTGTCATACGTGTCACTACAGTTCAGTACCGAGATGCTGATGAAGATACTTCCTAACCTGCCCTTCACCAGGACATGGGTCCCGGAGATCGAGCTTTCCGGCGAGGTGGTGGCGGCTGGTAAGGGCGCGCCGGCGGAGGTGCGCGACCTGGGCTCGCATGTCGTCGCCTTCCAGAACATTCCTAGCGCCGTGGTCATGGGCCACGGCGTGCTGGCAGAATACGTGCGGCTGCCCGGCTGCCAGGTCGCACATATCGATGCCGCTGTTGACATGGCGTCGGCCTCGGGCATTACCGGGTCCGGCAGCACCGCACTCAAGATGGTCCGCACAGCAGGTGTGCGCGAGGGTCATACGGTGCTCGTGAATGGGGCCAGCGGGTCGGTCGGTTCGGTGCTCGTGCAGCTGTGCAAGTTGCGTGGTGCAAAGGTGGTCGGCGTGGCTAGCGGCGGCAACGAAGCCATGGTCCGTGGCCTAGGCGTAGACGAAGTAGGCGAAGGTTGCCGACGTTGCACAAGAACATGACTAATATATACATAGTTTATCGACTACCGCAAACATGACCCGCTGCCGGCCTACCTGGCGCGTCAGTATGGCGACAAGCCGTTTGACTTCTTGCTCGACTGCGTCGGCACGCAGGCACTGTTTGTCAACTCGCCAGCCTACCTTAAGGTCAAGGGAGCTGTGATCAATATTGGTATGCTCGAGGGGATCTGTGTGTCGGCTCGCAACGCACTGCTCAATAGCTTGCTGCCCACCTGGCTGGGTGGCGTGCCGCGCCGCTATATCATGTTCAGCACGCCGCCATCGCGTGACGACGCAGTCTATCTGGCACGTCTGATTGAGGAAGGTCGCGTGCGTATCCCTGTCGACTCTGTCTTCGATATAGAGGACGCCGTGCGCGCCTACGAGCGCATCGCCACTAAACGTGCGCGTGGCAAGGTCGTGGTCAAGGTGCACGGCGGCTAGGCCGCAGGCATGTCGCGAGCGTATAAGAAGTTTCTGTTTACAAAGATCAATTGAATGTTGTTTGTATGTTGCTCGGCCCGCCACGGTCTCGAGTGGATGCGTCTCTGAAATATGATAGGATGATAGGGCACATATTCTTAGGGTCATATTTAGAAGAACCCCCATGGAAGCTATTCGGACCCCCTCTATATTTTACTAACCGTAATAAGTAAGGGGTGGTAATTGTATTTCCAATGCATTATTCGGTAAAAATGCATGCATTTGTTGGCAATACTAGATGCTGTTCTGAGTCAAACTTTTGAAAAAAAAGCATGAGAAAGCAGTAAATTTTCGTATATTTTCTATATACGGAGCTCTCTAATACGTCCTGAAACTATTTAGAGAGCTCTCCGACGCTTCCTAAGCCGGTCGGACTAGGCATTCTCACCCTAGGTCGTTCCCGAGATGCCAGCGGCGGCTAAGGACTGCTTGTAGGTAGTGCCTGGGCCGTAGACGAAGCTATTCCTAGTCCCTGAGATGCCGCCGGCGGTGGAGGTTATTGAGATGTAAGAAGCCGAAGATATAGCGTCTGGCGATGCCCTAATTACTGCTTAATTAATTGGGGTTGATTTCCCGTTCGGGACTCATGAGCTAGATATACGACAAAGCGACTTATTTTTACTAGGGGTTTACATATTAAATAGAAGTACTCGAAGAGTATATTTGGGACCTCCAGTCCTCGGTGCATTGGCATTGCCAAGAAATGCATGCATTTTACCGATTAATGCATTGGAAATACAATTACTGCATGAGGCCTAATTAGGTTTAGCGAGTGGAGAGGGGGTCCGAATAGCTTCCATGGGGGTCCTTCTAATATGGCCCTATTCTTAGCGACGCACCAATAGCAGGCGGACAGCTATTACAAATACCGCCATACATCTTTATGATCCAATTAGACCCGCACTCGGCCTAACCAAACCTAGCTGTCATCTAGGAAGCATGCACTAATCCTCGTAACCATAGGAAATCGACAATATGTGTGCCGACACGTTAGGGTTAACGTTAGTTCACCGTAACGGTATCCTTCATATCAAATAGCCTCTTCTAGGAGAACCTAGAAGTCCTCTAAGAATTAGTCTCTATGTTCCTCCAATACCACTTGTTCCTTAGGCATCTCCATCTTAACTAGTTAACAGGATCTATCCTACGAACACTAGAACCCTTCTTACTTTACAGATGACCTTTCTTAGTCTAACAACGTATTCGCATGTTTTACACACGATAACTAGGTCCGTCGATACCTAGTCAAAAGGTTGATATTCTATTATAAAATAAGTTCGTAGGTAAAGATATATATCTACAACATAAGTTGAGTAGAAAGCGAGAATCGTCTACGACGGAATGAGGTTAAATGGTCTAAAAAAAAAGTAAGATAAAAAGTGGGCATTGTGAAAACCCCTTAATTTAATTACTAAAGTCCCCCCTTAAATCATTACAGGCAAGGATAATTGAGGTGTTCGATCCGTCTAAAGTGCTAAAGTGACGTCTTAGGTGCCGGACGCATCCCGTAATAGCTATTCTCCTATCCCTATCAAAGTATCTCTAATTTTTGATCGCGAATTGATTCGACAAATATTAAGCTGTGCATACTCAGAAGCAAAGAGGGAATATAGTAGATACTATATTATAACTTGCCAAAATTTGACATTGATCGGAGCTAATTACAGCTCTACACTCTGCGACGAAATTCACCTGCAGCGCAGCATACGACCCACTTTAGGTCCCATAGTTATGGAAAAGCCCTAACTTGCAGTCTGGCAGACTGCAGCTGCCCCGTAGGATAGGCACAAAACCAGCCCGTCAGTGTGAAAATTCAAAAGCATATGCCGTGCTAGATGATGAAAACTTCACCCACCAAGTCACTGAATCGCCGGAGTATGTATGAGTCACTTGGCCAAGATTCACAGGCGTATCAACTTCACCGAATTGGCTCGTCCATGGAAACTCATACGTGGTGATTGTGATGCTACCGGAGGATGGAAGTCCCAAAGACTTCAGGTTGGTAACAGTGATATCCCATGTTCCAGTCTTCGCCTTGCTGCCACATAGAATCTTCACTGCGGATCCTGTGTTGGTAGCGTAGACGTCAAAGCCACCGTCTGCCGAGCCAGTGGTTCCCAGGCGAGTGCCGGTTTGATTCAGATGGTAGTACTTGTAAACTTGAAACTCTCCGGTTGGCCAGTAGCCGCCCGCCGTCGCACTATACGCTGATGTACCAGCGTTTGGCTTGCCCACGAGTCCGGCTAGGAAGTCGTGAAGTGCTGTAGTGGAGAGCCAATTACCACGCAAACCAAGAGTATCATAGCGCTCAAAGCGACTGATGTACCAGGCGGCGCCACTTGGTACTTGCTCTGAGCCAGTCCCGTATTCGTTGACGTTGTTGGGTCGATTGGGTAGATTGTACGAGCTGAGCAATGATTTTAGGGTTGAGTTGCTAGCCTTCAAGTCACAACCGGCACCACATTCGAGATGCCAGGTATATTGATCGGGAATTGATGCGTTCGTGCCAACGAACCCCAGGAAGCCATCCCACCACGAGTTGCCAGTTGCCGGTGGTGTCGCAAGAGACGGGCCCACCAGAAGGACTGCTGTGCCCAGCGCACCCCTGTGGATGTCAAAATTCAAGTGATCAGCATCAGATTACCCAGGTTTGTCCCATGAGGGTCACTTACCGAAGTCGATGAAATCCTCGACCCCACATGTTCACCCACTGGCCCACTCCTCGATTCTTCCAATATATTCCCTCCGGTTCATTCCACAGGTCTATATCCAGTCCGTTCATCATAGCATTGGTTTGAATATCGGAAATGACCTGAGTCAAGAACGCGTCATAGAACGCCCAGTTCCCGTTATCACCAGGATATGGAGCGCTTGAATTCTGCGTGCTATCTGCCCCCCACAGGTCATGGAGTAGAAGCTGGAAGCGGGCACCATATTTCCTTGAAGTTTTGTAGTTTGAAAGTGCTGATTGGAATCGGCTCTATCCATATATGAGTCACAAATGTGAGAATTCGATCGGGCTTGTCCTTCATACCTTGTACTCATTCACTCCCCATATCCAGCCTCGCTCTCCAGGCTTAACGAGCTGCGCCCCACCTGCTCGGCCATATCTATAACCAACGTCTGAGTAGAAATGGTCGGGAATTTGGCCTTGCGTATCCGGGATGCCATAGATCCAGCCAGAAGCCAGATTGGCCGGCGTGCCACGGCTGACCGCAGCATCCACCGTGGCGGTTTGGGCAAATACGGTGCCAGAGTTTGCGAGCAGCAAAGTGACACAAGACAGCAAAGGGAGCAACATGACGAGAATTCTTGACACTCAGTCCAAATCCTACCTTGGGTACATTTTCCAGAGATATCTTGCACTGGCCTCTTATACAAATGGACTGTAGTTAGCGGAGCCAATAAGAGAAGGGTTCCTCAATGCGGAGGCGGGGGTACATTGACGCGGGGTAGGGAAGGTGAAAAAAGATTGACAAGAATTTGATATTATCCGATAGTCCGATAGCAAGCACGGGGTTGCAAGGTTCTTCGGACGCTCCGTCTTCTCACTTGATCTCTTAATCCTCAGACGGGAATTAGCCTTTACTCATATTCCCCGCCGCGACTTGGCGTTCCGGCGGGGCGGAGATGAATCTGAATAAGAAGTGATATGTTCAAATCTGGGATTTACGATATAAAATTAAAGCCCCTTGGAAATTGTCAGTCGAATAGTTCACAAGCAACTAATTCAAGAGTTGCAGCCAATATGTTCCGTGAAGAAACGAACCGCTTGATTTATGAGTATGATGCCGAGCAGCTCTGGATCGAGCCCTGGGGCCCGAATGCGTTCCGGGTTAGGGCCACGAAATGTGCGACTATGCCGACCGAAGACTGGGCGCTCGAGGGGCAACAGCCATCCGTGATTAACGTCGATATCTCCATCTCCTCAAACTCTGCGAATATCACCAACGGCAAGATCCGGGCTGTCGTTACCAAATTCGGCAAGCTGACAATCTCTAATTCACAGGGCCAAGTACTGCTCGAGGAATACACACGCACCCGTCGCGATATCCTTGATTCCAAATGCAGTGCGGTCGAAATTGAGGCCCGGGAGTTCAAACCTATCCTTGGTGGTGATTACCACTTGACCGCTCGCTTCGAGAGCGTTGACCCGGATGAGAAGTTATTCGGCATGGGCCAGTACCAGATGCCGTTCCTAGATCTGAAGGGTATGGATCTGGAGCTGGCGCATCGCAATTCGCAAGCCAGTTGTCCCTTTGCTCTTTCTTCTCTGGGATATGGCTTTCTCTGGAACAACCCTGCGATCGGGCGGGCCGTGTTGGGGAGGAATACCATGAGCTTCGAGGCGTTCTCGTCGAAGGCGATGGACTACTGGGTCGTTGCGGGAGAATCGCCCGCAGAAATTGAGGAGCTATATGCCAACGTCACCGGGAAGGTCCCTATGATGCCAGAATATGGCCTAGGTTTCTGGCAGTGTAAGCTACGCTATCAGACCCAGGAAGAGCTTCTGAGCGTGGCGAGAGAATATAAGAGTCGGGGTTTACCGCTCGATCTGATTGTAATTGACTTTTTCCATTGGCCTAAGCAAGGAGAATGGAAATTCGACCCTGTCTACTGGCCCGATCCAGGTATGTATATGGTTGATGGGGATAGAAGCGGGCTGACCAAGAATATTCGAATAGCTGCTATGGTTCAGGAATTACGCGAGATGAATATCCAGCTGATGGTGTCCATCTGGCCTACTGTGGATAAGAAGTCGGAGAACTTCGAGGAGATGCGCGAGAAAGGCTTTCTCATTCGAGTAGACCGCGGCGTTCGGACCGGCCTAGATTTCGAGGGAGAGACTATCCACTTTGACGCTACGAACCCCAAAGCGAGAGAGTACATTTGGAAAAAGGCTCGTGACAATTACTACGCCAAATACGGGATCAAAGTATTTTGGCTCGACGAAGCCGAACCAGAATATACGGCATACGATTTTGACATCTACCGGTACCACCTCGGATCAAACCTGGCGATCGGAAATATCTATCCACGGGACTATGCGCGGGCCTTTTACGACGGAATGACCCGCGAAGGACAAGAAAATGTGGTTAATCTGGTGCGATGCGCCTGGGCCGGCAGTCAGAAGTATGGAGCGCTGGTCTGGAGCGGTGACATCGCGTCCTCGTGGAGCAGTTTTCGGAACCAGCTGGCCGCTGGTCTTAACATGGGCATTGCAGGTTTCCCCTGGTGGACCACAGACATCGGTGGCTTCCATGGTGGGGATCCCAATGATCCACTATTCCGCGAACTGCTTGTGCGCTGGTTTCAGTGGGGAGCCTTCTGCCCCGTCATGCGCTTGCACGGCGACCGCGAGCCCAGGCAGCCTCAGCATGGCACGATGGGAGGTGCGACGTGTTGTAGCGGCGCAGCCAACGAGGTTTGGTCTTATGGACCCGAAGTGTATGACATCTGCAAGAAGTACATGGAAATACGCGAGGAGCTGCGGCCATACACGCGGCAACTGATGCAAGAGGCTGCGGACAAAGGTTCACCGGTGATGCGGACACTTTTTTATGAGTTCCCCGAGGACCAAACATGCTGGGACTTGAGCAACCAGTACATGTTTGGCCACCAGTTCATGTGCTGCCCGGTGCTCAGCCCTGGTATAGAAAACATGACTGTCTATCTTCCGCCTCTGCCTGCTGAAAGGAAGTGGAAAGCATTCCACGGAGACGGTGTCTGGGAGGGGGGCCAGTGGATCGAGGTCGACTGTCCCATAGATACGATGCCTGTGTTTGTGAAGGAATAACCAAAATAGAGAAAGAGGTGCAGATGGGCAAGGTTAGTCGGGATACTTGTAACTTGTTCACTTTCGTTACTTATCGAACTATTTACCAACTTTTAACTTGGCAACAAACGTCTCGCCCAGTCGTAATTCGTACACGAACCTACATATCTGACTTGAGATGTGGCCTTTCTGAATATTTATTCCCATGCCTGGAAGAAACAATACATATATTTGTAATTTATTATTCGGTGGGCTACGTGTGGTCACGCAATCCTCGCGAAACAGGGTTGGGTGGTAAGGTTGGTGGTGGCTGGGCTTTACGAGTGGAGGACAAACAATGCGGGGAACCCCGAAACTAAAGTTTCCCATGAGAAGAAAACAGCTAATGAAAGCTCGCAGTTAGCTTGGCATTAATTCAGTCAGAAATAGAGGAGAGGCCGGGCTGCGTCTGGACTCGGCTGACACAGAAACTCCCCTTCATACCCCGTCTTCGCCTTCGAAGCCCTTGCACGCCTGCTCCGTAAATTATGAGAGAAGATCAAGATGCCAATAGGGGTAAGCAGAGGGGCATCAGAGGTCCCAGACGCAGACAGGCTCCTCTTGCCTGCAACTTCTGCAGGCGGGTCTTTGCGAGAAAAGAGCACCTAACCAGACATCTGCGCGTTCATACGCGAGAGAGGCCATTTACCTGCGAGACTTGTGGGAAGGAATTTTCTCGTATGTAAGTACAGCTTTGTTATTTTGAGGTTAGTTGCTATCCCTGGGCGCTTACATCACCCTGGATCACGGCTAGGGACATTTTGAATCGCCATACTAGGGTTCACACCCAGCAGCGACCGGAAATTGTAACAAGTGGTACACAGAGGAGTGCCGCCTGTCTGCAATGCGCTACTAGCCGGGTCCGTTGCACGAGAGGAGATCCCTGCGCTCGCTGCGAATCTAAGGGGCTGTCTTGTGAACACCGAATCCTGCCAGCAAAATTACAGACCGTGGACAGCGGAGGGGATAGGGTGGCAGAGACGCACGCAATTACTGATCTGCATGTCTCGCAAACTGAGCAGGCGCCAAAGAGACCACACGAGCCAGCGGCCGTACTCGGCGACCACGCATATTGGGCCCAAGACCCGCGGCTTTTGAGAGATCCGCCCGCTCATGATGCCCATGGTGGTAATCCGCTCGACTCAGGAATGCCATACGGCCTCCGCATGTATGAGGTCGATCCGACCGATGGATTTAGTCCCCGGCATATGTCCTCGATTAATTGGCTTTCGCCGGACGATAGCATCCTCCAGGAATGGGCAAGTCAACTAGCTGGTATCCCAGATGGCGGTGTCTTTCCGACGTCGACGACCTTCGCCATACCAGATGTCCCAGGTCTACCCCAGCTCCTCGGTACGGGGGATACCTTGGGATGTGCTCCCGCCAGTCAGTCATCTGCCGATAATGCGCAGATAGATACCCTAGCCGAGATGACGAGTTGCTCCGAGTGCGCAGAGAGGGAGTCGCCAGAAACACCAATGGATGCAGCATCGTCGTGGAGCAGCTCTCAAACCACAAGTAACAGATACTATGTACAGGGTATCGCTTGGCGAGCCCCCTTTCAAAGCAGATTTCGCAAGGGGCAAACCATGGGCTCTATGGATAGAGACTGTGTGACAACGCCAGCTCCCTCGACCGCGTCGATTGGATCTGTCACTAACATGGACGGGGTCGCATCGTCCTTGAGCAAATGGTTAGCGGAAGATGCCTACGACAGGATTGTCCTAGGTGTCGAAGAGGAGACCCAGGCATCCTCATATCTTCCTTCGCTGCAGGCCTTTCGGCTCTGTGTGCATCTTTACTTTGAGCGCCTCCACCCAAACTTTCCCTTCCTCAGCAGGCCAGCCTTTATATCCGAGAAGCCACATTGGGTACTGTTGCTGGCAGTGGCCGGGGTGGGTGCTGCATATTTGCGCTCTTCACAGGGCTCACAATGGAAAGACATTCTGATGCAAGCGCTAGAAGGAATACTATTGCGTCAACTGCATCAATTCCAGCATAAGGTAGATACCACGCTACCTGTAAACAACACATTCGAAACAGCGAACCAAGCCGAGGAACTTCTGCCCCTAATCCAGGCAAAGATTTTGCATTTGTTGTGCATGCTTCATAGCAACACTTCGTACATTACCCAGCGGGCAGTATTTGAGCGGGCAGACTTGGTGCAGTGGTGCTATTATCTAAACCTAGTGCCGGACTCTATGGGCGTCTCTGCACTAAGAACCGGCAGCAAGGACATCCACCAGTGGATAAAGGCGCAGTCCTCGCTGAGAACCGGAATGATGATATGGGTAAGTGGAATTGCCCGATAGATGCTCATTGCCCAGGTTCCCAACGGACACCGCAGTATTCTAACGAGTTATTGTAGCTGTTGGATTCTATGGTGTCCTACGAGTTGAATTGCAACCACCTCATGAAGCTAGGAGACGTCAGGGGATGGCTGCCATGCCACGAGGTGGCCTGGGATCATCCGTCGCCCGAAAATTTTGCCTACGCTGAAAGCGTTTCCAGTAAGAACTCCAGCTTAACTTGACACGTTCCTCCACATATCCACTTGCTGACTCCGACGCCGTGTGAAAAAATAATAGTCTCTCTTCTGGATGCGCTTGATCTAATTTATATCGAAAAACGATTTCCTCCCAAGCTCAGCCAATTCAGCCAGGTTCTGCTCATTCTCGCCATCTACCGACGAACCACAGAGGTCGCCGATCAGTGCCACATGCGATTGTCATCATGGAGTCCCACAGACAGTGTGCAGACATCCGGACAGGGACCAGCCTCAGCTCAAATGACGTGGCCTCCATCAAGCAGCACTTTCGTGAAGTGGCGCAACGCGGCCTGTGATTCACTGGATGTTCTGCACTGTACGGCGAACAGTCGTGCCGCTGAATCATGCTGGGAAGAGCCCACCATCCTGTATCTGCATCTCGCTAGACTCAAGCTCCTGTCTCCTTTCGTCCACTTCCAAACACTGGCACAAGACCCGATGCTGCGCAATCGTGGCGGGCCATCGGTCAATACGGCCCAGCTGGAAAGATATGAGCACGCCCGCAGTCAGGTCTTTCAATGGGCGATTCGAGATCAGTTTAAGGCCCGGCTGTCAGTCATCCACGCCGGGGCTCTACTATGGCATGTTCGTCGCTTCAGTACCGACAATGTCGTCGAACCGTTCGCTATATATATTGCGACCCTCCTACTTTGGGCATACAGTCTTTCCGTGAAAACCGTCAAGGGACAAGGAAATACGACTCATCAAAACACAAGATGCAGCTATGCACCTTCCACTGATCAAATGGCCGGAGATGCCTCACTGGCAGATGAAGATAACGCAGCAACCGACCAATCAGATGCAGAGCCGCGTTTGATTTATCTCGATCGGCCTTTAGACGATGAACTTGTGCAGATGTACATCCGTGTTGGGAATAAGGTGTCCGCCCAACTCAAAGGGGTTGGAGATATTAGTGATGACAATGCGCCAGTGAAGATTCTCAAACAGGGATTCTATTTGCTCACAGGAGAGAGGTACGTGGGAAAGAATAGCTCAAGCAGCACGGCCAGGGGGTTCATCTTTCACGCGTGGAACATACAGCAGTTGTACGCGACAACAATATGGTCTTTAATTGAAGCGAGTTGAACGGCTGCTCGTATGATGCACCATGCGAAGCACAGTTCTTGCACCTAACTAGAACATCTGTAATCCTAATTCCACTTTTTCCCTAGTTATTGTCTGTGAGAGCCCTAAACTACTAGGCGTTGCTTTCTTCCAAGCAGAAGCTTCCGAAACTAGAGCTAAGCGTTAATTATCTCTTTTCGGTTCTGTCTAATCCCGTTCCTTGACTCCCATGTGCATTGCATTCTGTTACAGGAGGACTTAGAGGCATACATTTTTGGTAGTTTGCAGGATGACAGAGATTAGGAAGTAGGAGTTTTAAATATTGGCAGTTCAACATCCTTAAGCAAACGTTTCCAGATTGCTCCTAAACTTAAATAATTTCTGGACCGAATTACTCAATGACAGAAAAATAAAGAACCAGGTAACTCCCCCTGAAAATAAATCTCGCCACGACTCTTGACCTCGAACTGGACCCGCTCAGTCTTTCTTGGTAAGAGCTTGATCGCCCTCTGTGTAGGCATCAACGCGATACTTGGAGAAGTTCCGAGCTGAGATCTTCCTGGCAAATAAGATATCCAACTCCTCGAATGTCTTGCCCTTCGTTTCAGGTAGGCGAAAGTACGTCCAAATGAAAAACACAAGGGCCCAACCGGCCCAGAAGAAACCGGTCTTCCCTTTCCAGTCTCCTGCAGTGGGGTTGAGCATGTACGGATTGACTACGTTGCAGATAATCTGCGCGATGTAGTATGTAATTCGGGACAGACACACGGACTTGCTTCGGAGGCGGGTGGATGAGGTCTCACTGATGATCGCGTAGCAGATAGGTCCAACTGTGAGGTAGTAGACAAGAAGCCAGATGAGCATCATTGTTGCTTGGGCATAGTTCCCAGACACAGAATTCCCAGCACCCACTGACACGAAACCCACCACCATCAAGACTATGGTGAGAAGGGCCAGGCCCCATAGGTACAGTGTACGACGGCCGAACGTGTGCAAGAGATACCAGGAGCAGATGGTGCCGACGGAGGCGAGCCCTAATCCACCCACTGACATTTTGAACGAGATCGAAGTCGGCAGACCGGCTTGAACGAAGAAGTAGGTTGGGGTGCCACCCTTAGCGGAGCCACAGAAGGGTTGTGCGGCAAAGACCAGACAGACAATCTCGGTACGACGCCGATCAATTCCTCGGAAACAATCCCAGTAGCTTGTCCCTTGGTCGATCTGCTTCTCCAGTTCGTCGGTGTGGATCATCATCGCTAGAGCTTGCTTGACCTCGCCGCTGGTGCTTGAGTAGCCGAGACGGACCATACTTTTCTCAGCCGAGTCATAATCGCCGTGTCTGACAAAATACCAGGGAGACTCTGGTGCGAAGAACAAGATCAAAAAAAGTGGAATAGGCCACGCCCACTGGATGGCAAAGGGGATGCGGTATCCCCATTGTGTGTCATTCCCAGAGAATCCAGACTGCACTCCAGCAGAGATAAGTTGACCGATGGCCCAACATAGGTTCACATAGACGGTGAGATAGCCACGTAGGGCCATAGGGCAAATCTCCGAGGCTTATGCGGGCGCCATAGTCGCAAAGACTCCCCATGGAATACCGCAGAGGAATTCGCCGACCAGAAGGACGGGCAGGCTAGGCGCGAAGAAGGGAATGAAGATAAAGCCTGTGATAGCGACCAAGCTGGCGAGTAACACCTTGCGGTAGCCCAGACGATGGGTGAAGTATCCATTAGCGAAGGCACCGATAATGGTACCCACAGAAACCGCATTGCTGAGGCCGTTCTGCCAGGACGCGCTGATCTGGTAACTGTTGCTGCTGGCGATGTAGTCGCCGTAGCGTCGGGAGAAGGCTGGTTGGGCAAAGAAAGACGACATAAGGACGATGTCGTAGCCCTCCATGATGATAGATGTCGAAAGTAGGATTGACCACATCACAGCCTTGGGATACTTGCGCAGAGCGCCGGCGAGTGTCAGTTGGTGTTCATCTTGAGCTGCCTGTTTCGCGAGCTCATTGGATTTGACTGGCTCATCAAGGGGCCCTTCCTCCACGTGCGCCACACGACCATCCTCCTTGTCGTTGGTGAAGCCCATAGCGGATGACACCCTCAAAATGAATGCCGATAAAACAAAATAGTTGAGGGGAAAATATTGAAAGTATGGCCGATAGGTAAACCCTGATTTTACAAGGTGCTAGTGTAAGTGGGTTGGGGCCATATGCCGATCTTTCTGTCCCTTTAAGTACTCACAGAACGGACGGTGGGTGAAATCGAGGGTGGAGACACAATCTCACAGTTGTACCATGCAGTGGAGATCAAAAGCTGGGGTAAACTAGTAAGTTAATCAACTGTTCGACAGATTAGCCTGATCTGCTTCTCTTCTTGGTCTTTCGACTACAAAGTCAACCCCGCCGGAAGGTTTATTTCCGGTTGCTGGTTGCTAGGCCCCGATGGGGTAACGGGTTCGATTTTAGGATTGCAGCAGTGTAAGACTTCAAGGCACGGAATAACAAGACCACAATTGACACACTTTCACTCGAGTGACAATTCGTATATCGCTGTTGACCTCATACTTAAGCATAGTTAGCCCCATCCTGCCATATACTTTTTCCATACTTTGCTATAATTTGCCATCCTTCTCAGCATCCCGCATTTTCGGTTTCTCCGCAGTCTTCCTTTGCCCCTAAGAATTGCGAACTACGGGGAAAATGCGGGCAGTGTGATCCACCCTTTTTTTTAGGGCAATGTTTAAAAGGACCCCTCTTGTTGATATTCGGACCCCCTCTCCACCTGTCTAAGCCTAATTAGGGAAGGCGTAGTATGTGTATTTCACGGTGCCTTTTTTTATTGTTTTAACACTATTGGACAGATTTTTTAGACCGCTTTCTAAGACCCCTATCGTAAACCCAAGAGTAAGTCTATATCATCTTACTTTCTAAACGTTTTTGCTAGAAGATAAGTTTCAACTGTCACGGCGTGGCGTCTGGGGTGCGCACTCGTACAATTGTGCACTAAGTAGTATATGTATCGGTCCTAGGCATGTCAGCCGTCAGGCTGACATAGTGGTCTTTTTGGCCTAGTTGGTATACGCGTATTGACCTGGGTGCAAGTCTTCACACACACTACGAGGCCTATTGTCTTCCTCTACGCCCTTTTGTTAATTTTTACTAAGGAAATACACTATGAAATACACATACTAAGCCTTCCCTAATTAGGCTTAGACAGGTGGAGAGGGGGTCCGAATATCAACAAGAGGGGGTCCGTCCTTTTAACATTGCCCTTTTTTATCTTCACTCCGCGTTTTACGTTTTACCCGGCACTAGTCCATGTGATCATGAGACCGTATCGGCAATGTCGAGATGCCAAGCGCAAGTGTATCCATAGAAAGGATAGTGCTTCATTGCCTCCCTGTGGTCGCTGCCTACGCTATTATCTTGAATGTTTACATTCTCAAGCCACGCGGCTAGTGCGGGCGACTCGAAACCGTCCAGCTTGTCGCGTAGTCATCAACAGAATTCCAGACTTAGTCCACGGGGGTAGGCAATTTTCCCTTCGACTATAGAGCTGTTTCGGCGCTAGTCCATAAGTCTATCTAAGATTCACAGTCGACCCCATATCACCTGTCATGCAGCGACTCTGTGGAAGGACATCTGCACACGGTGAGCCAGCAAGACTTTGATGCTAGCTATCTACGCAATAGGCGCTCATGTTTCAACTCAAACAACTCTACGATCACCCAAGCCTCTGCTCACCGCAGGGTTTAAACGGCTACTTAAATCGATCTCAAGCGCGTGCATCTACAAAATATTGAAACCTGCATTGTCGTGACACATGCAAACCCATGGTCCGAGTTTCTATCCTTTCGTTTTATTTTTCTTATTTTTCTTCCCATTTATACCCTCAAATCCAATTCATACATGTTTATATATGCCGCCGTAAGTTCTCTGGATGTGTGGACACTCAAACGAGACGGTCCCCACGAGACCATCGACCAGCCTTAAAATTAACTTTGCCTACAACCGTATGCGACTAGCCGGGGAGTTCTAGACTGCCAAATAATGGTTACAAGCCTAGGCTACGCGTTAGCGCCGGCAGACGTTAAATTGTTTATAGAAGAATAGTATTGAGTTTTCCGTTTTATTTAGTTAAAATAGAACTTAATTGCTTCTTCCGGCGCTATAGATTGACTCTAAAGCGCTTCGCCCAGCCCTATACCTAAGGTAGACCTATTGCATAGTTACGATAAACTAAAGAGGTCATAAGTTATAAACGATTAGGCTATAAGTTAACTACTATGGTATTAGTAGTATTAGTAGTATTAGTAGTATTAGTAGTATTAGTGGACCATTATAATTCGTTAATGAAAGAATAATAATTGGGGCGTCTGGAAAGTCTTGGCAAGCCGTGAATCCATAGGTATCTGGGGGATAAGCATTCAATCCGGGACTGTGTGAGATGATTATGATGCATCTTGTTAATCGCCGAGGCCATCATTTTGAGGTTTCTGCGAGCCATGTTTTCCCGCCATGAAGGAATTAAACACAATAGCTTTACCAAGGTACCGGTTGCGAAGAATGCCTTTTCTAAGATTTTAGACTCAGTACTCTATCGGTACCACATACTAAAATGCGGAGGAACCTTCTGGTTTCGACAATTTAAGGGGTAGTGACATATTTAACTTCCCCGAGCAGTTTGCTTTCGGCAGCATAGGAGCCTAGAAGGATCGATCTGACGCAATCTGAAATATGAAATCATTACGATGCATTCCACTGGATGTCTAAGAACGCTTTTCGCTTTCATATATAGTCATCAAAGCCCTCAAGCTGGCAACAACCTTTCATCTCATTGCGCAACCGCATAATAATCACCTAATACGATTTCAACATTAGTAAATATTGCGTTGGATTTCCTCAGATCGTCTAAACTTTACATCAATCAGGTAAATACCTTAATATTGAATCCGCCGAATAATCTATCACCTTAGTACAAGGGTCTAGGGCAAGCCTACGCTAAGTTTAAGTAGAAGCTGGACGGCTAACACTGAACAAGGCTTTCAGATAATAACAAGCCTGCTTGGGGACAGTCAATGTCCTGTCCCCCTTACCTTTCCCGGACGATCCAGATTCGCTCCATCATGACGCAACAAATGCCCAAGCTAGCAAGCTACAAGCGCATAATCCTTTGCGCCGATGGGACGTGGCTAGCGTCTGACCAGGGCGACAAGTCTGTGCCTTCAAATGTTGCGAAGATCGCCCGAGCAATTGCGACCAGTGGCCCCGATGCCGATGGCAATATTGTAAAGCAGATCGTGTCGTACCATTCTGGCCTAGGATCTGGAGACCTTCCGTTCCAGAAAGCCATATATGGTGAGTACTCAGCTCGAATAAACCGGTGAATATTTATTGAACGAGTGTGGCTTATGTTGTACTTGCCTCATAGGCGGCATCGGCCGGGGTTTGGACGTCGAAGTGTGCCAGATCTATGACTTCATATCCAATAACTATGAGCCCGGGGACGAGTTGTTCTTCTTCGGCTTCTCGCGCGGAGCTTTCACGGTGCGCTCAGTCGCTAGCCTGGTAGGTGATTTCGGTATCCTCTCTGCAGTGCATATGTCGCACTTTGCAGAGATGTGGAAGGCCTACCGTGAGAATACGGACGGGGAGCCCTTTAAGAAGACACCGTGGTATCAGCAGAACAAGGACAAGCTGCGCTTGACAGAAGATCTTAGGATTAAAGTTGTTGGGGTTTGGGACTCCGTTGGTGCTCTGGTATGTGACACAAGGGATGATTAATAGATACACACCTACCATGAACCTGACCTTATATGGCTAGGGAATCCCTGAATGGCCGTTGGTAAGATTAGCCACGAAACTTGGTATCGCGATAAACAAGCAGTACGCATTTCACAACACGAACCTATCAAAAAGTGAGTGATTATCGCAAATAGCCTACTATACCGGCATTAAATAGTGCTTTCCTATCAGATGTGGACTATGCCTTCCAAGCCCTTGCTATTGACGAGAAACGACAAACCTTCCTTCCTACCCTCTGGCACAAGACCGCTGACGCCCCGGCTAAGGATCTACAACAATGTTGGTTTCCCGGCGTTCATGGCAACATCGGTGGCCAAGCAGAAGATCCACGTATCGCTGGTGACCATGAAGAGATCGGCGACATCACATTTGCGTGGATGGTAAACCCCGTCTTATCCTCCCAATGACGACTCTAGTTAACTCAATGCCCTTCACAACTTAGGTGGACAATCTCTCCGGCCTCCTGACCTTTGAAGAGGCGGCGATCGAAGTACTTATCAAGCAGCACCAACAGGCGCTAGCCGAGAACAACACCAAAAACAACGTCATAAACGGCTGGGGCTGCGGGCCCATCGTTTCTAATTTCTCTGGGCTGCAAGGCGCGTTCTTCCGTATCCTTGGTAAGCAAGACCGCACGCCGGGCAACTACCCGCGGGCCCCGGGTGACGGAATTGATGGCGCCACGAACGAGTATTTCCATCCGATTGCCCGGATACGGAAGAGCAAACTCTCTAATTATAACCCAATGTCGCTTTACGGGTATTCTATCGAGAAGCCTGGTAGTGATGCCGGCTGGATGTGGAACAAAAAGGGCGGACAGGCAGTGCCCGAGTATGTGATGCGCCCGGAGAAGAAAATGACTATGGTGCACGAGGGAGGTTATAAAACTACGAGTAGCTTGTCAAGATTGCTCTGTCCCAAGACCCTTCTGGCAGATCTTGATGGGGATAATGGTATGCGACCAGAGTGATTATGGGTTGGGAATGTAGCGTCTCAGGTGAATGAATGGCTAATTGATACTTTATTTTGGCGTTTGGATACTGTATTTGTACACAGATACAAATAGTTACAAGAGTATTTCCAGGTCGTGATATCTAGTTCTACGGAACACCGTATTCTAGAGGAAACAGCACCCGGTAGTACTATTTTGGCTCTTCTTGAGCTTTACTAATTGTTGCCGCGACCGCTTGCAGTACTTCTTAGACACGCCTACATCACCGAAGCCCTGTTGGTGAACCCGCAGATATCTCGCACCTGCGTGGAGAAGGTTGAACATCACCCCAAACTGCGCATCACGTCGAGCAGTGTGCTCATCAAAGATCTGGTCCCCAGTCTATTCCACTTACTCGGAGTAAATAGCGGGGCACGACGATGCTCCTATATACTACAAAGCGGAGAAAGGACTAACGGCGAACCAATCATGCTTGCATAAGCTATCGCTTGTCCTTTGGTTAACCAACCGTCCGATGCTTCGCATCCTACGACAGACCACGATTTCCCCCAATTCTTCCAGAAGATGGAAACTTCAGAGGCTGAGACGGAGTTATGGATAGAGGCTTACCACCAAGGAATGGATATCGCTTGTCAAGAAATTTGACTACCAATTGACGATGGACACCTAATTTGGTTGGGTCTAGATCCGACTCGTCCAGCTATTAACAGTTACCTACTATTGCAAACGGAAGCATAAGGCTTATTGGACGTGAATTCCTTTCGAGCTGAAGCGACCACGATAGGTGTAAATTTTTAGAAGAGCTCTCCAACTTATTTTGCTGACCTAGAACACATACATTCTTGCAGGCTGCCCCCTCGTTCTTCTCGAAGGGCTCTCTGCATAAAATGTCACCGACACTTGTCCGAAAAGATTCAGTATTGAAAGCTTTCTCGCTACCATTTTTTTTTTAACAAATCTAAGACGTTTCCGAGCAAGAGCCTTCCTATTAGTATTTTCCTATTTTTAATCGATATTTTACGATTGGCTTCAAAATCCGCTATATAGTTGGTCGAGACGGGTGCTCGGTACCACCATACTTAACTATTTATATGTCCAAAACGGGTGCCGATGGGCCTAAATATAGAGGTAAAAGCAAGATCGAGTGCTTAGCTTAGGGGAACGGCCGTTTCGAGGTCTCGATCAATTGGTACTCTTCGAATCGTTGAGCGTATTGTAGAAAGTCCTACGGCTGCATCCAAATTCATTAGCTAGTTTTGACCATGAAATACCATTCTTATAGCCAAATATAATAGCTGACCTTTGTAGGGCGCTTAGTTCACTCGTTTTCCTACATTTTAGGCCAATTTCCATTAAAATCGGACGTATAGGATAGGTATAGGAAGGAAAAGAACTGGTGGGTAATTGTGTCCAGACAACCACACCTTGTGCTTGAATGTAATAGAATATCCTCGACATCTATATGCGTGCAAGCAATGAGGCCCATTTAGTCTGTAGCTAATTCAGGTATAGAGCTTCCATGGTATGCATCGATATGTTAAGACTTTCGGCACAGTCTTGCTCTCTTCCACCCACACTTTCAGATCCTGCAAATCCGGTATAGGATAAGTGAACTGGGATCAAGCTACCAGCTTGATACAGTTGTAATGCAGACAAGAGATACAAATCGGCCTAGCTTCGTGATTTTGCTCCAGATCTCGATTTAGTTACATAGGCCATGGTGACTCTCCGAAGACCTTGACAACATACTGCACAGCATCTCTGTAACTTAAGGTTAACTTTCAATGCATCAAATGGTCATACCAAAGCACCAATGCAATGGTTACATTGGAATTTGTACAAGATGCGTGGGGAAAGAAGCTTCAAAGTAGACACGGGTGGCGCAGACGCTTTGCCAACTTGTTTGGTGGGAGTTCACTAGTCAAGATCCCAAGGACCAGAGAAGAGATGCAGACTTATTGCTATATATTCCAATAATAGACAACTTATCCGATACTAATTATGGACTGGGGGCCAACACTGGTCTCGGACTGAGTTCTATGGGCTTAACTATCAAATCCTGTATCATTTCAAGAACATTTTGTCCTTCAGAAAGAGTGGAAGTTATGGGAAGTGTCGATTGGATAGGCAGACTGCCAAACGGAAAAATGTACTTAAGCCCTTCAGCATCATTTAGTTTTTGGTCTTAAAATGATTATAATGATGTTTACCCATGAATGAGTCAGTCAGCCCTGTTACCCGGTCCGAGACCCTCGGACACACCTTATATGAGGGCGGTATGGTTGTTCTACCATGCCGCGGGGGGGCTCCCCCAAAAGCTGCGGCAAAGATGCGGCAAAGCCGCCATTCTCTCCTGCTTTGCACGCAGAATCCAGAATTAGCAAAAATGCCTAGAATGCCTTTCTCTTCTAATTTTTTGAAAAAAAGAAAAAAGAGATGATAATTGCTTTTCACAAACGACGTATTGGCAGAGGTCGGTTGCGGAAAGAGAGGAAAGTCACCATGTGGCCAGCTAAGGACGTGGTTTGCAAGGATTAAGGTTTGCCTCGGCGTCAAGACTATTCGAAACCAGGGCTGCATTAACGGTCTAGCCCATCTACCACAACGCCACAGGTTATGCACCTGATGGCTAACCAAACCAGTTTCCGAATTTCGATTCGAAAGACGTGTGATTCGCACAATCCAGGTGACGACCCTGGTTGGGAGTTGTTGGGTTTGCTCTGGACGTGGCGGGAAATCAATGTCAGTACGGTAACACGTTCGCTTCAAAAATATCTTCAGGACATAGCCTCTTACATCTCATCATTGAGAGTTCCGGCACTTCTATGTTGCTTGGTTTGGAAAAAATGCAAAGAAGTCAATTTAGCTCTCATCCAAACGCATGTTCCCACAACGACTTTGGCCCAAATCATAAAACGCCTCGTCGATGCATAGAACAGCCATAATGCAGGCTTGCAAAGAGAGTTGCCCTCAATGTGGCACAGGCTCGCCCAGCTCCTCTGACGTGCACCCCTCGCACAATCCGGAATATATTGCAAAGATGGCTGAAGGAAAGGATACCCTCAGCAAAATGACCGCCTTCCCGTCATATTCACACACGGAGCAAGTCAGCCCGAATAGCACCACCCTCAGTAGAACTGACACGGCCGTTCTCATTGGAAATCTCGCGACGGTATTGCCTGAATTGCGTCCACTCGACTCTCCCGCTAGGGCGGCCACTCAGGCAGAACAGAAACTGACATTTATCGGTGGATGCCGCCTGTACCCCAAGGCCATAGCCTGGTCGTGTGTTTTGTCCTCCACTCTGATCATGGAAGGATTTGATACCCTGCTTATTTTTAACTTTTTCACTTTCCCAGCATTCAAGCAAAAATACGGAACGCCGACTCCTGGCTCCGGGTATCAAATCTCTTCAACGTGGCAATTTGCTTTATCAACTGCCGCAGAGGCCGGGGAGATCGTCGGGCTCCTTGCGAATGGCTATCTCGCCGACCAAATCGGGTATCGCTGGACTATCGTCTCTGCATTGACCTTCCTTATGTTAAGCATTTCTTTACCATTCTTTGCGGTGAACATTCGGATGTTGTTAGCAGCACAAATCGTGTGTGGGATCCCATGGGGCGTCTTTCAGACTTTATCAACCACATACGCAGCGGAAGTCATGCCTGTAACGCTACGTGCTTACCTACTCAGCAATGTCAACCTGTACTGGGTTTTGGGTCAGCTTCTGGCTACAGGAATAATGAGGAGATTTGTCGACAACGCTTCCCAGTGGTCGTATCGGATACCCTTTGCACTTCAATGGGTGATTTGTTTCCCCATTTTGATCGCGGTCATGTTCGCCCCAGAATCCCCCTGGTGGCTTACGCGTCACAGACGACAACATGATGCCAAAAGGTCGCTGGCGAGATTGACCAAAAAGTACAAAACCAATGTCGACCAGACAATCGCTATGATGGAGCATACTAATGAAATTGAAAAGTGTTTGAAAGAAGACGATGGGGGTATGTCATACTTAGACGCCTTCAAGGGGGTTGATCGCCGACGAACCGAGATCGCCTGCATGGTTTGGATCACACAGCAGGTATGCGGGACCAGTTTGATGGGGTGGTCGTCAACATTCTACCAGCAGGCTGGGTTCAGTGCCGCCAACGCCTTCAACCTCTCGCTTGGCATCTACGGAATAGCCATAATTGGCGCTGTGATTTCCTGGTCGCTCCTAGCGCGTTTCGGACGTCGTAGGCTGTATCTCTGCGGTCTGTCAGCTCTACTAGCTATTCTATTGATTGGCGGCATTGTCGGCGCTCTTCCAACATCCCGTGGCCAGCTATGGACTCTAGGATCCCTGCTGTTGATTCTGACATTTGTATACGATATGACCATCGGACCCGTGTGCTATGTTCTGGTCGCGGAAATCCCATCGACTCGACTTCGTGTGAAAACAGTTGTTATGGCTCGAATAGCCTATAACTTAGCTGGAATCCTCATTAATTGGATGACACCGCGTATGCTAAGCCCCACGGCGTGGAATTGGAAGGGAAAATCCTGTTTCTTCTTCGCTGGTACGACAGCGATGTGCCTTATCTGGTGTTATTGGAGACTGCCAGAGACCTTTGGCTTGAGCTATCTGGAGATTGACATCTTGTTCGAAAAGAAAGCGAAGGCCAGCAAGTTCCATGAGCTTCGGGCCAACCTCGAAAGTTCGGGATATTTTAGCATAGAGAACTCGGCCGGGGAGGCAAGCGCCTGGCGGAGGTATTAGGATTGAACTTTCTGTAGGAATTTCAACGATTGAAGGAAACGAGATTACTTTACAGTACACTGCAAGAGCTTCGCGATGATTGAGAAGATCGATTGTGCTTTGAACACGAGGCCGTTTACAGCTTTTGAGTGATGACACTAGAAATGGGATCAAACCAGAATACACAGGTGTACTTGGGACTAGAAGGGTCGTGGGGATCCCAAGTCCCACGACGAAGTACATATCTTTATATAACTATCATTTAGAACTCCCTCTTCCGAATCCTAGCGGGTATCTTTCCCTTCGGATGCATAACACCAAACATGAAATAATTCAAATCCGGCTGGATCCAAGAATTATTATCAGTCAGCAGCTGAATATCGAACGCCGTCAGAAACATCGCCATCGTCACGATCATCTCCTCTTTCGCGAAATGCCGTCCGGGGCACATCCGAGTGCCTCCACCGTAGGGGATCCAAGATCCAGCCGTCCCGTTGAGGCAGAAAGTTGGTTTCGAGTTCGTCGCGTCTTGCCCTTTCTTTGCTTCTTGCTGTAGGACAGGACCGCTGTTGGGATCATCCGGGTAAACAATGAAACGTTCCGGCCAGAATTCATCGACAGGATGCGGGTCTTCGAAAGTGCCTTGATTCCAGACAGATTCGTTGCGTCCAGTATTGTAGTTGGATACAATGATCTGCTCACCCTTCTTGAAATGCCATCCCCCAATGTGGAAATCGGAAGATGTGGGTACTCGGTTGATGACGGTGCCGGAACGGAAGCGCAGGACCTCGGCGTAGATAGATTGGAGGAGGGGCCGGCTGCAGAGGTTGGGAATGTCGACGACCATCTGGCTCGGGTCTGACGGATCCCGGGAGATGTAGGGAGCAACCTCTTCCCGGACTCTCAGTAGAAGATCCGGACGCTGAAGAACCTCCAATAGCATCCAGCCGATCGCAGGGACGGTATTTGCGGTGGCCCTGTTCATGGGTCAGCCAGTTTTCCTCGAAAAAAATAAAAAGAGAGAAAGAGGAAAGAGTCACATACGCCCAGATCAAACCAAGATCATCCGCAGCTACAGTCTCCTTGCTCAACGGCATCTTCTGGAAGAATCCATGTCTCGTCCTCATCAACCTGGATCCGAAGAATTCCTCCCATTCCCTCCTGTCCAGTTGGCCCTGGCTGACATCATAATGGTCATGGGCAAACGCCTGCCACTTTTGTAAATTGTCTTTCATTTTATCCCTAGCCATGTAAGCCGCCGGTACCAGCCACCGCGGAATCTCCTTGAACAAATTTGGCATGAGGCTGTCGAATACCCAGAAATCATCACCGAAGGTCGGGATCACTTTGAAGACATGCGACCCGCAGAGCGATACGATGGATGCTCTGAAGGAGATCTTGCGGATAAACGAGCCATACAGATCCGAGATTTCAGTCCACGTGTCAGATTTGAAATCCGTTTCGTAGATCTGGGTGGACAGATTTCTCACAAGTTGTCTCTCCATTTCCGCGAGGCTAATTCCGCCCAAGCCACTGTGCACGGACTTATAGACCAGATGGAAGATGCGATGCTCCGGGTTCGCCATCTTGCTTCTGGAGTCAGGCTGGTTGCTGATTCCTGTGTCGTCGGCCAGATAAAAAGGTGCATCGGCGACCTCCACACCGAATGCATTAACCAACACCTGCACGAGCCAGTGCTCGCTGCTCAGGTCCCGGGAGCTCTTGAAAAGGGCCGTTATGTGATCAGCACTTTTGAGGAGGCTCATACGTCGGTTGAGGAGCTGTATCCGGACCGGAGTAGACGGCCCATATTGAGCTCTGTACATGCAGTTTAGCACATCAATTTCCCTGAATTTTCATTAACGATGTCAAACGTACGTAGCTCTTACTAAAAACTTCCTGGTGTCCTTTAAGAACTCGGGAAGATGACCGAGCAGTGGGATAGCGTACGGGAGTGTTGGCGGGCGGCTTCCATGACGTTTATTGCGCACTGTGACGGCGCCCTGAATCGTCGAGGCCAAATAAGTTAATGCAGTGATGCTGATCAAAGTCCCAATCAATGTGAGCAAGCCATTAGACGTAAATAGTAAATCCCCGAATCGGCCGTGAACGGCCGACATAGCCATCACGGCCATCTTCTGGAGGTTCGGTGGTGCTTGGGCCCTTGAAGGGAATCGGCCAGTGACCAATTTCCTGATGTATCGAGGACGAGAAATTCAATATGCTACCGTCAGCAACTAGCTGGATTGGATCCAAAGCTGGCTCCTAAAATGCAACAAAATAGTGAGTAGGAAGAGTGAATATCAGGGTCATTAACACCACACAACGTCCAACAACACAGGCCGTGCCATAATCCTCCAGGGGGAAAACTCTAGTCATGTGATCAAAACATTGGTCTATTCAAAGCCTAGGCCACGCCAAAACGCGGGTCGATGGGCGCAAGAAATAGATAGATCCAAAAGCAACGGCGCGATGGAAAATCAAACACCACATTTCAACCGCGCACAATGCATTTTCTGGTAGGGAGCTGATTCCTGCATGATCATTGTGACCATATCTGTGGCTTGCACAAAATCCATCTGAAAAGAGGAGGGCGCCTTATGTCAGGTTTTCCCAACAACCAACGGAACTAACGAGTGTTGACAGCCACTCAGACAATTCATTTTGGTGATGTCCACTGTGCCAATCACCGTCCGCGCGATCTTCGGCAGTGGCCCCCCCGGTGGTTTTACTACGGCCCGTAGTGACTCCAGATGGGCCCCCACATGGCTGCTGATACCCTGATGGAATTCCGACCCGGGCGCTAATCTGCACTTTTATATCGCGATCGTGCGATCTTGTCAGCTGCACCGAACACGTCGTGAACGACGGAGACCCGACAAGCGCCATCCCGCCTCGTGTCCAATGATTGGGGCAGATGCGATCTGTCAATCGGGAAAACCATGCCAGCTGAAGATTGATGAAAGCTGAGGGTCTCTTTTAGCTGCGTCCCCGCCCCGTACGCTGTCAGCTCTCTCCCTATTTTATTTCTCCGTGTTTTTGTTTTGTAGAGTATAGTGATATACCCTTATTTTTCTGCGCCATGCGTACTGACATTCCTGCGCCGCCTGGCGTGCCCATTCTGGGCAATATCTTCGACGTCGACCCCGATGAGACTTGGAACTCGCTTAACAAGCTGGCCAAGAAATATGGTGAGTCGTGATGGTTGGGGTTGTTGCTATTCAGCTAGGCTAATAGTCGCATCGCTGGCCCCATCTTTAAGATCAAGGTCCTGGGCCACCAAATCGTATTCGCGGGCAACGTCGCCCTCCTAGAAGAAATCTGCATCAGACGCGATTTTGAAAGTGCGTGACGGGTCCCATAGTGGGTTTCGGTATTCGGTGCACGACAGTTTGTTCAAGACATACGACAACGAGAAGAGCTGTGGCATCGCCCACCGCATCATGAAGCCGCACGTCACACAGGAAGCAACTGACGCCGCGTTCAACGATATGACCGAGGTTGTCCCGGACTTGGTCAAGAAGTGGAGCTCAGGCACCAAGCAGCGCGTTAAGGCGACCGATGATCTATCCGGATCTATTGCTACTGGCATCGTGTAACTAGTGCTTTTTTTAACGAGCGCGTGCACGTGCTCGGCGAGAAGGATGGAACACAGCAGAAGGCTTGGGGTATGGTACAGGCATGGGAGCGTGCTACAATGGAGGCATTAAAGCGACCAACACGCCCGCAGTTCATGAACTGGCTGTACCAGCGCGGGTTCTCGGACTTGACTAAGACTATGCGCACTTTGTGAAACGTCGGAAGAATAGTCCAGAGCTCGCCAGCAAGGATATGCTAGATCCACTATTGAACAGCGTCGATCCCGAAAGCGACGAGAAGCTCAAGGAATCGTAAGTCCTGGATGAGGTGCTAGATATATTCTTCGGCGCGGCGACGACCGCTAACCTGCTGTCATACGCCCTGTACTACCTGATGGGGAACCCGACAGAGATAAAAAAAAAAGCCACAGATGAGATCGACTCTGTCGTCGGGAGTGGCCCAATCGATCTTGCTCACTTGAAGCAGCTGAACTGCGTCGAGGCGATCCTGCGCGAGTCCATCCGCCTGTCCGCGACCGCGCCAGGCTTCAACATCGAGCCTATCCCTCTCAAGGACAAGGCAGGTAAGACCCCCGTCCTCCTCGCCGGCGGTCTGTACCAGATCCTGTATAACCAGACTATGATTGCCGTGCTAAAATCGGTCAACCGCCATCCGGCTGTCTTCGAATACCCCGAGGAGTTCCGGCCAAAACAGGTCCCTCGGCGAGAAGTGGGACAAGCTGCCCGCGGCCGCGAAAAACGGCTTCGGTAACGGCAAGCGCGAGTGTATCGGCAAGGTATGGGCGTGGCAGTGGTCGTTACTCACTCTGGCTAGCATCCTCAATGATGTTTTGTTTGAACTGGAGGATCCAAACTACAAGCTTCACGCCAACAGTGCGTTCAGTATTAAACCGCTGGACCTTTATGTCCTCGTGAGCCCCCGCCAGAAGTAAGCTGGTGCGGAACATTGAATTTCGCTAGGAGATTGCTTGTATGGATTGACTGATGGTCGCAATTCGGTTGCTAGTGGACACGGACTGTCAGTAAAGAAATTTGCCATTAGCTTAGTTATGATCAAGTGATCGCTGAAATGAACAAGTTTTGTTATTATTACTTTAGAATTCCCTGGCCCTTGGGTATCCTTTTATGGGCAAGCTACTACTGTACGTGTGAATCCATGGCTGTTGGCGCGATAGGACCGGTTCACCACGTCCGGACTGTTGATGAGTCCCTTGATTTCGGATTACTGGACGGCTTATGATAGCCGACTACATAGCAAGTCTACGATGTCTCTGGGCTTCTGATCAAGGGAGACAACTGCCTCACTGAAGGCTGGTTCACTGGCCGCACCGGACTCAGAGGTAGACTTCGAAACATCTGGGGCCCGCACACTGCCATCCTTGCTCAGCTAGAGGTGGCTTAGGACGATGGTGGAGTGGCAGTTGCCGTGGCCACTGATGGCTCTTGGGGAGTAATCAAAGGCCCCATCACGTTTGCTGAGGTCTATGGTGAGAGAATCGTCGACTGCAATAGGTGAAATATTTGTAATGCTGTATGGTGGATATTTCATCCATGGATGCTGTAACAATGACGATCGCGCGAACGATAGCGCCTAACTCGACAAATAGTCAATACATTACACAATAGGAAAATCAACGATTTTCGGTTTCGATCGCGGTTAAATTAGAGTCCTCGCGTGGCTTCCGTCAATTTGACGACGCCGACATGTTTTAGTTCACGTCAAGTAGTAGGTACCGGGTATGATCGCAGCAGTAGCGATAGGTGGAGTGGCTGGCTACCGCTAGTTATCTTTTAAAGAAATAGTGAGAATATCTATCAGCAGCACGCAATCTGCTCTCTGGGCCGTTTCTATGTACTAGCAAGTATGAGGGTGCAATCGTACGGGACTCCCTGCCAAGGTCAGCGCCCTTGGCAATTAAGGGGGCCCTGACTGCACCCAATCAAATCGGACATTCCGTGGATGGATGGCCTTATGTGGTCATCACATGACCACGCCAAGACCCCCGATGCCACCAATATAGATCATCGCATTCCAACTCGCCATATAGGCCAGTACCTCCATAATGGGATGATCCCGTTCCAAGCCTCTTGGCTATGGTTCTGCCATCACCCAGACCTTGAGTCCAAGCCTCCAGGATTAAATCACCTCACTGAGTCCCTTGGCATACGATATGACGAAGAAAGCCAGGTGGGATGGTTGGCGTGCTCCTTGGCACGGATAGAAGTCATGAAAACTTGTCCGTTATCCCCTACGGAGGCTGGCGAGCTGACTCCGTGATTTTTGCCCGTATTTTTCAACGCTTGTCGCTTTCGAAATTGTATGAGTCTCGCATGAAGTTCGAGGAGTCCTAGCCACTTGCAACTTCCATACAATAGGTGCCATCATGGTACTCACCCAATATCTTAGAACGATTGACCGCTGGATTGGACCTCTCACTCAATATCCCAGAAAGCTCGTGCACTGGATTGCACCTGCTCCTCAGAAGTCAGATGATGGCCGTGACCAGTGGCCCTCTCGAACAGCTTTCCTGCTGGCCGCTATGGGAGGCTGCGCGGGCCAGGGAAACTTGCTGCGATATCCGTCAGTAGTTTACAACAACTATGGACTACAGTGGTTTATCCCCTATCTACTAGCCGTGTTTGCAATCGCCATTCCAGCCCTCATTCTCGAGATCGCCATCGGACAGGCCTATCGCGGCGGAGCGGTGATCGCGTTCAATAACATCAACAAGCGGTTAAAGGGCGTCGGCCTGGGCCCGGCTTTGGTCAGTTTTGTCGTCGTGCAATACTTCACGGTCAACTTGGCATGGATCATGAACTATTTTCGCAACTCTTTCCGCAGTCCGCTGCCATGGGAGGGCCAAATTGAGGAATTCTACATGGGCAATGTCGTCGCGAATATCGACCCAGTAGTGGGAAACCTCACTGTAGGCAATGATGCCGTTGGCAACTACACTGCTTACCCCGGCGTTGCCTTGATCGGCGAGACGGTCGGCTGGAGCGCCTTTATCTGGTTTCTCATCTGGATTTCTATATTCCGTGGAGTTGGCCTGACAGGCCGTGTTGTCTACTGGACAATGGGTCTACCAATTGTCACGACCATTATTATTGTTGGTCGTTCTTGTTCACTCGACAATGCACGCGAGGGTATCCGACTTTTATGGGCAACGTGGAGGGGCGACCAACTGGCTTCTGGGACTGTCTGGCAAACTGCAGTTGGACAAGTCTTTTTCTCCACTGGAATCGGCTTTGGTTATTTTACTTCCTATGCTTCATATAACTCGAAGCACTCCAATGCTGTCATGGACGCCATTCTTATCTGTGGGAGTAACGTTTTGTTTGAAAACTTTGCCGCCTTTGCCGTGTTTGGTGTCGTAGGCTACCTTCGACGTTGGCCACAGGATGGCGAGAGATTGGGCGCATTCGTGGTTGGCTTTTTGACACTCCCGGAGGCTGTGCTTCACATGCCAGGCGCAAATTGGTGGGCTGTTCTTCTTTTCTTCACTCTTGTCGTCCTTGGGTTTAGTTCCGCTTTTGTTATGCTTAACGTGGTGGCTACTTTGGCTGTGGATGCTGGCGTGAAAATGTCACGACCGGCGATTGTGACTGGTCTCACAATAATCTCATTCCTCATGTGTTTGCCATACTGCACCCAGTTTGGATTCTATCTCCTAGACGGAATCGACCGATGGATCAATAACGTGGCCTTGATATTTGTTGTGTGGTCAGAACTGGTCGGTGCTACAACGATATATCGGTGGCATGATGTGGTAAGCCAGACTGGATTTCCTGCTTTTGTTCTGTATAACTTCGGATACTTCGGTGCCCAGATCCTTGGAGTTGCAGTTGCACATGGCATCTCCAGTCCTGCAGCTGGTGCCGGTGCCGGGTTTGGACTGTATATCGTCTGTTCAATACTTTCAACTCTGTTCGCCACGACCCCAAGTATCAAAGCTGCCACCTTCTGGGGACGGCACCCACTACTAAGTCGATTTTGGTATTTAGCGTTCTATTCTGTATGTTCTGTTGCCATCCACTCTCATGCCCCAGAAATTAACTCCTCCAGGGTAATCAGTTGAGACGCGACTTGAACGACGTCGTTGGCGGCAAAGGAAACTGGAATATCCCTCGTTTCTGGCCTGTTCTGCTCCGGTATGTCAGCGCACCTATTCTGGCCATCGTGTTCAGCTTCGCATATCCTGAATTCTATTCGCTGCGATACGACCCAATGATGATCGCTGGATTCATTCTGGCCCACTTTTGTTTGCTGTTGATTCTGGTTGGTGTGGTGTTGCCGCGATACTACAATGTTTTCATTCCGTCTCACCGGAGAGCCGAGGGGACCGAAATGACGATCGCCAATCAGCCTAAAGAGCAAACATTTATCCCAGAAGCTCGGGGGTTTGACTTTGAAGATGGCATGCCGGGGTCATCTTGCAGGATGAGTTCTGACCGGATAAGCCCTGAGGATACGACGGCAATGCCGAAGCTTTAGACTGTCATTCTTGGATCCCTTAGCTGATAGAGACAAAGACTTGATTCGACAGGACTTTTGCAGTCTCGGATCCGATAGTGGCCATATCTGCTACTGTTGAGCTACGTAACACCATAAGCCTCTAGTTCACATATCTAGTGTTTTGAACAAGAAAGTGAATTTAAAGTCTCTAGCCACTAGCTTAGGCACGCGATAACGATTCCTGGTCATTCAGTTGTCTGCGAAAGGTTGTCTATCGCCCTCTACTGTATGAGCCTTGTGCGGTCTCTCGTCCAACCTTTAAGCCCGAAATTGTGGTTTCTGTTGACCAAAAGGTCTGTGTGGCTTTGATGGTGCTTCTCACATTCCTACCAGTCTACTTGTATGCGTTCCGCTGAAATTCATCATTTCAGGTGTTCGTTTTAACGTTAACTTATAACTTGGCTAACATGTAAGTCAAAGTCCATCCGAAACTATCAAATGCTGAGTATAATCAAAAAAGAATTCCCTTTTCACGTTGCTCTCCATCAATGTTCCCGGACATGACAGCTCTGTTTGATTTGGAAACGTTCATTAAATTCAAGAGGACGACACCCTTCCCCCAAGTGAGAGACGGGGTACCTCCGCTCACATGATCGGGGTACCCTCCGCTTGGAAACTCTATAGGTGGGGGCGCCAGTAACCTAACACGCGGTAGCAAATTCCATGACGCGAGATCGTCAGGGACTTGTGGTCAGACCTAGAGAGCGGAGCTTTGCCCGGCGGGTCTGTCCGCTTGAGCTGTATGCTACATCTTAGGCGTGACCGTCCCAGCACAGGTCGCGTGACCGGAAATGCAGCATACATATGAGGATCAATATAAGAATGCACAAAAAGTCTAGGATTCTTGATGAAGACACACTCTTGTCCGGCACGTTCATTTTTGGCAAATTTTTGGAATTCCGATATTTTCAATCATGACTTCAACAATCTCATCTCTATTTGGTTATACACCCAACATACTAGGGACACCAAAGCCCCCCCAGACACCTCCAAAGGCTCTTCCAGCTTCCTGGTATCGCTCGCCTGAAATGTACGAATTAGAACGACGGGCCATCTTTTCAAAAAAGTGGATTTTGGTTACCCACAAACTGCGTTTTGAAAAGCCGGGAGACTTTTGTCGGTTCGAAGAGGCGGGTTTCTCCTTTGTGCTGTGTCTCGATAGAGAAGGTAACCTCAACGGCTTTCATAACATCTGCCGACACCGCGCCTTTCCTCTGATCTCTCAAGATGAAGGCAATGCGAAAATACTTTCGTGCAAGTATCATGGGTGGTCGTATGGCATGAATGGAAAATTGGCAAAAGCCCCCCGGTTCGACAACGTACCGGGATTCAAAAAGGAGGAGCAGGGCCTATTCCCAGTCCATGTCCATGTTGACGATCTAGGTTTTATCTGGATCAACCTCGACTCCTCTAAGACGCCCATTCCTTGGCAGGAGGACTTCAAAGGAGTCGATACGCAAGAAAGATTCCAGAATTTTGACTTCAGCCAGTACAAGTTCGACCACACATGGCATATGAATGGCAACTATAATTGGAAGACACTTGCAGACAATTACAATGAATGCTATCATTGTACCGTTGCGCACCCGGATGTGGCGAATCTTGCGGACCTTTCCTACTATTACACCGTTTCGACGCCTGGACACATTCAACACTTCTCTCGACCGAAGGAAGACAAGGTAGATGAAGATATTCAAAATGCCAGCACCTACTATTTCCCCAACGCTTGCATGACAGTGTCGTGAGTTAATTCCTCCCTCCATCGCTGAAGACTATGATTAGAGCTGACTATGGGGGCTTTAGACCTCATTTCTTTTATCTGATGCGATGTGTGCCAACTTCTGTAGGCACCTGCTCCATGGAATACGAAGTTTACCGTCACAAGAATGCCTCTGATAAGGACTTTGAGTACATCGATGCTTTCTTCAAGCGCGTATTAGACGAAGACAAACATCTTTGTAATGCTGCTCAGAAGAATTTGAATGCTGGTGTGTTCGTGAATGGACAGCTTCATCCCGAGCTCGAGAGCGCCCCCCTCTTCTTTCAAAGTACCGTCAGACGCCTCTTAGGAGCCCATCGTGAAGAGGAAAAGCGCCAGAGAAGGGAAATTTGGCCAGCTCAGCAGCATTCGGCGGGCTCGGCTACTGCGGAAGACATGGAGTTTTGCTCCGGGTTAGCATGCAGTGAGGGTTCTAGCAGTTTAGATTGGTAGTTAGGAATCAACATAGCGTTTAAGTGGAACTGAAGGTTTTAATGTTGATACAAAACTAATAAGCCGAGCCACATAGGGTTCGATGGAGATAAGGTGGGATCCACTCCGTACCGGTGCGGTAAGTGTGGAACCCTCCGGTGTACCCCGCACCTGTCCTATTTAAACATCTTCTATAAACCGCGATAAGAAGGGCTGGCTGAGTATTTTTTTTTCGTGTTCCCTCTTTTCAGACATGTCTTTAACAAACAGCCGTGTGAGCAAGAGATCCCATCAAGCCTGTGAAAATTGTCGGTGAGTCCGAGTCCTATTAACGAGATCATGGCTTCCGGAAGGATTTTTATCTGATAGAGAGCGCACAGACGGAAAAAGACACGGTGTCCGGGGGAAAGACCGTCTTGTTCAACTTGCACGCGTCTTCACCAGGTCTGTCAGTACAGCAGAAGTGTTGAATCATTGGAAAGACCTCCCGGGGGAGACAGAATCTTGGTGGGATCCGCCTCTGTCAAAAAACACCGCGATATCTAGAATTAACGACAAATTTAGGAAGACCGATTACAGCATCTCGAGGACAAGATAGAATTAATGCTAGAGAGATCAATGCGTGTCATTTCTTTCCCAGGTTCAAAGAAAAGAAACACTAACTAAAGCAGAACTAGCAACCAGACTGGAACTCCGAAATCATTCTCCTGTGAAGCTCTATATCCACAAGACGAATCACAGTCACCCCGAAGGAAAGAAAATTCTTCAAGGCTTGTGGCTACTCACAAGGAACCTGACCACATTGAAGATGTTGCTGCATTAGCTATGCCCCCTAATGAGGTCATTGTTGAATCCTTCAGCCTTTATCAGCAGTATTGCCACAAGCAGCCTTTGTGGCTTTTTGACGAAGATGATCTCTTAACTCCGGAGATATGCCCCCAGGAGATCATCTTTGGTATACTCGGACTTGCTTTACGTTACTCGAGCAATCCCTTTGTGGAGGGACGAGTGGATCAAATGTGTCGCCAGTACACCGAGGCGGCCCGTGGTAATATCATGCTTCGAATAGCGCAGGGAGCCGTCCAGCTTTCCACGATCCAAAGTCTTTGTCTAGTAGCACTGGCAAATTTTATTGGTGAGTAAACCAAACTACCTAATACGATGCGGCAGAAGACTCTAATATATGTTTAGGGGACGACATGCAGATGGCCTGGCTACATATTGGCCTTGCAACAACCCTTCTGAAGTGTGGAGGACTGGATGTGGAGTTACACAAAGAAGAGCGCACGCATACGATAGAGGTTCATCGAAAGCTATATTGGAGCATTCATCTCCTAAACCAACAGTATGGACCACGCAACATGCAATTAGACATTTTGCGCGACATCCAGCGTCCCACATACATGGGAGTCAACAAATGCTCTATGCGAGAAATGGGAGTCTCTCCGCCTCAGGTTCCGGAGGAACCAGGAGGCTCTACCCAGATTGAAGGAATTTGGGTATATATGGTGCAGCTATCCACCCTTTGGAGTGAGGTTCAACATTATGTTTCTCATTGTGCCAGCGGAGACCCAACACCTCCTTGGTCACTGGAGTCAGGGTATTCTGTCATAGGGGCACATCTTATGAATATCGAGACAAGGTTTCCCACATGCCACAGGTGGGACTCTGTCAGATTTATGGATCATTCCAAAGAGGCTATACATCGGAACCGCGGCTTTTGGAGTCCCTGGGTGTACCTTCAATTTACCTATCACGCCATACATAGCGTGTTGAATCACCCATTCCTTTATTCGTGGAGACCGCAGCAATCCGCGCAGCTTGCAGTTCCAAATACGTTTTGGAAGACCTCGTCTGAGCTTGCTCTCATTCATACCACTTGGACAGTTCGTCTCATTGACATGGTTACTGAGAAGGGGTATCAAGTTTCGGACCCATTTCTCGGTCACCTGGTGGCTATTTCTGCCACAATTCATCTTTATTATTGTCGGGCTGCGGATCCAGCGATCCGGGAGTCTGCACGGAGCAAGGTAGATGCTTGTATGACGTTTTTGAGCACGCTTGCAGTTAGATGGCCATGTTGTAAGGCGATAGTAAGTATTATCCCCCCTATTGTACACGTTGCTCTCTAACAAATATATCAGCACGAAAAGCTGGAAAGGCTCCTTCACTACGCCTTTTCCCCGAGTCCAGCTACGAGCTTACCAAATCTACCAAGACGAACCATTTCTATTAATACTGCACTTATGTGGGATATACTTCTCCAAACCTCTCCCAAAAACTCGTCGACTTCACCGGGGGGAGGTCTATTTGATGCTTCCTTTTATCGAGATGCTGAGGAGACGACCAGCGAAAAAGATACAGTTGAAACAGAATTCTTTCACCATTCTACAAGAACTGTTGACACATCGGATGGGGGACAAGCGTTGCCACCATATTCAAGTGTGGTACATGGTCGTCAGCCTTCCTCAAAAGACCCAGATCATGATGCCATAGGGGATCAAGAGGCTTCTGTAATGAATAATCGCGAGTACCACGTTCCATCGTTGCCAGAGACTATGATGTGGCCGGGACCCGGGTTTCGGGGCGATGTTTCTCTAATGGACATCACGCATGATCCATTCTTCCAATTCCAGGACCATCAAAGTCCCTATGTGGGGATATGGGAGATCGGTAACCTTTGATCGCGAACGTTCAATGCTAAAATAAAATGAAGTGGTTTAGTGAGAATGACGATACCCGATATTCTTAAGTTCCCCGTTACTCTTTTTGTGAAAAAAAGAATGTGTACAAGAATTGGTAAAGGCTACATTGTCATTTAAGAGAACAATTGAAAAATTGAACGGTTTACATGTAACGCTTTGGGCCAAAATAGTACTCGTGGGTTTTAGTGGTACCATTCTGCCTAATTCGACGCAATCTCAAGCCATCAGTCTCAACCTATCTTATGTACACATTTTAACCCCGTCGCTCTTAGGGTGTGATTCGAGAATATCCCTTGTCAACGATGATGAGCTTGAGGTTTGTTTAGATACTTCGTCTTCCACGTGATTCGAGCGGGAAGATGACGGCAAGGATACCACAGAAGCCCAACAGAGCAGCACAGACATAGATGGGAACCGAACTTGAAGTAGAAGTGAAGGCTCCTATGAGAGCAGATACCATTCCCATCAGTCGGTTCAGTGCAACGGCTATACCATTTCCGGTTCCTCGATGGGCTGAGGGTAGGATTTCGACCGTATAAGCATATAAAGTTGCATAGTATATGTTGATTGTAACCGATATCGCACATGAGAATCCCAAATTTTCCGCACCTGTGCGCACAGTGGTGTAACCGAAGAAAAAGGCCACTGTATGTGAAATTAGATAATCCCTCAAATGTGAAGTAAGTTTGATCTTACTTGTAGCAAATGCTCCAAGCGCCATAGTCCCTTTTCTCCCAAGAATAGGCATTTCACACATGCCGGCTGCTATTATAGGGCCTGGGATTGCACACAAGTTGGTGATTGCATAGTTTCTCCAAGTAATATCTGCAGAGGACTCCCCCGTAGATGCATCCCGAGAAGCCAGGTACTCAGGCAAGTAAACATAATACAATGCATAGCCAAGTCCGATCATAGCCCACGAAATCCATACTAAGGACGTAGAGAGCACCATTTTCTGAGTCGCAAACAAACCTCGAATATGGAGGGCTACCTCAGAAAATGAGGCTTTGCTCTGCGCATGAGCGGTGTTGATTTGACCACATCTTTGGAGCTGCTCAAGTGTTAAATTGCATACCCGATTGTGCTTCTGGGCAAGATCTTGGAGCGTCTTAACAACTGCTTCATCATCCCCTTGACATAGAAGAAACTTTGGTGTTTCATGGAAACGTATAACAAGAACTCGAGCAATGCTCAGGACGAAAACAAGGGCTCCACAGGTATAGAATAGATATCTCCAGCCCATGTTGTTTGAGTTGGTGCAAGGAATGGATACATCTAAAGGGCAACTGTAATTTGCTGCGTTTTGGTTAACAAAACTTGAACCCACAGAACAAGAAAGGGAAAGATACCCATGAATCCCCACGCCACAAGACCAGCTACCGTCTGGCCAACACCCCACCAGCCCGCTAGAAGGGTCAGAAGCCATTGCTTGTTAGAAGGGAGGTACTCCAGGAAAACCGTTGTATCAAGAACCAGGTTTCCGCCAGATCCAAACGCCGAAATTGCAACAAAGGTTGCCCATACAGCATAATTTGGGGCAGCCCCAGCAGTGATAGCAAAGACTGCACTGATCAGCAGGGAGAAGTTGAATGCCCATTTCCGCCCAATGACATCTGCTGTACCACCCCAAAATAGAGCTCCTACCAGAAGTGCCAAATAGAAGCCCAGCTGTGCGCCCCTTGTAAATTTCGGAGGATACTGTGCCACAACTTGCTCGGCCGAAATACTCATCAGGAATAGCAATAGCGAATCAACCCCGTACCTAACCATAGAATGTCAATATTTCGGAATCAGCTGATTTTGTTCTGTAGCCATACGAACCCAAATCCATTCAGAAAAAACAGTTTCGCGTGGTAGCGTGTGAACCCGATTCTATCAATTGTCTGCAATGGTCAGTGGGCTGAGATGGCCTTGTCGGAATAAACTGACATCATTGACAAGGTTCATTTTGGCAGCGAGTGCCAGGTCCACTTGATCGAGCGAAATAACATCACCTGGGCCAATTGAGCGAGATGAGCCAGAGTCTTTCGTCTGTTCGTCCTGGTTCCCTTGCTCGGTCTGGATAAACCCAACACTATCGGAATCAATAGCCATTGTAAAGGTGATCTGATGAGATTGTAAAAGCGCTTGGCAAAGTTGGATTGACGAGAAATAATGATAAATATGTGAAGTTGATGCTTTCCGACAGATGAATCTAGAAAAAGGGAAATTCCCAAGAGAAACCAAAGCACCTTGACCGGCCTTTATAGCCTTTCGGGTCACGTATCAGATCACTATCTGCTTCCTATCGCTCAAGCCTAACATCTGGGACGCACAGTCCTCCAATTCAAAACAAGTGCGCGAAATTCCCCTCATAGCTGCTCGCTTTGCTGGCACACTTGATTGGCAATATGGCTAGGTGGAACCCTCGATAGGAAATGCGGGCACGAATGAGAAGATCCCTAAGTAAGAGGAAGACTTCGGGGAATTTGATATTATGCGCGTTTGACTGTTGAGTTAAAATGAAGTATTTCTTGGTGGTTGATAGGCATCTCCCCGCTCAGCTGACCGGGGCGGCGGTAAATGCCGTATGTTCCCCCAGATTACCTCGAACGCTCGTGGGGGTAAAATATCAATGATGATAGCGAATTCCATGCGTATCACGACAAATCTGTACTACACGCCCCAGATTCTTTGTTTCTATCTGGCCCACTATGACTGCGCATAACGTACAAATGGATTTTCCAACAATACCTACATAACGCTCGCCTCTAGCTTTGACTCATTAATAGCTGCACTTCGATGCGTATGCTGCATTGTTTCAATTTCTAAAGTGAGCTTATCTGAGATTCTGATTGGAAGCTATGTTGAAACTGATGACGAGATATGCAAGGTACTAGCGAGAGAACACGGACCTTGGAATATGATGAAGATATTATTAATAACCACGCTATTAACAAGCATTTCCAGACCGTCTATTGTATTATCGCCTGTTGAATAATGTCATAGTGGTATCAATAGTCTGTCTCATCCAAGGAGGTCACGGACCTTGAATTTCGGCAGGCACTGCAAACGGTGCGACATGCAGAGCTTGCTTACCTGCGAAAGCTTGTCATGGCTCCGATAGCTTAAATAGGGGCTTTCAAACTAAACCCCCATTCTCACTTCCTCTCGGTATTAATGACTACCTTCTCACAAGACGCTGCCGGCGAAACTTCACCAGGGAAGGGCTTCCGCGCCCAAACACGACGACTAAGTCTAATTAGCGACGTCACAACAGAAAGATGAAAGAACTTACGCGCGCTGATAGGTTTGCTAGCGAGGATTCTTTAGCTCGGCCCTTAGCTTAGCAACATAGACAATAACCTCATTATGAGACCAAAGCAAACTTCGTAAGCAACCACGAAGGGCACTATACTATCTGCCGTCTCTCGTTTACAAACTGCTTCATTTATTTTTTGGTTATTTATTTTGGGAGCCTTCCTAATATTCTTAACGGATATTTCACTTACCAGGCTGTGCCTCTGATTATTACGGGGAATGAAGGGGTGTCAGCAATGCGAACATATCAGCGGGTCGGAATGCTAGGCAAAAACGCGATTCTCGCGCTGTTGGTGAAAGTCAATGCCCCTTGGGCCTCAACTTGATCTCTGATTAATTCATGCACAGCACATCTCCCTCTCAAGCGGATAATTTCCAACAGCATGCGTCTCCTCGCCCCCTGGTTCAGTAGCTTGGCAATCCTGCCACTGGCTCAGGCTTCCTTGCCTCTGCTTTATGGAACCGAAGTGTGGTCGAGTCCCTACAGCAATAATAAACCCAGCGTGAAAGTTGAGACACTCTTTCAGTTCCCCAAGAATGGTTCATGGGTCGACAACCTCGTCCTGCGATCAGATGGAAACCTTCTGTTGACGCGTCTGGATGTTCCGGAAGTTTGGTCGGTCAACACCACTAGTGGAAACGCGACTCTTGCCTACTCATTCCCCAATGTCACCAGCTGCTTTGGAATCAGCGAAATCGCGGACGATGTATTTGCGGTGGTAGTAGGCAATTTCTCGACAAAGACTTACAAGCCCGATGCTGGTTCTTTCTCCGTCCAGAAATTAGATTTCAACAGAACCAGCAAGAGAAGGAGCAATCGGACCTCAGCACTCCCGGCTGCTTCCCGGATCGCGGCACTACCGGAAGCCCAGGCTTTGAATGGAATGACCACTTTCTCAAAAGACGAAGATTTGGTTCTCATTGCGGACAGCCCCAAGGGTGTGGTATGGAAAGTCAACATCAAAACGGGCGACTATGCTGTTGCACTGAACGATACTACCATGCAGCCAGCAAAGGGCCAGGCACTTCCCTTGGGAATTAACGGCTTGAAATCGATTGAGGACTATGTGTACTATTCCAGCACAACACGCATGGAGTTCTGTCGCGTCAAGGTGGACGAGGATGTCAAGCCGATCGGAGACTACGAGGTCATCGCTAGCGGGTTTTTGCCCGATAACATGGACGTCACCGAAGATGGCATTGCGTATATCGCCACGGATCCTCAGAACTCCGTTGTCCGCATCACTCCTTCAGGACAAATCTCGCTCGTCGCTGGTGGACAGTTGTCCACAGAGATGCCAGGTCCGACATCAGCCCGGCTGAGCGAGGATCGCAAGTCTCTCTATGTTGGAACTAGTGGTGGTCAGGTTGCGCCAGTTTTAGGTACTTTCATGGAGCCAGGCAAGGTGGTCAAGATCACTCTAGAATAATGAAAGGATACCTCGAGAATCCGGGGATAATGAAATATGTGGTCTAAAATGGCCACATAATAATTAGGTGAAGTGTGGCTGTCTTGAATTATATCCTTGTCCGATCGTGTTAGATCAGTAGTAAGTTTGGCAATCTCCATGTGAAGAGCAATGAATTTCGCAATACTATGACTTTAGCCACTATGATATCTATAGTTTTTATTGCTTACCATCGCTACTACCATGTCAAGTTAATGTGTTGAAAACCTATAGTTGTGTTCGGATACAGAAGACAGTCAATTGAGGGTTGGATATGTGCCTCTTACTTGTTCACAATACCGTTCAAGCCCTTTTACTCCCCTGTTTCTATCGTAGCTTCGAATACATGTTGAGTATACCTTGCCCATACCATGCATGGGCAACCAAAGTAAAGATATATTTCTGAATATCGACGGTACAGATGGGTGAGAGGTAAATGAAGCAAGAAACAAAACTTGACAGATCTTCATAGCAACGCCACAATTCTTCATCCTCTGTGGCAACAACCATCCGACTTTTGTTTCTCCCATTAACTTAACATTTTAAGTGTTTGGATGATCTACATGTTGACACCTGAGGCGTGAGCTCAGGTAAGCGGGGCCTGACTCATATGACGCCATCACAACAGCTGCCTGGAACAGAACGTGGCAGCCTGACATGTCGAGTTTAAATTGACACTCGCTTATTTCTCACGCGCCTTCATCTATCAGCAAAGATGCCTGGGCACTTTGGTCAAAAAGTGCTCAAGACCCTTGGGATCGACCCAAGCGGCCACCATCAAAGCTCTGCGGAAGTTCAACTTCCAGGCAGACCAGCAGTGAACAACGATGAACGTGGATTGTCTTCGCCCCCCAACAATGGTACATATCCGCGCCTATGTAGGCTTTCAGACGGGTCTATCCTCTCCTCCTTCACTCGGTTCCCCGACGGACAACGCTCACTGCGTGTCGCCAAAAGTACCGACAACGGTCGCACGTTCGAGGACTTCGCCGAAGTTACCCGCGCTGCAGGCGACGTGGATAACATGTTTTTGTGCGAGGTAGTCCCTGGGACAGTGCTAGCAGCCTTCCGCAACCATGATGTGGGCCCAAATGGTCCCACCCATTTCCGTATCACTGTTTGCCGGTCCACAGATGGTGGCCGAGTTTGGCAATTTGCCTCGCAAGCCGCAGAGAAACGGCCCCCGATGGGTATCTGGGAGCCGTTCATGCGACTAGGTCGCCAGGGTGAGGTACAGCTTTACTTCTCCCAGGAGTTCGCCCACAACAATCAATGTACCATGCTTGTCGTTTCCCGGGATCACGGAAGTTCTTGGACTCAACCGATCTGTCTTCATGGTGATCAGGATCCGCTTCGCGATGGGATGAGTGGAATTGCGCGAACCTTTGACAACGGCCGCGAAGCTCTGCTCATGGTCTTTGAAACCACTCGATACGGTCCATTTAATGTTGAAGCCCTTCTCTCATATGATGACGGTGCCACCTGGGGTTGGCGCCATGAAGTTTACCGCCCACGACAGGGCCATAATGCTGGCTCGCCGCAGATCGCATCGTTCGCTGACGGATCACTGGCTGTGGTATTCATGACCGACGAAGACTCCAACCAAGTAGACTGGGTGAAGAATGCTTCTATCAAGGTTGTATTTGCTGGTCCGCCACGAGAAGGACGGGTTCAATGGAGTCAAGCTTCCCTTGTTTCGCCGGCCTCCAGTTTCTGGCCTGGAATTATGGCTCTCGATCACCATACTGTGTTGGTGACTTACGATCGAGGGGGACCACTTGCCAAAACGGTCACCTGGAACCCCTGGTAAGCGTATGCTTTGAGCGGTCCTGCTTTTACCTGAAGCATTAGAATATGTGCTTCTTCGTTCATTTATCAAGTCAATTGGGAGCGAAGCCTCTCTGGACGACGCCATTCTGCAAGTATAAATTAGACCCAGGTACCCAATACACGATCGCGCTTCCAACAATTCTCCAAGTATCACAGTCCTAGTCAAGGATGCTTATGACGCATCCTCTTGTACAGCAAGTCGTTAACTCCGTATATCAGATGAGCCTACTTAAGCAATAGCTAGCAGCTTAATATCAGATATCAACATGTCTAGAGGCCAACGTATGATTCGGTCTCTACATAGGAGCTAGTGGTTCGTTGTGCTGCCATGCTCCATATTAGACGAAGGCAAACGAGGGAGTGCGATAAAACAATTTATTGATATCTTCAAACTTGATGCTATTTTCACCGCTCTGAGCCTCTTAGAGATGATATTGACGCGGACTTTCAACCGAGATTCCCAACCTCTCCCACATGGCTTCCACATTCATATCCTCTTGACCACTGGGGAACGAA